GCGCACTCTTTTGAAAAATAAAATAAAAAATGAAATACTCTTTATTTTATATTTTTGACGACTGTTCACTGTATATGCGACTCTAACAAAAAATAAGCCCTTGGTCAAGCCTTCGTGTCCCTATAAACTTCGCACTGCTCTCAAAGTCGGCAGTCATCGCCACTCTATTGTTTTCTTTTTTTCAACCCTGTACTAACAACAACTTCGCACTGCGTTCAAAGGCGACAGTCATCGCCACTCTATTGTTTTCTTTTTTCAACCCTGTACTAACAACAACTTCGCACTGCTCTCAAAGGCGACAGTCATCGCCACTCTATTGTTTTCTTTTTTCAACCCTGTACTAACAACAACTTCGCACTGCTCTCAAAGGCGACAGTCATCGCCACTCTATTGTTTTCTTTTTTCAACCCTGTACTAACAACAACTTCGCACTGCTCTCAAAGGCGACAGTCATTGCCACTCTATTGTTTTCTTTTTTCAACCCTGTACTAACAACAACTTCGCACTGCTCTCAAAGGCGACAGTCATCGCCACTCTATTGTTTTCTTTTTTCAACCCTGTACTAACAACAACTTCGCACTGCTCTCAAAGGCGACAGTCATCGCCACTCTATTGTTTTCTTTTTTCAACCCTGTACTAACAACAACTTCGCACTGCTCTCAAAGGCGACAGTCATTGCCACTCTATTGTTTTCTTTTTTCAACCCTGTACTAACAACAACTTCGCACTGCTCTCAAAGGCGACAGTCATCGCCACTCTATTGTTTTCTTTTTTCAACCCTGTACTAACAACAACTTCGCACTGCGTTCAAAGGCGACAGTCATCGCCACTCTATTGTTTTCTTTTTTCAACCCTGTACTAACAACAACTTCGCACTGCTCTCAAAGGCGACAGTCATCGCCACTCTATTGTTTTCTTTTTTCAACCCTGTACCAACAACAACTTCGCACCACTTTCAAAGTCGACAATACCAATCATACTATCTTTCTTATTTTATCACTACTGAAAAATAAAAATAAAAATAATAACCATATAATCAAACTTCAGCACTCGGAACCCATATACTCTATTCTTTTATATCTGAAGTGACATATACTACTATTCTCAGAACTGTCTTTTTACTTTCGCATGCACATGATATCTATATACTTATACCTTCAACACCTTCTTCAATGAAAATGACCCCATCCTATCACACATAATTTTTAAAAATTCTTACTTTTAGTATATCTTTAAATATCCAGTTCTAGACCAAACAGCCATTGTCTAACACAAAGTCCTGCCATAGTAATCTCTCTTTATAGATGCACAACATAATCCTCAAACCTATATTTTAAAAAAAAAAAAAGAAACATATATTGGGCTTATTGTAATATTTTAATTTTTCAACTAAATTAGCTACTAATATAATATATATTATAAAAGTACGGTGACATCAAAGACATATCATGAAAACCATTAGACAGAGCAATAGAGTAACCATGTCATATTTTGCAAGCACCAACATTTGTGTCGGAGATATACATTTTTATTTTTGTTTAACCTTACTTATATTTAGGTTAAGTGGTTAGCGCTGTTACTACTTCAAGCAAGGTCCGGCGTTCAATTCTCAATAGAGTATATGTTTGGGTTTTTTTTTAGTTTTATATATCATGATAGAATCTTTTAATTTTTTTTAAAAAAAAAATTGGTAAAGATTTATATTTTAGTAAGATTATATCTTTGAATGATTAATTATTCCATGCATTATGTGAGAACAATTAATAGATTAGTATTATCTTTATAGTTCTGACAAATGTTTTATTTTTATACTAATCATACAAAATGATTAATGTATTAAATAAAGAAGCTATAATAGTTGTTGCTTTATTCAAGCATATTATTTTCAGTCGCGACTCTCAATAAAATAAAGTAAGATAAAAATTTTCAAAATCTGACTTTTATATTAATCAAGGTAAAGCAAGTGATAGAAACTAAAAAAAGCAATAGATTTGATTGCTTCATAGTTTAAATACCAAGTTAACAGTAAAAAAAATCATTTAATATTTCCACTTTTATATTTTTTGTAATAAGCATTTATTAAAGACAATAGCATTTTTACCTCTTATTTTTTTTATTGTATATGGAAGTAGTCACATTTTTTTTTCGGAATTAGAGGTAGATGTTTGATCACTTGGTGTGGACAGACTAAAAGCTCAAAAAAAGACCAAAATTAATTAAAACTCTTGCCCAATGATATGACTTAAAATTTGTTCTTCTTTTGCACTTTTTTTTGAACTTTTAGTCTGTCTACACCAATTTTTTTTGTTTCGACATCATTTTGTCACATAGAAGAATATGTGAGCAAAGACATGCATTATTTTGTAGACTAATTCAATTTCTTCTCCTGTTCTAATATATATATAGTTATTATATTCTACTTGGACAGCAATATTCGATTCATTTTAATTTTCTACCAACCTGCCCACTAGAACAAATCCCGGCGGCCATCTAATCGTAGCATGCTTCAAACTCCGAAAAATTCTAAAGACCGACAATGCGCCTCTAATACCACTTTTCTGTTACTCTTCTTTATTAGCTATCGATAGAACTAAGAAGCATGTAAATACAATCAGTAGAAGGTGAAAAAAGTAAAATTGTATGAATTTTATTTTTTGGTAAATTATTGATTTCTTGAAAAAAAAAAAAAATTATAAATGCCGACTGAAAACGATTTCACTTTTATTTTTACTCTCAATGACTCTATCTATTTATTTTACTGTTATATTTTTGAATAATATATATAGCTTGTTAAGGCGTTATACATTACAAGGATTGTATATGTACAGAGAAGTTATATTTATATAATAAGAATACGCACAACTACTTTTATCAAGCAATAACATGTCAATTTTTTCTTCCTTTTTGTTTCTAGAAATTCCGATGAATCTTAGAAAAGTAAATCACGGAGCTGCGATTGTGTGATGTCACAAGAGAAAAACATTTGGCTCTTCGTACGGGATTGACATCAGAGAGATCCAAACGAGATCTCAAGATCTTTTAAGCTTCTATAGATTTAAGCAAATAATTTATAGGCCGTGGATTACTAAAAAGAAGACGATAATAAAGAGATAATGTTGTCTGAAATTGCATATAATCGTATTTGAACATTGGTGTGATTTAGTGCACCTGAACAATCACTCAACGCCCAATATTATCAGAGACATTGCGGTTGAGACGAATAGATAAAAAAAATTGTGTAGGTGTACTGGGGACTGGTGTCTTTTAATATAATAAACTATCTGGATAAGTTAAGCGGTTTGAAGGAATGAAATAAACCCTCTGTGAATACAAGAAGAGTAAGGTAAACTAACAAAGCTAGGCAATACATTATCAGTGTAGAAGAAAAATGAAAATCTTGAGTAGGATTGGGTCATGGGACCAAGATACACAGTAATACCAATAAAATGTAGATTTACTACAAATATTTTCAGGTTTATCCAGAGAGAGAGTGTATGGGTGCATAATAGCTGATATATCTGATATTAAATATGTGCACGGATCACTCTTGACAGGATCTATTGTTGAAGGATATGAACGGAACCGTTTTTAGCATGTAACTTGGGTGTAGTACCAATGCCGATTTGAGAAATGTTTGGTTCCGGCTATTGAGGTAAATAGCTTGCCAGATTCCACAGGTTAAATCAATAGTGAGTCATTCATATTTCACATTGGTGTCGTTTAACCGTCCGCGGTCATGTTTTATATACGTAAAAAAATCATATATTTGATACAGGGGAGGATCAAAGGGGCTGAACTGGATGCTGAGCACTGGGACTAGGTAAGTTGTTCTGTGTGCTTGAGACTTGCTCAAACATGTTTTATGGGCAATTATTCTGCATCAACGGTTTAGTAATATTATTAAAACAAAGCAAAATAAAATACAATACAATGGTAATATATGTAATATAAGATATCAAATTCAGCAATACCTGTTTATGTTATAGAGTAAATTGGTTTGTATGTGTGTGCAGGATGATATTCCCAGAAGCGTTGTATCTGTTATTCATGATTAATATTACTATTTAATCTACACTTTGAGGTTTGCGTTCTTGTTGATATTGAAACGTAGGGAGTGGTGGGTTCGGTTTCGACCATCATGCCAATGGTAACAATAATTGTGACGTAGACAAACTCCCTAACACCCCCTCTTTCTTCATTTGGGATTTATCACAATCCCTCTTTTAGCGTCTTGTATTAACACATAGGGTACTTGTAAGAGGTATTGTAACTCATTACAATACTACTGCGAGGAGGGCCATTCAAGTTGGAAAGTCTTTACACCCGGGTTACTATCTAGCACAGGTTTTATATTCTTAATGGAGGTGTGGTAACGATGGACAGTAAACTACTTCAAGAGGATACGTTCTCGAGACAATAGATGTGCACTCCAATAGTTAGGATGAGTCAAATAATATTTATTTGACTAGGCGTATGGGGATGAGAATCAGTTGTCAGCATAATAAAATGGGAAAAGTGTTTTTAATGTGGTAAAAAGAGATACTTCATTCATCTTCATTAAACTTCATATATGGCCTCCTCTGCTTCTTCCTCTCGCTCCTCTCATCTACACTTCGTTCTCCTTTCTTCTTCAAATTCATTCTCCGAGGAGAGGCGGCCACCAACAACCACACACACGTTCACAGTATCCATATCCGTTCTTCCCTTTTTTTGATACATCACCTCTTTTGATTAGGGCACCTTTTCTACAACGATCCCGTCAGTATTTCTTCCTTGTTTTTGTTCAACCTATACTTAAACCTATAGAGTGATATATTATATTATAGTGTAGAATAGTATAACGTATTGAAATAAAAGTAATAATGAAATATTTACTTTTTAGAGAGGACTGTCTATCAAAAATCACCTTCACTGAGCCACAACAGAATAAAAAAAAAATTCTTTTTAACGATGCATTGAAATTTTTTTTTACCTACCTCATCCCTTTCGGGAATCCTCAGTCAAACCCCCATGCCTAAATTGACTACAAATCTACTGGAATCGACACCAACTTCACAACGCTACCAAAACAGACACCAGAAACCTTAACATATTTATTTTCTTTTTCTTTTTTTGACACGTACCAACAACATCACAATGCTATCAAGATTGACACCGCCAACTACCACATTCAAATCTTTTTTTGGGCATACCAACACCAACACAAAGATATCAAAGTTTGCACAGAGAATGAAACCATTCATAATATTTTTTTTTAATATGTATTGGAGGTAATGTATTGAAAGGCGAAAAGGCTAGAGAATAGCCAAAGCTGATTTAGCTTCGAATATTGTAATGTCTAATGTAGATGGAACTGCTATATGATTAAGAACAAATTCAATATCAAGAATAAGTTGGAAGTGGCCGCTCGATATGGATATCCAGTGTGGCATTGGCTACGCTGATTGAGCGTATGTATGATTTATTAGGTTAAATAAATAACGAATAAGGTGTCTAGTTCAGGGGAATATTCCCTGGGTGGCCACGAGGACGACGAAGATAGCCTCGTTAGTAGCCATATACGTATATATAGCTGACCTTCAACTATTAATACGCTATTGATTTAGATACTAGAGCTTCAAAAGTGATGGTGATAGCTATAATGATTGAATATTAGAGCTTGAGTGGGATCAGTTTCATGGCTCATATTAGCATGAGGAGGATACTGAGAGGATATATCCAAAGGTCTGCGATATACAATACAGTGGATAATCTAGTCGCTGAATTAAACACACCCGAAACTAACAAATAAGCTAAAGTATGCCGAGTTGCTAATGTTGTTAATTGGGATAGATGATGAGCAGTAATAACGTTATGCTAGTGTTATGTGATTCCTTGCAGCCAGAGGATAAGTAGCAAATGTGAGTACGGTAAGGCCAAGTTGTAGTTAAAAGAGGCAGTAGTTAAATGATCAGAGAGTCTTGTTCACTTCTATCCTATGAGGAAACGTGGAACTCTGATCCTTGTCTTGAGTGAGTACTAGCTGAAAGAAAATTATGTTATTTAAATTTTCAAATAGCACTGTATACGTTTAGTCTATAATGGAGGCAAAAACTTGATCCTTTAAATCAATTGGAAATACACTACTGAAATGAAAACATTAATAAAAGAAAATTTTTAAAAAATACTTGTATACCTTTAAACAATGACGGGGAGCACAAATTTGTTACTTGATCCTTGATATCAAATACATAAAAAAGATATAAGTATCGGTGAATTTCTCAAAAGCCTTTTATATCTTTAACCAGCTCAAATTATTTTAATGATAATTATTTGGTTTCAACTACACATATACTTCTTATATAAAACAAGTAGTACTGAGTGGTCCAAAATTGTCGTATACCTAGAATCCATACCTAAAACTAAAGTTTCAATGTTTAGCATTTAATATGCCTGTAAGGTCCTATAGAAACAGCATAAAGTAGTTATTGAAACGAATCCATATGCAGGCATATGATACTCGAGCCCGAAATCTTGATCGTTGGGCTTGTTTGTTTAAAATAATATACAAAAATAATTTGTAGTAATATATTCGAAGAAAACTGGTATACCTGTAACCCTTGATAGAGACTGAGTTTTTTAGCGTTGGATTTTGCTGTCGAAATAGTAAAAAAATAAAATTAAAAAAGACGAATATAGCTGTGGCCCACAATGGAGTAGAATACTGATACCTGGTATCGGCTGTAAAAAATTAGTTAATACAATTTTCAGTGAGAAAATTTTAAAAACTCCTCCTATGTCTTTAATCCTTAATAAAGAATAGAGCCATGATAATTGACCTAAACTACGAAGAGAAAAAAATTAAGCAAATACAAGCATCATTCAAAGAAACAAGGGCACCTAAACAGTCTATACCTGTAACATATGAATAAGAGTTAAACAATGATCTTTGACACCAACTGTGAAATTATAAGTATTTATAACCATCAGTGAATAGATTCACAAAGAGACTTGTATACCTACGGCCCATGATGTAGAGCAGAGCCATAAATTTTGGACTTGGCGATTAAAAGACTAGACAAATAAAAGCGACAGGTATTAACTGCTTAAAGAGTCATGTATACATATAGCCCAAAATGGGCAGCGGAATATTGATCGTTCGCCCTGGTGGTAAATAGACTAAAAAAAGAAAGCCAACAATAAGTATATGTTCAAAAAGAAATATATACCTGTGATCATGAATAAATACTCAAAACTTGATCGTTGGCTTAAAATATATATATAAAAAAGTTAGACAAAATAATAGTTGATAGCTAAATACTAAACGAGACATGTGTATCTCATACCCTGGATGTATGGTGAAACCTTAATCGTTGGTTTTGACTATGTCAAGATAACTAAAAACAACAACCAGTAAGTAGATGCTCAATATATATATATATATATATATATATATATATATACTGGAGAACTTGGACGGGCAACAGAGGCTTTATAGTTTGGCTTTGACTGTGTAAACACTAGAATAATCTAATTGATAGTAAGAAAATATTTAAAGAGCTTTGTATACCTGAGGATTTTTATGGAGAGTGAAACCTTGATCGCTGGTCTTTGCCGTAAAAAGTATGGGAATATACAGCTTAAAGTAACTAAAGGCTCAAAGAGACTTGTATGTCTATGACTGTAGGAAAATGTCGGAATATTAATCGTTGGTCTTTACTATGAAAACACTAGAAAAATACACCTAATAGTAAGTAAATTCTCGGAAATATATATATACCTATGGTTGGAGATGTAGGTCAAAACCGTGACTGTTGACATGAGCTGTGAAGATTCTGGACATATAAAACAGGCTGTAAGTAAATGGTGTAATAAAGATGTATGTCTGTAGCCCTGGATGGAAATCGGACGCCTAATCGTTGGTATGAACTGTGAAATTACTAGAAAAATTAAAACTGATAGTAAGAACATATTCCAATAAAAAAAAACCTTGTATGTCTATAAGCCTTGATGGAGACTAGAGCCGTGAGGGCTAGCATAGAATGTAAAAAAGAAAACGAAAAAAAAGATTAAATAGATAGAATCAGTAGTAAAGTAATATTTAAATACACTTATATATCTAAGACGTTGAATTAATAGCAGGATCTTGATCGTTGACCAGGACTCTAAAAACGCTTGATAAATGTCATTGGCTGTAAAAAAGTAATCTAAGAATCTTATATACCTTTACCTAATAATGTTGAGTGGAAACTTGATAATGACCAAAGACTTGATCAATGGACTTGAATGTGCAAACGCCAGAGAAATTCAGTTGATATTAAAAAAAATCAAAGATACATGGATATCTTCAACCCTTCCCGGAAAGCTGAAGCTTGATCGTTGGACTCGGATTTAAAATACTAATCAAATATAATCGATAATAAATAAATGTTCAAAATAAACGGCGATACCTGTAGCTCATGGTTGAGAGTAGGAAATTTATCCCTTGACCTATATATTAAAAGCAATATGCAATAGCAACCGGCAGTCCTAAAAGGGCAATTATACTTGAATATCTGTGAACCTGGGTGGAGACTAAAATCTTGAACCTTGGTGTGGACTATGGTATGTCTAGATAAATATGATGGATGACAGAAAGATATTCAAAGGAGGGTGTACGGCTGTTACCTCGACGAATAACAGAAACTTGATCATCAGCATTGACTGTAAAATTATTAGACAATTTCAACAAGCAATGATTAACTATTTAAAAAAAAGCATATATACCTTTTACCCCAGATGAGCAGCGGAATCTCAATTAGTAGCCTTGACTATGAAAAGACTAGACAAATATAGCAGACACCAAGCAAATGCTCAAAGAGGTATATATACCAGTAACCCTGAATGAACTATGGAATCTTGGGTGTTGGTCTCAATTGTGAAAAGACTACCGAACTAAAGCTGGTAATAGGTAAATACCCAAAGATACTGGTATACCTAACATCCAAGAAGGAGAGTGGCATCTTGATTGTTGGCCTTTTCTGCGAGTAGACTAAAGAAACACAATTGGCAGTAAGTAAATACTAAAAAGTGGCAGTATATCAGTGATTTTTGACGGGGATTTGAACCTTGACTGTTGAATTGAACTGTAAAAAGACTGCTTCAAACAGCTAGCAATATGTTAATGGGTAAAGAAAGCCATTTGTATCCCTGTAAATATATGCGGAAATCGGGCTCTTGATCTTTGGTCTCGACTGTATAAAGTCTGAATAAAGCAACTAGTAGTAAGTAGATGCTTAAAAAGGCATGTATACCTTAACCCTATTTTTTGAAGTGCAACCTTGATTCTCGGCATGGGCTGTCAAAGATTAAAAATATTCAACCAGTGAAGAATAAATGCTAAAATGTGCGTGTGTACCTAGAACCTTGAACGGATAGAAAGAACATGATCATTTCACCTTGACTATGTAAACGCTAGGAAAATCTAATTTTTAGTAAATTGCTTAAAGATTCTTGTATACCTGCGACCTTTGATGTAGAGCTGAGCATTGAACGCTTGCTACAGAGAAGAAAGGGCTAGAACAAAACAACTGATAGTACCTAAAAAGTCAAAGAGACTTTTATACCTGTGAGCCCAAAAGAATATCAAAGCTTTGATCGTTGGCTTCGGCTGTAAAAACATTATGCAAATATATAGTAAGTAGATTTTTTGGCGGATTTGTATACCTGTCCCCCCCGGATAGACAACTCATATTAATTGTGGGCCTTTCCTGTAAAAAGACTAGAAGATATAATAGCTAGTAAGTAAAGGTTCACATAGTCATGTATACCTTTAATCCTTAATGGAGATTAAAAATCCAATTGCTGGCTTAAACTATAAAAACGCTAGACAGAATAATAAGTGATACGTGAGTACTAAATGAGACCTGTATACCTCGGGCACTAGGTAGATAGTAAAACTTTGGTAATTCAGTTTGACTAAATAAAAATTACTCGAAACAACAAGCAGTAAGTAAACGATCAGGTATGTACATATACTTGTTACCCTAGAGGACAGTAAACCTGGATCGATTGGCCTTGGCTGTGTAAAATTAAAAAATAATAATTAATTAATTAATAAATAGTAAAATAATACTTAAAAATATTTTTTAAACCTATGGCCTTAGATGGAGAGTAGATGCTTATTATTTAGCATAGACATTAATGAAATTAGAAAAATCAAACGAGCGTTATGCAAAGGCTAAAAGAGAATTGTATACCTGTAACCGTGGATGAAGAAGAAATCCTTGTTCTTCGACCTGGGCGGTGAAAACACTAGACAAAAAAAAACAAGCGATAAGTAGAAACCCAAAGAAAAGTGTATACCTGTCATACTGGATGGAGATCGGATCCTTGATGGTTGCCCTTGACAGTAAAAACAATAGACGGATAAAAAAAGCCAATAATCAACGGCCCAACAAAAAATATATATCTGCAAGTCTGGATGAATATCAAGTCCTAGTTCTTCGGCCTAAACCGTATAGGCACTAGACATATAAAACTAAAAGTTAGTAAAGACGCAAACATATTTGTATACCTGTCACTCTGGATAGGGCTCGGATTCGGAATCATTGGCATAGACAGTAAAGGCACTTGACAAAAAAAAGACACATTAAATAAAAGCACTTGTCAGATTTGTATACCTGTAAAACTTGATGGAAACTGGATCCTTGAGCGTTGAATTTGACTGTAAAGTCACGAGAAAAAATACAGCTTGCAGCAAGTCAAAAATCAAAGAGATGTGTAACACTATATCCCAATATGGAGACCGGGTTCTTGCTCGTTACCCTTGACTGCAAGGACACTAGAGAAACAAAAACAATTATAAGTAACGGCCCAATAACATTTTTAAATCTGTAATTCTAGGCGGATATCAGATGATTGGTCGTTGGCCTTGACTTTAAGGACAGTAAAAAATTAAAACCGACAGTAAGTAAAATCCCAAAGAGAAGTGTATACTTGTAACACTGGACGGATATAGGATCCATGGTGGCTGGCTTGGACTGTGAAGCCAGTAGAGAAATAAAGCCAACAGTAACTAAAGGCCGAACTAGATGTATATACCTGTCGCACTGGAAGGAAAACAAAATTTTCATTGTGTAGCCGGATCGTAAACACACTAGGCCAATACGAAAGAAAGCATGTAAAGACAGAGAGAAAAGTGTGTACCCGTAACCTTGATTTGAAATCAGATCCTTGATATTTGAACTTTAAGGAAAAAAACACTAGAAATATATAAATGACAGTAAGTAAAAGCTCAAGAAGACTTGTTTACCTGTAGCCCAAATTTGAGTTTTGATTCTTGCTGTTTGGCCTGGAGAGTAAAAACAATAGTCATATATACTTCTAGGTTAGTAATGGCCAAGAACGACTTGTATACCTTCCATAATGGATGTATATTTGATCATCGTTCTTTGCCATCAAAAGTAAGTATAAATAAAGAGTATAGTTTGTTTTAAGTAAAGGCTAAAAGGAAACTTGGTTAGCTATAACAATTCATGAAAATCGGATCCTGATAATTGCCGTGGATGAGTAGACACTAGAAATATATAAAATCCAATGAGTAATTCCTCATCGAGTTTTTGTATACCTATAGCCACGGACTGAATCCGGATCCGTGAAGCATGATCTTGATGGATTCAACACTAAAAATAAATAAAGCCGAGTGTGATTGCTCATCGATTTTTGTTATACCTATAACCATATAACGGGAGATCTGCACCTTGAAGCTCGACCTGGATGGCCGGAGACTAGAACTAGATTAAAATAATGAGTATATGCCCAAAATGCTTTTTATACCTATAACCATGGCGGGGAGATCGGAAACTTGATGCTTGACCTGGATAGCTGGATACTGGAGATATATTAAATCTAGTGAGTATATGCCCATAATGTTTTTTTATACCTATAACCATGGCGGGGAGATCATAACCTTGATGCTTGACCTGGACGACTGAACATAAGAAGTATATTACAGCTAGTGAGTATATGGGCATAACGTTGTTTTATACTTATGACCATGGACGGGCGATCTGAACCTTGACGCTTGACATGGATGGCTGAATACTAGAAATATATTAAATCTAGTGAGTATATGGGGATAACGTTTTTTTTTTCACTTATAACCATCGGCTGGCGATCGAAACCTTGATGCTTGACCTGGATGGCTGAACACTAGAAATATATTAAAGCTAGTGAATATATGCCCATAACATTTTGTTACACCTATCACCATGCACGGGCGATCAGAATCTTGATGCTTGACCTGGATGGCTGGATACTAGAACTAGATTAAAAAAATGAGTATATGCCCATAATGCTTTTTGTACTTATAACCATGGACTGGCGATCAGAACCTAGATGCTTGACCTGGATGACTGAACACTAGACATATATTAACGCTAGTGAGTATATGTCCCTAATGTTTTTTACACCTATAACCATGGCAGGGAGATCGGAACCTTGACACTCGACCTCGATGACTGACCTCTAGAGATATATTAAACCTTGTGAATATATACGCATAACGTTTTGTCATACCTATAACCGTGGCTGGGAGATTGGAACCTTGATGCTTGACCTGGGTGACTGAACACTAGTAATAGATAAAAGCTAGTGAGTATATGCGCATAACGTTTTGTTATACCTATAGCCATAGCTGGGAGATCGGAACCTTGATGCTTGTCCTGGATGGCTGGAGACTTGAACTATAATAAAGCTAGTGAGTAAATGCGCATAATGTATTGTTATACCTATAACCATAGCTGGGAGATCGGAACCATGATGCTTGTCCTGGATAACTGGAGATTAGAGATAGATAAAAGCTAGTGTGTATATGTCCCTAATGGTTTTTTTTACCTATAACCATTGACGGGCGATCGGGTCCTTGCCGCTTCACATGGATGACTGGACACTAGAAATAGATAAAAGCTAGTAAGTATTTGCCTATAATGTTTTTATACCTATAACCATGGACGGGCGATCGGAACCTTGACGCCTGACATCGATGGCTGAACACTATAAATATATTATAACTAGTGAGTATATTCCCACAACGATTTGTTATACCTATACCCATTGCCGGGAAATCGGAACCTTGACACTTGACCTAGATGGCTGAAAACTAGTAATATATAAAAGCTAGTGAGTAAATGCGCATATAGTTTTGTTATACCTATAACCATAGCTGGGAGATCGGAACATTGATGCTTTTCCTGGATGGAATGGATACTACAAATATACAAAAACAAGTGAGTACCTGCTCATCGAGTTTTGATATACCTGAAACCGTGGACCTTGATCTGAAAACCGTGGACCTTGGCCTGAACCTTGAAGCTTGACCTGGACGGAATGGATACTACAAATATAGAAAAACAAGTGAGTAACTGCGCATTTAGTTTTGATATACCTGAAACCGTGGACCTTGACTTGAACCTCGAAGCTTGACTTGGATGGAATGGATAGTACAAATATACAAAAACAAATGAGTAACTGCTCATCGAGGTTTGATATACCTGAAAACCGTGGACTCTGATCGGATCCTTGATGCTTGACCTGGATGGAATTTGATACTACAAATATACAAAAACAAGTGAGTAACTGCTCATCGAGTTTTGATATACCTGAAACCGTGGACTTTGACGTGGGCTTTGAAGCTTGACCTGGATGGAATGGATACTACAAATATACAAAAACAAGTGAGTACCTGCTCATCGAGTTTTGATATACCTGAAACCGTGGACCTCGACCTGAACCCGTTGACCTTGACCTGAACCTTGAAGCTTGACCTGGATGGAATGGATATTACAAATATACAAAAACAAGTGAGTAACTGCTCATAGAGTTTTGATATACCTGATAACCGTGGACTCTGATCGGATCCCTGATGCTTGACCTGGACGGAAGGCACTAGAAGCATACAAAATACAATGAGCATATGCTCCTCGAGTCTTGGTGTACCTGTGGCCCTGGATGGAAACCTGTTCTTGATTGCTTGACTTTGCCTGAAAAGTCCCTACAGAAATATAAAAGGCAGCGAATGATTAATCAACGAGTCTTTATATACCTGTAGGCCTGGATGGAGATCTTATTTTTTATCGTTGACCTTGTTTGTCAAAAGACTAGACAAATATAATCTTCACAATGTGTGTCTTTGATGAATATCATATACTCCTTGAAATATAGTAAGTCCTGTCAGTTTATCTCTTGTTTCTGAGCGTGGATAGGCTTTGGATGGATTGATGATCAAACCAGTGTTGGACCTCAGTATTTCATTTTTGCTGTGTACTGATTTTGACATGTTGTCTTATATCTTGCTACTGACTGCTTAACATATGATAAAAGCCTGAGATTTGACTAGCAAAATGGATTTGTATTGGTCATGATTCGTCTTTAACGTGTATGTTGATTAAAGCAGTTTGTGAGAGAGCAGTAAAGAAGTGTATAAAGTATTAATGGTATGTGGAAGAGAGTTGTTTTGACGCGTTCTGTTTGGATAGGTGTTTTTTTTTTATAAAACTCATGACGTCTCAATCATGAGTTGCTGTTCTTTTTTATTATTTTTATTATGATAGTTTGATAATATATTATAAAATTCGGTTTTTTTCTTATTCCTTTTTCGGTTTTCTTTTATCTTTTAGCCTTGACAACATGTATATATTATTACTATTTTACTTCTTTATTTAATATCTATGCTTAAAATATGGGTTTTGGGTTTTAAAGAAGTATCACTTACATTCTGAAGGACGTGCTGTGCAGGCACTTGTTTTACTTTTTGTTTTTTTGTTTTAGTTCTTTTTATGTCACATAAGGTCCGTGCTGTCCGTGCAGCATCACATGTGTCATGGGGCTTAGAGGAGCATAGTAGCAATAGTGGTCCAGACTTTACTTTAGCATGAAAACATTTAAATGATGTCTTCCGATTGGTGGACTATATGCATGTCAAATTATTCAGTTGCTATGGACCCCCATCCCCTTTTTTATTCTACTTTCTGTTGTGATTCTGTTAACAAGGCTTATGCTTTTGAACAGCCACTTGTCGAGACACTATATATGCCTCTGTGTTCATTTTAGCTGTACTACTGATATACAAAGTATTAATCGGCTAGACGTTTAACTACAATAAAGAAGTGTAAAGTTGTGTTGATTATAAAGCTTTAATTAAAGTCTTGTGTATATTTATTTGTTTGTTTTCTTGTTTGTTTGTTTCACATGCTGTGACTTTATTAGTTTAAGAAGCACCCCCGAAAAAAATTGCTGCTTATATCTTTTCTTTTCTTTTGTGTGAAAGACTTCCATTTTTCTTCTAGCTTTTTCACCAGTGTCTTGAGTTAATAAACACAAAGTGTAGGAATACTTTCTTGAAATAAAAGTACTTTCAGTGGTTCAGTATGAAGGGATTGACAGTCTGACTATTGAAAGTCGTTGGTACCTCAAGTTAAAGCATCGTTCTTAGAGTAAAATAAAAGTAAAAAGAAGAACAGGGTCTAGCCTAGTGTTTGTCAATCGACCTTGGTTTGTACTACTTTATAAACCAATCATAATCCAACCGAGAAATTAATACAGAATAACCCAACTGCCTGAAACACTTTACATTTATATGTGTTCAAATATACACCATTCTATCGATAATTATAATTATTTATATAAGTTACATTATACACCATGAAAAAGTAGTGGTGCTTGCAATTGTGCTAGCCTGGTCACAGATAGATCAAGCTAGTAAAATGGCTATTACATATATATAAATCACCTTTTAAAGGCTCTGCTTATTTACTATTTTTTTCTGTTATTGCTCAGACTGACTGACGGCACAATATGAAAGCAAAGAGACAATCTACTGCTACTGAACGTATAGGTTTTGTTTGTTTGGGAGCAAGACGCTATCGATTACTAATTATCGATTTATAGGATCTAGTGCTTTTGATATTTTGTGCTTGTATACCGAACTCAACTGGATGCACGAATAACCTAGAAATAATACTCTGTTGGATTAAAGGCTTTGATTTATAACTTTTGTTTTGTAATACAATATAATGCGCTACAGTACTGTATAGTATGATTCCGCTTATTACTTTGAGGCTCATAGTCTAGCTTTGGTTCGCTTGAGACTATTTTAGTTTGAAGCACGGAGCCTTTGTATAAATGAACCTTTTCTATGGTCGATTAAATATGAGTGCACTGGAAATGATATTTTTTAAGATTTCTACAAGCATATGCAAATGCACACCAATGGTAATCATAGCTTTTCAATTATAGAAAATTAAAAATCGAATCAAATAAGTAATATTTTCTTTTGGCTTTAAGTAACCTGGTGAGACAAATTGCGATCCACCTTTTCCAGGTTATTGGATTGAAAATTATTCAAATATTAGAGAGAGTATTGAGTTGTGATAATCTCAAGACGGCTAGAAAAATATTATTTGTAAAACTCAATAAAAAAATAAATAAAAACTCAAACACAACTGTGAGGCTTTATAAGTCGAAAACATTAATACTAAAAGATGTAAAGGAAATAAACCTTAATAAATTTAGCTTTCCGAGGCCTATTCTATTAAAGAAATGTGAGGAAGAGACTCCTTACTATCATATATTTTGCTTTAGAATGGGGAGGATAAACTTGAGCTTTACTAGAAATTTAGTGAGCATTTGAAGTCAAAAATCAGGGAATTCTCTAAATTTTCACTTCAATTCATCACTAAATGGCCCTCCACGGTAAAAATTCTGGGGTCTGTAGTGAAGCAAATATAAAGTGTAGCCAGACCACATAACATTTAAATCCTGTGACCCAACTAGACTGTATAAAAATATGAAATATAATTGCAAAATTAATAAAGAAGAGTCTTTTTCTACAATAACAAAGCGCACTTTATTATTTTTAAGATTTTAGAAGAGTTAGCTGCGGTTAACTGGAAGATTCAGAGACACATATCAGCTCTACATCCTTTGTAAATCGATCCCTAACAGATCTTTCATTGGAAATTGATTCGCCGCTTACAATAATAATGAACAAAAATTTAAGATTTTCACTCGATAACGGGCTCTCTAATTCAGGAATAATACGCAGAAAAAGAAATTAAAACCGCAAATTTACAGTGAGAAACTAATAGAAAGGTAGGTAAAATACATATGTGTTTATGAGTGAAAGCCTGTGTACCAAAAGAAAAATACAGGACATATATTTTCCTCAATAAACAAGACAAATAAAAAAAAACAAACAAAAGATACAGAAAAGAAGAAGAAGAAGATGCGTGGGTACACTTGGTTAAATTTGTGCTTGTATGATCATTTGTCCCCAGGCCTAACCACAATATGTCTTTCTCTTCATTTAATTTAATTTAATTTAATTTATTTTGAATTGCCCAACACGACATTGCTCGTTTTAGGTTATTATCTGCGGCCAACTGGTGAGAACTGAGGTGGCTGATCAACTCAAAGTGAGAAAACTTGTTCCTGAGCCACTGCGCTAAATTGAGAGTGTAGATGTCTTTATGAGTATATTGACCAAACTCGATTATCATTTTAACATGATCCGACAAGAAGCCAGAAAATACAACAAGGTGTTGCGGTATGTTGAACGAATTGATTTCGAAAACAGCAAGAGCACTGTCAGGCTTGAACAGTAAGTATATACATATACATATATATATATATATATATATATATATATATGTGTGTGTGTGTGTATTGAGGATCTATTATTATGCAGATTAAAGAAAATTGAGAGCAAAAGTAATGTAAAACAAAGCAAAGTGATGTATATCCTATAAATATTCAATAACTAAATATATGTACATATCATCGATATCCTAACCACCCCCTTGGTGCTCTACAAGGGGGAGATAACCTCATTCAATTTACCACGCGAAATTTCCCAAAGGGTTTAATAATCTAGGGAACAAGTGGTGGTGATGCTATAACTGCCTTCGGTATATTTTCTGACTTGTTAAGGATTCAGGAACGTGTAGAAGGAAGTTAATAATATGAACTATTGATTGAAATATATATTATATTATATTATATTATATTATAATATATGTATATGTATGCATGTATGCATGCACGTATGTATGTATGTATGTATGTATGTATGTATGTATGTATGTAATTGTGTAATTGTGTAATTGAGTAAATTGATAGATAGGTGGGCTATTGAAACAAAATTGTAGAAATGAATATAAGAAAAATGGTGATAATAGTTATAATAGTAATTATAAGAATAATAGTAATAATAAGAATAGTAGTAATAGTAATAATAATAAGTGAATAGACAAGACAAAAAGATCATTTTTTTAAAGAAATATAAAAATAAAAAGAGATTGATAAATGCAATACAAGGAAACTTAGAGAATGATACATGACTTTGACTCTGAATCCTTTTGATGATGTTTCTTGACTAATGAAGATATCAAAGCAAATGAGATGTTAATCGGCTAAATCTTTTCTTTTTGTATGTATTATAGATGTGTATAAAACTGTATCAATACATAATATAATACAATATAATAAGGTTTTGTTACCTGAGATAGCCACCCGGGCTGCTTGCTCAAAACATTCTCGAACCCCCCTATTATGCTTGGCCGAGCACTCTAGGTACCGTACTGCATTAATACTCCGTGCAACCTCCAGACCCTTTAAAGCACACACGCACACCCAGGTAGATAGGTAATTAGAGAAAGTAAAAAAAAACAAGACAAAAAATTAGTAGCTGGTAAGAGCAAAGTAATCATTATCAATTGATAAACCCAGCTTTCTCTCTGTCTCTCTTTGTGTATATATATATGTTATTTACTTCATCATAAAGAATTGGACTTTCTCGTCTAGGGTTTGCTGAATCGTCTCGTAAATCACATTTTAGTGCTACCAAAACAATTTTTGAATGGGGACAGTGTTCTGTAACTTCTTCAAGCCAACGAGTGTGAATATTTTCAAGAGAGTCTCTGTTGTCGACCGAAAAGCAAAGCATCAATACGTGGGTATCAACATAAGATAATGATCGTAGCCTGTCAAATTCCTCTTGACCTATATGTATATATATATTTAATTATCATTAGTATTAGTATTAGTATTAGTCATATTCTCATTTTTCTGTCTTATTGTGGCTTTATTTATGTAATTGGCGGCTCTTTAGATAGTGTGTGGGTTTGTCGAGATTTGAACTTGCCTGCTGTATCCCACAAAGACAACTCTACTTCCTGACCATCCACTACAACGTCCTGAACATAATTTTCAAACACCGTCGGCTCATACACCTACTTAAAAGACACAAAAAAAAGAGGAAGAGCAAGTTTACATATACATACATATACATATATATATATATATTTGCATATTTAGTATTCAGATTTGACTGGTTGTCAATTATAATCATAATTGTAATGAAGAGCTATAATATGCTTGCCTGTGGAAAGAATCCTCGAGTGAATACATTGAGTAATGATGTCTTCCCGCATGCACCATCGCCGCATACAACCAACTTGCGGCTAATAGGTTTACCATTCTTTCCACAGATGATCATTGGAACGATGAGCAATTAGAAACCAAATTAAAGGATTAAAGAAGAAGAGAAGAATATATGTTTGTATATATAATTTTTTTTAAAAAAAAAGAAGAAGAAGCAGAAGCAGAAGCAGAAGAATTATTTTAGTTTAGTTTATTTTATTTTCTCTCTTTCTCTCTCTTGTTTTGAGTTTAGGTGCTGCAGTACATATTTTTATTTCTAAATAAGCAAGAGAGAGAGAAAAGTAATGATGACGGCAGCATGTATTTCCCTCTCTTTTTCTCTCTCTCTCTTTATATACAGAAATTGAATTGGGGCTTCTTGAGACTTTGTAAAGCCACGGCTTGGTATATAAATATATAAGAATATTAACCTTTGCGGGTTTACAAGGAGCAGTAATAGATGGATTTAATTGTATTTTATTATTTTCCTCGTTATTACTGATGAATATTTAAACACACACACACACACATATATATATATATAAACGGTTACTTGAACTTAATTCAAATCGACTAATATATTGTATTGTATAGTATATAAGAGGGGGGAAATAATATTATAGAAAAAAAAAGGAGGGCAAAAGGGGATAGAGAAAGGGAGACATGAATCCCAACTTGCTGGACTGTGATCCCTACTTGTTTATTCATTGAGTCGATCTAACAGAGGTATTCATATCCATCATCTTCTGTACGTGCAATGAAGTCCCTATAATTCCAATAATATAAATCAATCAGTCAGTCAGTCCATTCATTCATTCAATCAATTTAATTTATGAATTAATTAATTAATAATAAATAAATAAATAAATAAATAAATGAATTGATTAATTGGTTCAGCTAGCCGGTTAATTTAGCCTACTGTCAATCGAATTATCAGTACATACTTTTCAATCAATACTTCCACTCTCTTCTTAACATCAGAAGCCTAAGAAAACATATCAAAATTCATTTTTAGTAATATATACATAAAATAAAGGGGGGATTTTTTTGTGGTTATTCGTTGGTGGTACTACTTGATTTATGCTCTTACCGTCACCCGGGATCTCACATGCCGAGTCACCTCATTCATCAGTAGACTGTGGCGTAAGGTACGCTTGTCCTTCATTATACGCACTATAACTGCGTCAATCTACATACAAAACGCATCAATATTGGTATTAGCATTAGCATTAACATTTTAAAAGAGTAGAATTTTTTTGTGCATTTTCAAATCAATAATTAATTATTCTTCTTTTTTCTTTCTATTGTCGGTAAATAGACAGGCATACACAGATAGGGAGTGGGGAGGGTTTGTATATTGGGGATTAATTATTTTTATATCTATCTATCCATTTATATTTCCATTGTATAATCTCACTCTTCTTCTTCTTCTTATCTTTCGGGCCACTCTGCTGTTCTTACCTGAACTTCTCTGTTAAAGGCTGTTTGGTCCAAGGACGAATCTTTCTCAATTACTTCATTGAGGGTGTCAGTGTTCATTTGGAACTTGGTTTGCTCAGCTTGGAAATCGGTGTTGAAAGTAAACATATCAGTGGGTTCCACATCCAAGCCGTTGGGTGTCTTGACCAACAGTTTGTGTGGCCCACACGCCAAGGATTTCAGAGTACGCCGCAGTTCAAGCTCATCTTGTTAAACAATCAAAATCATCAAAAAAAAAAAAATTAAAAATTTAAAAATCAAAAAATTGTATTATTACTTTAAAGGACATACCAAGTTTGGTTTCCAAAAGAATATCCGAAAATGAAAGGCTTGGAGTTGTTGGGTCATTGAACAATAACAATACGACCGTCTGAAGTAAAGTCAGGGTGATTTCTTTGGCTCCCTATAAAACGCACATGTAACAGATATCCATGTGCGCACAATTGTACAAATAATTATAGTTATTTGAAAAAGAAGCAAAGAATGGTTAGCTCAGGAACCAAAAACAGAAAAAGAATAAAATTTTATATATATATATATATTTATTTACAAATGGGTAGTTTGCCAGGACCTCACAGATACTCAATGAATTCTGCCATGTTAGACATCGACGTTCATTCTTAGTACAGTAGAAATCTTGATAGAGTTTTTGGATGTGTGTAAACTATTAAGAAAAAGCCATTTGATTTGATTAGATTTTTATTTATTTATTTATTTATTTATTTATTTCTTTACTATCAATATTACTATTATATATATTATTATTACCTCTTGAGGCAAATTGATTTTCACAGGTGTGTACGATGGCCAGAATCCACTTGTCAAGATATTGGCTCTGAATTCAAACGACTGGGTCTCTCCATAATTTATGCTAGTCTATTTTATATATTTAAAAATATTTTTAAAAGCAAAAATAAAACCGAAAACGAGAGGTTATTTATCAGGACAATATGTATTTATGTATTGATTGATTGATTGATTGATTGATTGGCTGGCTGACTGGTATAATCATAATCGTACACTTACCCTAAAGTCATGCATCAGTTCATCGGAAATCTTGAGATCATTTAACATTCCCTCCATCTTACTAGTGTAAGCAACTCCACACTCTTTTAAGAAGCACAAAAAATTGATTGAAGAAAACAGTTTTAGTATCCAAGAAAGAAGGAATCATATATAAATAATTAAAAAAAAAAAATTCGTTGTTACCTTTCTTCATTTTTGCTAGCATCAATTTTTCTGCATTTCTGTTCATAACATCAAGCGAGAGTCTTTTTGCTAGGTCACGTTTATAGAGAGCCTCAAATATATCTTTACCTAAATATATATTATATTAATAATCAAAGTAGTAGTAAAGTTTAATATACAAAGCTAGACATAAAACAAGAGCATGTATAGAACTTTGCTCTGCTCTCGTTTAATCAGATCTAGTTCATATTTTGTTTTGGAAATCGAACAACATACTCTGCAATACTCTATTCAAACAAACAAAATAAAACAGAGCGAAACGATTAGTGATCTATGAATCTTCAGATATTCAAATCTTTGTTACCTAAAGAATATAATGCTTTGTTCCAATGATTTTTCATCCACCTAAAGCAAATATAAAGATAACACCATCAAATTAACATTTCCTTTATTTATTTATTTATTTATTTATTTATTTATTTATACGATACCTTGTTATTTCTCAGGGCATAATCTGTATGTCTGGCCAAAAGTTCGGTTGCATTGTTTTGTCGAAGGTTAACAAAGTAGTCCACCCCGTCCTTCATTCCATTCACAAATCGATCATCTTCTTCAAAGCTGTGCTCCACAATCGCGTCCGTCTTGCGCTTAAAGTAAGCAAGAGCAGGAATTGGATCCTTTCCACCCGAATGATCCCTCAATATTGAAGATCCCTTACGCTATCATTATATAATTTTATAGTTATAGTTATTTTTCTCTTTCTTTCTTTTTTATTTCCTTGACTACCGTTTATTATATACAAGAAATTTACCTTTATATAATTGACAAAGTATTTCACACAAATGTCAATTTTATCAACCTTTTCTAGTAGACGATAGAGCATTGAAAGGTCGTCCACTTTGTTCGATTCCATAAAGTGCTTGAAGCCTAATTGCATACATACATGTATATATATATATATATAAGAAAGAAAAGTTAGTTTGATCTTATAGATGTGGTGGTCTGCTGATTTTTTACTTTTGTCAAGAATTGCATTCACTCGAGTTGACAGCAGTTCTTCTTCCACGGCTGCCGTAAGGGCTGACTTTGACGACTTGTCAAAGTATCTCTTGACACGAATAGCAGACTCTTGGTGTACACGAGTGGAGACGTGTATAAGATAGGCAGACATGTTCATGGTCTCAATTAGTCGGTCACCCTCAGCCTTGTAATAACGTCTTGATTCTTCAAGTAAGCGCCCTTCAAACACAGTATGATATAATGATAGGTCAATGAGCATTCGAAGGTTGGAGTGTAACAATCCGGTATTGATCGGTTGTTGGTCACTACATATATTATCAAAAAAAAAATTGCGGTTTGTCAGAGCAAAAAATTTAATTGAAATCACACAATATATGTAATTGTTTTTTTTTACTCACCGTTCTTCTTGGATTTGCAACAATAAGTTACGGATCAACTTTTCAAGGACATTGTTGCGTTTGAGAAGACTGGCAGAAAACAATTCAACTCCCATATTCCTACAAGAATTTTTTTTAAAAAAAAAGAAGAGGTTTGTAACATTACAGTGTTATTCTATATGTATATTATCCATACAAATATGTAAAGTTTAATTACCATATCGATGCTGATTTTGTCATTGAATTCAGATATATACGATCCATGTGGAGGAAGATACATTTTAATTGAAGCTGGTAAGAGTATAAAGAAGAAGAGTGGAAAAATACGAAGAATAAAGACATTCGTGTGTTGGTATGTATTTTGACTTGTATATTTATAATGGTAACTAGCTACAAAAAATTTTTTTTTTATTGTTCTTTCAATACAATCACTTACAATCTGATCACAGTGATTTTTCCAGAGCTTATTGACTAATTCTAGAAATTCCATGCCTTCGCTCTCATGTCTGCCTTATGCCAAATTATATACATACATTTATGTATGATTTTTATTATTATTTTTATTATTTTCAGTATTTGTTTCAATTAATTATAGATACACTTTTTTTATATATATGTCATATATCATTTACACATATAAAATATATACATAAAAGAGGATCCACAAGAGTATGATACTTGCCTTGAAAGTTTATCAAATTCAGCCTCCAGATATTCTTCACATTCATGTCTCAAACGTCCATAAAGCGCTTCTGCCAAATCATATTGACAAAGATTTTCTGACAGCTGTTGTTGTCATTGTCGTTTTCAAATGTGTTTAATATGTATGTGCGCATACGTGCATATGTGGATGTAGTTGTGCGTGGATCTGTATTACTCGCAAACATACCTGATAAAGTACTTCGAGACTCTCTTTAATAGGGGTATTTTTATGAATCGCATGAATGGCTTGTTTTAATCTTTCCCAGGCACTTTCTTCGTATCCATTGGGTAATACAGGTCTTTCGACTATATATATATATATGTGTGTGTGCACGTTTGTTATTTACAAATACAATCAATAGATAAATAGATAAATAAATAATGCCTTTTCATCGTATAATACAAGATGTCTACACACATATAAAAATAATAATAATAGAAAAGCAAGTAGGATAAAATATTATATATTATTATTATTATTCACCTTTGAGGTCATATACAATCAATTTTTCGTCAGATAGGATAGGAAGTCTTTGGGTACGATGCAACGAGTTCGACAAGAATGCACTAAAAGGTAGACTTGGTGTTTGAGGTTCACTCATGACTTCATCGTAGGGTTCATTATTAATTGTCAAGGGATTGTCTAGTCGAGGTCTCTTCATTGGTTGTTGAGGCCAGTCCATTACTATTATCGGTACTGTAGTACAAGTACTATGATATGAATATGCTATGATAAAGTTCTATATGTCTATCTTTATATTATATTATACTTTATAGTAATATAATATTATTTAGACAATAAGAATATAAGAGAAAGAGATGTATGTGTCCGTGTGTGTATGTCTGTCTGTCTGTCTTTTGTGTGTCTGTCTGTCTGTCTATCTGTCTGTGTCTGTAGTCTGGTGTTTCTGTGTGTCAAAAGAGGCGTATTTTTCTTTTTTTTTTTTTTTTTTTTTGGAATCTTGGGTTGTAGACGAAAAAAGAAAAAAAAAGGCATTTAGTGACTGCTAAGTTTCCATAATAAAAAAAAATCGGGATGGAAACTCTTGCTAATGGCTTCACACTCCCTTTATTTGCCATGTCTCAAGATAACGTTCTCTTCCAAGACTTGTTTGACATCAAGGACATTAACCCCAATGGCAAGCGCTTTGACAGAGGTAACAAGAAAAAAAAAAGAGAAAAACCATAGAGAGAAATGAAAAGAACAAAAAAAAGAAGAAAAAAGGAATAGAAATTGTAGACATGTATAGATTAGCGATCAATAAGCAACAGCAACAACAACAACAACAACGACGACAATAATAACTGCAATCGTAACGACAAGTGTAACAGCAACACAAATAGCATAAGCAGTAGAAAGCTATTCAATTGAATTGTTGACACATTCTTCTCTTTACACACACGCATATATATATATATATATTTATACATTTCTCTTTCTTTATAGTGTCTCGTCTGCTTGCCCGTTCTGAGAATTACGAGATGGATTTGACATTGGATTACAACTCTGAGATCTACCCTCTCGAAGTTACCGACAAGGTTTCTTTGGTCTTGGCCTCTTCGCTCTCTCTTGAGGCTGTGACTGAATCTGCCGTGACAAGTGCCGGTGCTGGTGCCGGTACAGCTCCCGAGAAGCGTGAGAGCTGGCGCGAACGTGCACCTGGAGAGCGTGATTTGAGCGATGAGTACGAATATGTTATGTTTGGTAAGGTGTACCGTTATGATGATGCTGCTAGTGGAAACGGTGCCACTGCCTTGTCAGTTGGCCAGAGAGTGTAAGTATATCTTTTTTTTTATTTATTATTCTTTCTTTATTTATTCTTTGGTGGAGATATATATATATATATGCTTGTGTATGTGTATTTCAGTTGAAAGTTATTGTGATTATTACAACTATTAAAATTATTATTTTGTGCTTATAAAACATGTTTTGGTGTGTGTATGTTTGTGTTTACTTAGATCTGTCTATGCTTCATTTGGTGGATTGTTGATGTGCTTGGAGGGTGATTATAGACATTTGCAGAACATCACCGTAGGAGAGAACATCTATCTCTTGCTGAGAAAGTAGTTTGAATTAACTAGTTAATTAATTTACTATAAAAAAAACCCCCACAAAAAAGTCAAAAAGAGATACAGAGAGAAAGAGGTCAAATTCACATATATATATATACACAAAACAATACGCATCTTCTTCTTCTTCTTCTTCTTTAATTCACTGTTCTTCACCCATTATCCATGATATATTTCTGTTTTTCTTTTTTGAATATATATATAAAATTAATAACCAAAGTAAAAAAAAAAAGGAACCCTTATCCATAATTTCTGTTCAGCCACGTGACTAACCAAGATCTGTAATGCTTTCTCCAAGCTTTTTTTTTTTTTTGGCTTTCAGTTTCTTTCCCCTCGCTTCATACACACACACACCCCCTTTTTTTTCTGGTTTCTATTTCGAAACTAACTTTTACTTTGTACCTTTTTCATTTGTTACAAGTTCCTTGAATTCAATGGTAATTACAACAACAATGAAGAGAAATAATATATATATATATAATTGCATACGTGTGTGCCTGTGTATTTGTATGTGTCAAGCTCAATAGTAATACTAACACTATTTTTTTTTATTACTTCTCGTAAATAAGGAATTGTTATTTGGTCGCAAAAAGACCCCGGCCGAGATGCTTCGCCAGCATCAGCGGTCAATTACAAAAGCTCAGCGAGAACTCGATCGTGAACGAACCAAACTTGAACGCCAAGAAAAAACCTTGATTGCCGACATTAAGAAATCTGCCAAAGCAAACCAAATGGTACGAAGATTAAGGTTACAAAACACGCTCGCATATGTCTGTGTGTATATATATATACGTTCGTTTGCTTGCTTGCTTGCTTGCTTGGAATGCCAAACTTTCTAGTATATACATATATATACACACACATATATATATGTATATGTATATATTAATGTATGCATATATGTGCGTGTTTGTATGGGGTTTTTATAGGGTGCTTGTAAAGTTATGGCCAAGGACCTTGTTCGTACGCGTCGCAATGTTCAAAAGTTCTACCAAATGAAAACTCAACTTCAAGCAGTAGGACTTCGTATCCAGGTAAAGAAAAGGAAAGAATATGTGCTGTCAATGTCTATTGTTAACATTATATATAATATAATGTAGACATTGCGATCGAATCAACAAATGGCAGAGGCTATGCGTGGCGCCACAAAGGCCATGTCTTCAATGAACCGTCAAATGAATCTTCCAAAGATTCAAAACATTATGATGGAGTTTGAACGAGAGAGTGAGCTGATGGACATGAAGGATGAGATGATGGGAGATGCTATTGATGATGTTGTGGATGAGGAAGAAGATGAAGCTGAGAGCGACGAGATTGTAAACCGAGTTTTGGATGAGATTGGAATTAGCATGAACCAAGAAGTAAGTTTATTATCATTATTATTATTTAAGGATTGTGAACAAGAAAGAAAAGAGTCCAAAGTTTTGCTTAATAAATGTGTCTATGTATTACATATCTTTAATATCCTTTACTCTCTTTATAAAATAAAAATAAAAAGCTGTCCGAGACACCTACTGGAATTCATGTGGCCTCTACCCCTGCCATGGCGCATGAACGTGTGGCCCAAGCAGAGGGCGGTGATTTGTCGGCGGACGATGCTGCCCTTCAAGCAAGACTGAACAACTTGAGAAGAGAGTAAAACAAAATGAGAAGAAAGAAAGGACTCATTTTATACATATACATATCTTCTTTAAAGTGATATACATATCTTCTCTCTTACTCCTTCCATTTCTCATCTTAGTCTATCCAGTTTATCCCACCTTATCTTGTCTTACTCTACATTATCCTTACCCTACTCTCTCTCTCTCTCTCTTTCTCTTTTTTTTTTTAGTTTTAACATATAATAAATAATTAAATCTATATCTTTACTGCCTTTTCTTTAATCTCTCCTCCTTAATCTTGCGTATCAGTAAATTTTAAATACATACATGCGCATATAATCATATCAACAAATTGAAAAAGTGCAAATAACCAGCGTAACCAAAAGAGTCTTTTTCTTCTTTTTCTTCTTTTGGTAGCTACATACCCAACATTCAGTGCACTATACACTTTATCTTGATTTATCCTGCTCTTGGTGTATTCAATTACTTTAAATTTCTCTATCTAATTTATCTTATTATTTACTATACAATCTTGTCTTTCGGTTGGACTGAGTATCATCTAAACAGCCTAGCTTATTTTGCACAACCAGAGATTAGTTTCTTCCTTATTCCTGACAATATTTTCGTTTAATTTGAGCCAATACTAGCTCTAATTTGTTTTATTAACAATATTGCTAGTAAAGATAAAAGGCATTCTCTTTTATTTTTAAAATAAAAATAAATAACCACAAGCTGCCTATATCTTTTTGATAGGTGCAATTTTTTTTTTTGGTTTTGGCTGGTATATGCTTTCTTGCTTTCCTTTCTGTTGTAACCAAAAGCAGGATCAAAATATAAAAGAATCTTTTTTTTTTTTGAAAAAAAAAAAAAAAAAAAAAAAAACGTCTAACTTTATGGAGTACTGTAAATGTTTTCAGTTGTTGTCTATATTCAAAAATAATAGACTTGATTAGATTCGAACCTTTCTTTTTTTTTGTGCGATATCTTTCTTTAAATGGCGTATGGTATGTTCTCTGCTCAAGTTCAGATAGCAATAGTTCTCAAGGCGTCCTTTCTTGTCTAGGTTCCTGCTCTTCTATATTCTCCAAAAATTCTGGTCAAAAACCTTGTTTTTTTTTTCTTTACTTTACACGGATGATATTCCGGTCAATTCTCTCTTATTTTTCGCTAATTTTCACTTGATTTGATACTTCTAATGCGTCTTTTAACCCTCCATAGGACCCAAGCTTCGTTCTCTCTATATTTGGTTGCCTTTTTTCTTTCTTTCTTTCTGATCCCTTTTTTAATGATGACCTACAATATATAAATAGGATTTGTTTTCCTTGAAAGGTCCGATCTATTATGGTTCATTTTCAAGAAGCAGCCCTGAATCTTCACTCATTTAAATCCTCTTGCCTGGAGTGGTTCAGGTTTTCGCCCTGAGTTTTCATCTTAGTACAAGGTTCTTTTGGTTCTATTCCTGGGTAAGTAGTCTGTTTGGATGACTGGACCTCATTTGATCTTCACTATCCCGAATCCTCTGTATCACAGCTTTAATTATTTAACTATAGGTCTTTATCTATTGCTACCATTTTCCTTTGTGTTTTTCGATCATGTTACTTACTCTTCATCTTGTTGGAATGTTCTTACCGTCTCACAGTCTTACACGATTGATCTCACTCTAGACATACAATGCATACCTTTTTTTTCTTTTGCTTTTATGGCGCACACCGATAGACTTAGTGGGGTTGACACTCAAAAAAAGAAAGAATACAAACTCAGTGATCATGTCAAACACAGCACACCCTCATCCTTCGCCCCTCGGATCCCCACCTTATTGTTTGTGCTTGTTGTGTTAAATCTCCTGCCATTTTATAAAGTTTGGCATATTTTTGTTCAACTGTCCTTTCCGAATACCATGCATGTTTTCACCATCTTATACTTTTACTTGGTATAGTAATCCCACCCCCCACTTGCTTCCTTGCTTGTTTTATTTATTTTTAAAAATCCAAATATCGGTAGTTTTTGTCTCCTTATTGTACCGTAATATATTTGTGGCCCTACATAGGAAAATCTTTTGCCGTGACCCGACTCCACTAGTTCTTTATTATTATTATTTTGACATATTTTACTTTCCTAAAATACCACTCCGGGCCGCTTTCAGTTCCTTCCTTCCTTCCTTTAATTTTTTTTAATGCATACTCCTTGCCACCTTGGCGCTTCTACAATACCAATGTAACTGTAAAAAAAAAGTTTCCTACCATTAGTATTTAATAGAGTAATGTAGATCTATATATATATATATAATATTTCTTATAAGAAAGAAAGAAAGAAAGAGAGAAAGAGAGAGAATTGGAGGATAATCAAGTGTTTGTAGAGCTATAGGTTTGAGAGGCTGAGACCTATTTAATGACAAGAACAATAATACTTGCTTTGTCTTTGTCTTTAGGTAAATTAGAAAAAGGGGAAGATGATGACAATGATTCGTAATTTGTGAAAAAAAAAAGATATTTCTCTGCCAGTACTTCCGAGTATTTGAATATATTTTTTATATATATATATATATATATATTGGCTTCTGATTATGTGTAATAAGGTGTTTCATTTTTTATTTTTTTTTAAATCATATGTTATATATCAATATGTCTTGGCTTTCTTATTTTGGCATATTGAAAGCGGAGTGGATTGAAACACTGATGATTAAAGCTAAATAATAATGATCAAAAAGAAGAAACTTTCATGACAGAGCAATGAAGACAAGAAATTTGTTTTTTTTTTTTGTTTTCAAATAAGTATAAATATGTATATTTCGGACAAGACCATCCGAATACCACTATTATTATTAATATTATTAATATTAGTATGTACCAAAGATTAAAATAGAATAAAATAAAATAAAAAAGAAAGGTCAAGACAAAAAGATGATAAACCGGAGAGATACAAGGAGTCTATTTTCAGTAACCAACCCATGTAGGTGTATATATGTAACATAATTTTCATACTTGATCTTCTTCTTTTTCCTTTCTTAGGTACATTTACTGTAAGAATTGAAACAAATCTGGTAGATCTACAACTCAAAATTTAAAAATGGCATGTGTTACCCACCAAAAACATAACAAAAAAAAAACCGAAATAAGAGAAAATGTATTTTTATATAAACAACATAAGTATTCTGACTGCCTTTCTTTTGAGCTGTAGATCAAACATAGTTTTCTATTAATGTATGGTTTGAGTGGGCTGGATTAAAAAAGCAAATTACAAATGTGTGTGTAAGTGGTGTGCTATTTAGGAGACTTTTCTTTCTTTTTTATTATATTAATTTTATCTTATTTTCATAGTAAATTTCTGCATTTGATCACACCACCTTTCCCTGTCAATTTAAGTTCATTTCTACTACCTAACAGACAAACTGCTTTTGCTTGCTCAGCAAATATATATATACATTTATATATCTGTACACAAAGTCTTTATCTTCTTCTTCTTCTTCTTCTTCTTCTTCTTCTTCTTCTTTTTTGACTGTTCTCACCAAACGCATACAACTTCTTTTATATACCTTCTTTTTATCATACATGGTAGTCTGGCCGTCATCATATGGCCCACCAAACATATCCGTGGTTCTCGGTAATCCCGCAGATACCCAAAATGCAGACACCGGTTTAGTTTCAAGACATCTTTCCCTGTCTCTCTTTCGAATTCCAGTCCTTCAAGCTCACAGACGATTGATGAGCAGTGTACCTCAACTAGGAACCCTAGACGCCCAAAAGGACGGCTCGGTCTTACCATGCCATCGCTCCGTACTCGTAGCCCACTCATCCTACTTTGCTGCCCTGTTGGAAGGCGACTTCCAAGAGAGCCAGATGTCGACTGTCTATTTACCGCACGAACTGTCCGATGCTCCGTCCATAAAAACCACCCTCGAATTCATGTACGACCATAAACTAAGACTATCCTGCTCGCCAGCAGAATCTCTTAAGCTACTCCAGACCACCTATCTCGTAGCAGACTATCTCGACATCCCTCTTCTCAAGCAAGCCTTATTAGACGAATGGAACAAGATATTGCACAATTGGACGTGTAACTGTCCAGGATGTTCATCAGCTGTCCCGCTTGTACTCCAGTTTGCACGCCAGTATCCTCATGATGAACATTTGGAAGCGATACACAAGAAAATCTATCTTCTCTTGACTCATGATCCAGATAAAGCCCTGGCTGCATTCTGGACAGAAAAATCATTGGCTACCCTATTACTATTCGACAAACATTTCGCACAATCTCTTCACATGGATATCATCAGTCGTATCGGCCAGCACAACGCAATCGAATCTCTGTTTGCTTGTTTTAGCGCCGCCAAGCAACTGGCCACCAAAGACCCACTCTTCAATTGGAGCGAGCCACTTCACATCACCCTGGCTGCTGCCGAAGCACGGGCAACAAAGATCATCGCAACCCATTTTGATTTTTACTGCTCCAGCTATCCTGCCCTGTTGTCCTGTATTGATGGTGTCACCTATTCGTTTGATTTCCTCGAATACCTCCTCAACCAAATTCTCGAAGACGAAATGGACTGTACAAACGCCGGCGTATTGTACCAGGGCATCGTCCGTGACCTGATGGGAAGGCAGGAAGTCCAGAGCCACGAACGAGTCAGCTCGATTCTTCAGGGTGCAAAGTATCAAATTCTCTGCTTTGTTGCAGACCAGTTTGATCAAGTCAAACAGACCAATCATCTCAACAATCTTGATTCTGATATCCTCCAACAACTAGCCAAAGGTATGTAACATAATAATAATTTTTTTTTAATTGGTGTATTATCTATAATATTCTATTATCTACCATTATCTACCATTATTTACATTGAATGAATAAATAAAGCCACTCACAAACTTTCTTTATTTTGTTTATATATGTAGAGTTGACTGTCCCACCACGATCCATTGTACCTACCTGGCATGCCTCAAACCATTCCAAGCAATCCTTTTTGTCTTTTTTCTCTGCCTCGGGAGATTTACGTTTTGCACTACATCCCCGCCGTCGTCCATTTCAACCTTCACCTCAACCACTCTCTTCTTGTCCAGAGCCTTTTGTGTCACGTCTGGCGAGCTACATAAAAAGATTGTGGGCAAAAGAACCTCCCCTAAAAGGACGTGCGACTTACTCAAGATCCACTTCGACATTCTCTGGCCAGAGTCGTTCGACCTTTAGTTCACGATACAATGAAAAGCTACGAAAACGGTCCTTTGAGGTCAGACATGTCCATGAACAATCGACTTGATCTGTTCTATTCTGCTCTGTTCTGTTTTGATATATTATTTCTTTTTTCTTATTCATTGTTTTTATTATTGCATATCTTCTCTTCCTCTTTCTCTTCCTCTTCCTCTTCTTCCTCCTATATCTATCTTTCAAGTATATATATATATAAATCCATTATTTTTTCTTATTGCTTTTACTTGTTCCTCTTTTCATTTTTCATTTATTTTTTTTGCACATTTGTAAGGACTTTTTAGGTCAAAACCCTGTCATGTATGACAAAGGGACATTGACCTTCTTTTTTTTTGTATTTATTAATTCGAATAGAATAAATAGGCTTCTTTTTTTTTGTATCGTTTCCAATCAACACATGCATACATGCATACATAAATTAATGAGCGTTTGTGTGCATGCAAATATGTAAATATGTAAGTAAGTATATGTACATTCTAGGTTGTTCCTTTTCATTGGAATCAATTGTTTAAAATTGGTACAAAAAATAAGGTAGAGTAGTAAATTCAACTTCTTTAACAATTCTGGTTGAAGGCCATGGGTTTTCCCTAAATAGGCGGTAGGCGGAACAAAAAAAAACTATCATCGTATCACACTCTTTAACATTTTTGTATTATTATTATTATTATTTTTAATCTTTCTCTTTCTTTCTCTCTCTCTCTTCCTCACACACCTTTCCTTCCTTCTTACTTGCTCTCAATTCAGTGCAAGTTTGCTCATCGTTCCATTCCTTTCGTTTTTTTTTCTTTCTTTCTTTTCATTAGTGGTAAATCCCACATCCACATCCACTTTACACCCTCACTTCAATCTCATTCCTTATTTAATGCAACTCTCGACCATCGCACTCTTGGCCATCGCTGCTCTGGTACCATCGGCCGTAGCTGATGTGGATTCAAGTAATGATCGGATCTGGTGGGATGAGCGTTGCTGATTCTGCTTATAGATTCTACTAGTTGCACTCCGTCCGGATGTGTGGCCAGTTGTGTAGGCTGCACCTCTGACCAAGTGTGTGTCCTGAGTACAATGCCCGCCTGCGGTATCTGCCCCGCTTCCAAATGTATGGCCCGCGACTTCCTAGGCACCTCTTCTTCTTCTTCGTCGTCGTCTGGTAACAGCAATACACCTTTGATCGGTGGCTTGGTAGGAGGTTTACTTGGGGTTGCACTGGTTGTTGCGCTGGGGACCTACGTCGGCCTCCGGTTCAGGAAGACCGGCACGCTCCAGCTTCCCCTCTTTGGAAACAAGAAAGGCAACGCCAAAAAGTCGTCTAGTCGACAGGCCATGTCTGGCGTGATTCCTGTGACATACATCCCCCCGTCCTATCACTCGAGTTTACCACCAGCCGTAACCCAAGAACAACACCGACCAGAAGAAGCTCCTCAATTGCAACTTCAACATCTACACGACCAATTACGATCCTCTGTTTACTCTTCTACTGCCGAGTATGCACCTGCAAAACATGAATCCTGGCGCCTCAGCAACCCCTTTGCAGACGAACTCGACATCGAGCGCTCATCCAACCGGGACTCGAGCCGACTGTCTCACTTCCTCAGTATCCAGCACTCAGACTTTGGCGACGACGAAAGCAACCGTGGATCGGTAGCGTCCAGTGTTCAGCACCACCACCACCAACAGACCGCTACTGCTGTCCAGGCCATTCAGGTCGTGCGAGCCAAACCCCAGATCATGCGAGTCAACACTGTTCGTGTCAATGATGGCCTTAGTCGGGATGGGTCTGTTCGGACTGTGATGACTCGTGAAGACGACAATTTTCTCGGAACTCACCTTAAACAAACCAACACAGGCGGCTCTATCTACCGTACTCAAAGGAGTCCTGCATCTCCTTCACCTTCTTCCTCTTTACCATCTCCTTCACCTTCACCTTCGCCTTCACCTTCACCTTCACCTGCTCCTTCTAACTCTCGTTCTTCTCGCTCTCCCCCTCCCCCTCCCCAGAATCAAGACCCTTTCACAGACCCTCCTCTTAACAACCGTCCTTATCCACAGACCACAGACAGTCTAATGTCAGCCCCAGGTGATGGCGAGATCACCATCTTCTGGAGTGGACACTCTTGAACGTGCCTTAACAAAAGAAAGAGAGAGAGAGAGAAAAAAAGAAGAAAAATAGTAGAAGAAGAAGGCTCTTTTTTCTTTATTTAGCATTACTATTACTATTACTATTACTATTATTATTATTATTATTATTGTTGTTGTTGTTGTTTCAAACTTTCCTTCTCATTTTATTCCACAAAATAACTTCTTTAACTCTTGTTATACATTACGGTAAAAAAAAAAAGAACAAAGAGCAATTTATTTATTTTTTTAGTTAAATATTTTTCTGCAAGATTTTCCAGAGTTTAAGGGTTGTTTTTAAGGTCGATTTTTAAAGAATTGTACTTTTTATATTTGTATTTGTATAAATACATTTCAAATTTCTACTTTTTCTTTTCTTTTCTTTTATTTGCAATCAATATAAATTACCCTTTTTTTTCTTACACCACCTAAACACAATACCAATAAAAACAGCAATAATTACAAAAGAGAATTATGTAAATAATGCAGTAGCTTACAAAAAAAAAAAAAAAAAAAAAAAAGACCATCTTGGCTTGTCACCCTGTCTTTGTCTTTCTCTCTCTCATACAATGTTAAAATTTCGTCACTTTTCTCATGAATTGCACTCCTTTTTTATTTCTTTTGTTGCCCTTCCTTTTTGTACAATTCCCTGGTGTATGAATTTGAATTATAAAAATGATACCATGTCCAAGTTTCAAGAATATGATAAGCGTAGTAAGGCAAACATGGTCGCTAGTCAGGCCACAGGAATTCATGTACCGTGGACCAAAAGGAACTGTATAAAATTTTGAAGATTGGGATTTAATAAACAAAAATCTTTTACATAAAGAAATGCGTTTATTTTCTTTGATATTTGAGAAAGTTGGCTGCGGTTAGCTAGAAGCAGATTTAGATAACTATCAGCCATATATATATATATATATACATACATAGTAAAATTTTCTATAGAATACATATAACAAATTATTACCAAAGTATAGATACTGACAATTTTGCCCCTCCCCCTTTTTTTTTTTTAGTAAAAGAAAGATACAGAGGCTGAGTAACAATTGGGTTTTTATATGACGCAGTGTACTTATTTGATTGAATTAACCTGATATTTAACCGCATACGCTGGCAAACAGCGACAGGCAAGAATACTCCCCCCCCCCCCCCCCCCCTTTAGGCAACCTACAGAGCCACCTCTTTTTTTTCAATAGTGTTTCTATCAAACTTCATACTTTCCTTACTATTTTTTTTAAAGTCTCTTTCACTTTTACCCTCATACTATCTTTTGGTTTAATTTAATTTAATTTAATTTTGTTTTATTTTATTTTATTTTATTTCTTGCTTATTCGTTGACTTCCTTTCCGGTCTTCTTGATGGCTGCAAGAACTTGTTCGCGTGTAAGGGTTGAGGCCTCTACGACGACTTCTTGCTTCTCAAGACTAATATCAACCTTCTCGACGCCTATTGATTATTAAATTTATTGGTTTATTTGTCGTTAAAAAAAAAATTTTAAAAAAAAGGTACAAGATGATTAATAATAAAGAAAAGGAAAGTTGATTTGATATTGTTTGTTTTTGTTTTTCTATGTATTACCCTCAAGTCTGGAGAGAGCACGGTTAACGGCATTGGAGCAGCCGGAACAAGTCATTACAACGTTGAATGTATATGCCTAATTACCAAACGGAATGCTTAATACATAAAGTCTCGTATTCACAAAGCTTTAGGGTAATAATAATACTAATAGTATGCTTACCATGATAGTAAATTATTTGATTATTAATCAAAGAAAAAATACAAAAAAGGAAAGAAAGAAGGAAGTAAGGAAGGAAGGGAAAGGAAAGAAAAGAAAAAGAGTTATATATGTGTGGGTTGGTTATAAAGAGGTACAGACACAAAATGCACAATTTTTTTTTTGTATTCTGCATTTTCTCCCTCCGTTCCTATAATTTGTAAGAAAAATATATGCGCCAATCCAAATAAGAAATCGCGTCTTTTTTGCTGTCTATATGAATTTACCAATCAATTCAACAACTTCAACTTCACTCCGGCTCATGAATACCAGTGTCTTTTACTTTCCAATAAACAATACAGAAAAAAAATTCAATTCAATTCAATTCAATTCAATTCAATTCAATTAGTAATAAGAGCTCCAGATAAACTAGAAGGTGATTATAACAATATCACTAGTGATAATATCATCCCCATATTTGCACTTGCGCCTCGTAGTAATAATACACCGCGTGAATGGAAGAAGAATAGCAATGTAGCGACAAATCGTTCATTACTATCAATGTTTTGTTTACTTACTGTCAACCCACCAATCCAAGCAACCTCGTGATATAACAGATCTTCTTAGGCTACCATAAAGTGTACATATATACTTTCATATTTAGCAAGTACATATTTCTTGCCGAGTTAGTCCACAGTCCTTCATTTGACTTTAAGGCCTTGACCAATCAAGAACTCCTTTGTCCTAATATTATCATTATTTTTTCATTGACCGATCGTCACACTGCCTACATAGCCAACATTTAAGCTTGGGCCTGGTCAGCACCTCCACTGGATTATGGGTGTAAAAAAAAAATAGAAAGAGAGAGAGAAAACGGGAAGACTTACCCAGTACGTGCGTGAAAGAGAATTAACTGAGGAGTAGATACAAACAATCAGTCATAGAGCAGATATTGACAGCTTACCCAGAACGATATAAATTCTGGCAAAAAAAAAAAATCTATAGATACACCTCTAACAAACAACAATAACGCTTTTTTAAATTTAAACATGGCAATTTTTGCTATATTCTTATACATCTTAAAGCCTACCACCCACACAATCTTTGCTGCCGACTATGCCATGGCTTGCAAAGTTCAGACAAGTTCTGCCACCCATATAGCAGCACTCAAGCGCCAAATGTAAATCTACTATTAATTTCCAAAATAAATAAATAAATAAATAAATAAATATATTATTTAGATATACCAATCCAAATTCTTTAAAGGTAAAGGTTCTGTTAAAGTCTGAAAATTGCTTATGGAATTGAGCTTCTTGCCACTGTCTTGAAGGTCAGGCACATTCTTAGTCAATTGCGATATTATGGGTGAAGGAAATGATAGGTCTACTCGTATCATTCAAGCTTGGAAGTATTGTAATACGAAGAGACTGTGTTTCGGAGGGTCGTTTTGCAAGACAAAGACATGACAAGAAGATAAATAATAATATAAAACTTCCGACTAAGTTATCGCCAGGTTTCCACAAGATGTCTGTTTGGAAAAAAGAAATGTTTTTATCATGTTTCTGTACTGTATAAGGGGTATGGTAAAGTGTTTTGCATTCATTGCAAAAAAAAAACATGGGGAGACAAAAATGAGATATTGAAAAGGTGTCTTTTTTTTTTTACGTCTTAAGCCAGAACAATGGAAAATACACTCTAAATGTATTAAATAAGTAAAAACTATACTTAATCGAGGTTTAACCTTAAAACAACCCTTAAACCGTCGATTAAATAGAAATCTTGGTAAAAAGTGTTCTTTTTGTTTACCATAATGTAAGGTAGACTGTAGAAGCATAATTGAACAATCGAAAGGAGAAAATAATAGATGATGTTTCTGTGATACGTGTCGACCATTAATGATTTGCATTACCATGTGTTGCCATTCATTTCTTATTTATTTGAATATTTATGCTTTCTTTCTTGTTTTGCTTTATCTCCCATCTTTGCATTGTTGTACAGAAACACAGTTATATAGAAGCAATAGAAATTTTATAAAGGGAACAATCCACATTATGAATAAACTTGCACATCGCATATATATAAATATATGTATATTCATTTGTCCTTTTCTTATCATTGGCTTATTATCTGGCTTTATTCATATAATAATCATAATAGGATAAGCAAGCACCATGAGTGTTTCTTACAGACCATAGTCTTTGAAGAAATAGAACATCTGTTTTATGGCACCTCATTTTCGATGAAACACATTATTCCCAGGCATCTTTTTTTCTTCTTCTTCTTCTTCTTCTTCTTAAAATGTATAAGAGCTCTACATTTTGGCCTATTGAAAGGAATATAATTCTCGTGTACTTTTCCTTATTCTAAAAAAAAAAAAAAAAAAAAAAAAAGTAAACTATTGGTAGCAATCTTTGTACGTTCAGAACATTCCCGGGTCGCACCATTGATTCCCTCGAGAACATATCACATTTCTTCCGTTGTGACTGTATTTCCGGGAACCTCTTTTTGGAATTTTCTTTTCAAAAACTACTCCGTCAGAAAATACAGACAGAGAGACAAAGAGAGGAATAGAAAGGAAAAGAGAGAGAGAGAGAGAGAGAGAGAGAAATAGAAAATTAAAAAGGATTGAATGAGCGTTCAACAAGAGAATCCCGCATTTGCAACAATAGACAAACTCAATGTCATTTACGAAGCTGGTAAAAAAAAAAAAAAGAAGAAGAAGCTTTATATCTGTTTTCTGTTTTCTTTTTCTTTTCTTGTTTTTTTTTTTTTTTGGTTCTTGGTGAAAGGTCATTTTGTCATATAAAACGCTCATGCATACATGTTCATCCAGGTCTCGATGGCCAAGGTAGGCCGGTGATTGTTCTTTGCGCATGCCAACTACCAAATCCAGATGTGATGGACTATGATACTGTATTGGCGTAAGTTGGCTCACATGCATTTGCAGGAATCTGCATCTATATATCGTTCTGTATCCTAACCCTGCAATATTGGTTGTAAGGCATGTCCTGACCAAACTGTGAGTTACATGTTTCCATGTATCTTTGGTGCTATGTGTATTGATTTGTTGGACATCAGAGATACTTTAACGGAATCTGAGTATGTGCTTGCCTTCTTTGCTTCACCTGCTTACTATCGGCCTTCTTGGATGTGGCTACTAAAGGTGTATCGAGCCCTTGATCGAAAGTAATTCAAGAATGGAAATAACCATTCATTTTAAGAAATAAGGGGTGTGTGTATGTTTTTTGTGTTTTTTGTTGATCATCAACTGCTATATTTGTGTATTGTGTAGGTACAAGAAGAACCTAAAAGCATTGTATGTCGTTCATTTGGAAGGTGCCTTTCGTTACATCTTTGACTTTGCTAATCGACTGATGAGGTAAAAATGATCCAGATAAGGAGTAGGACCTACAAGACTAAAGAAGAAAAGTGGTGCGTTTTAGTCCAAAGTTTGCAGAGAAGCTATTCTACATTTCCCATCTGGAGAACCTTGACCCTATCCTACCCCTCAGAAATTTGAATTTGCCTCAACCAGTCATTGATTATGAGTTACAGCTTCCGTCTGTAAACGCCTCGTCTTCGACTGCAACTGTGGATAAACGTAGAGGAACGACTGGGTTTGGCTCAACCGGAAAGTATGGTACTAGACGCAACACAACAGAGGTAGCTATGGCGTTTGGGAGGACCCTTGACGATCTTGCAGAGATCGACAGGATAACGGGTGTTAATATCGGAGAAGACTATATACCGCCTGTGTTATGTTTAATGATTGAGCATTTAAGACAACATGGCATGGATCAAGAGGGGATTTTCCGCAAGTCTCCGTCAAGTGTTGAGTTTAAACAAGTGAAACATGCCCTGAACAAGCGTAAGTGTTTTGTCATTAAAGTTGATCAAACTGCTCTAAGAAACTTATACAGGTATACCGGTGGATCTCAAGAATTACGATATACACATATCTTCAAACCTTGTAAAGACATTTGTAAAGGAGTTGCCGGTGCCGCTACTGACATCAAGAGATGTCCATTGTTTGGATAAAGGTAACAAGATCGATTAATGGATCGGCGCATCAAGTAAAAAAAAAAACAGACAGACAGACAGATAGGAGATTTGCTGACTCGGTTATTAGCTACGGTTAGGCAAGAACGGGTGGGACAGATGCAAGGAGTTATTAGCCGTTTGCCTCGATATGAACGCAATGTGCTACAATACGTCCTTTGCTTTCTTGGTGAAGTAGCCGATCATTCAGACGTCAATAGCATGACCATCAATAACTTGGCTATTCTGTTTGCGCCTAACCTTATTCATCATCAACCAGCTTCTGCCACCGACCAATTCACCACTCAGGAAGAGGCTCTTAAACGCGCTAATATATATTTGACTGAATTACAGAATAGTATCGACTGTTTGCAGTGGATGATCCTCGAACACAGAGCATTATTCTCTACTGACAAAAGCTTAAATAAATAAAATAATATATATATATATATATAAAAAACACGTCTTGCTTTGTACAATTTTTTTTTGTTCTTCCCTTCTTTGTCTTGGCTTTATTTAAATTGCCGCTTATAATCATCTCCTTCACCTCACTTTTTCTTTCTCTCTCTCTCTCTTTTGTATCTTTCTTTAGCTTTTATTTATTTCTTTTATATTTATCCTTAATCCTTTCTTATACATAGTTGAAACTACAGTACATATATTCCCCCCTTTTTTTTTATTTCTTGATTTAACATGTCATCTTCTTCACTCGATTCCCCTTCGAGTGTTCCTACTGTGAACGTGGTGCCTGAAGCTTCACCTGCACAGAAACAGGCTCAGGCTGAAACCAAAGCAAATGTCACTCCCTTGCCCAGTTTGCCCACAACCCAGCTCCAGACAGACCTCAAGACCACCAAGACATCTGAAGTCTTTGATACTATTCAGGCTGCTCAGGCAAAAGAACTCGTTACTGAAAAGCAAATGGAGCCACCCGGAAGCTACTCTAGCCAGCCAAAGGGACTTCCAGACTGGTATCGCGTTGGATGGACTGCGTTTTCTAACCTACCCAATCCTGGCGACGAGGAAGCCATGTCAAAGATCCCGGATAACTTTGGACCTGAAGCATTGGCAGCTCTGTTTAACAGTCCTGGCCGTCCCACATTCAGTGACGCGAACCAAGAAGATCTGGTCTCCCAATTCCTCAGTGAGGCATATTATGGAGAATGGTATCATAACACAGCCGTCATGCTGTTTACTGTTGTCTTTACCTGGTTAATCACCCGGTTTGGAGGCGGTTTGATGGCTTGTCTTGTTATTGGAGCTTTTCTTGGTAAGTTTTTATTTTTATTTTTATTTTTATTTTTATTTATTTTAAAAAGGAGTTTTGAGTACATGAGGGGGGATAAAGCGATATATGAACGTGAAAAGGTCTATTTCGGGAAATTTCACTGCATGGAAGAGATGGAGGGAAAGTGCTAAAGTCAATACAACAGAATGAACTGATATTATTATTATTATTATTATTATTATTATTATTATTATTATTTGTGTGTGTATAGCTACCTATCACCAAACATCTATCCGCCGTCTTAGACGTAATGTACGAGATGACATCAATCGTGAAATGATGGTTAGCCGTCTTGAGACAGACGCCGAGTCTGCAGATTGGATCAATCACTTCTTGGCCCGTTTCTGGCTTATCTACGAGCCTGTGTTGTCGGCCCAGATTATCGGCACTGCTGATGCAATTTTGATTGAAAGCACACCCTCATTCCTTGACTCTATCCGCCTCAGCACATTCACCCTTGGTACCAAGGCACCTCGTATTGAAAGCATCAAGACATATCCCAAGACCGAGCCTAATGTTGTGGTAAGTCAAAAGAAAGAAAAGAAAAAAAATGAAAAAAAGACTACCAAATGATTGATTGGTTTTAGTGGATTTTAATTCTATGTTTGTTTATTTATTTTGGTTACTTTAAAAAATACAAAAATACAAAAAAAAAATTATAGTGCATGGACTGGAAATTGTCCTTTGTCCCCAATGATGTACTCGATCTCTCTAAACGCGAAGTCCAGTCTAAAGTCAACCCCAAGATCGTTCTGTCCATTCGCGTGGGAAAGGGCATGGTCGGTGTAGAAATGCCAGTCCTGTTGGAAGATATCGCGTTCAGTGGTACTCTCCGTCTCAAGTTCAAGTTGTTCAATGAATTCCCTCACGTCAAGACTCTCGAGGCCTCTTTCCTCGACAAGCCTATGTTTGATTACGTACTCAAGCCTGTTGGTGGCGAAACCTTGGGCTTTGACATCAACAGTATTCCCGGATTGCAATCATTTGTACAGGACCAAGTCCATGCCACACTCGGACCGATGATGTATGCCCCCAACGCATATTTGCTCGATGTCGCAGGCATGATGGCAGGTGGTGTTGATTTAGGTAAAGTCTATCGAACAAAAGTGGAATGGTCTCATTAATTGATTAATTAATACTTAAAAACCATGACATGATGAAATCTAAACTTAATTTTCTATTATTTTAATCTTTTCTCTTTTTTTTTTCTTATTTCAATTAGACTCGGCCAATGGCGTACTTGGATTGACCTTGTACTCGGCTATTAACCTCAAGGGATCCGATATGTTTGGCAGTCTGGATCCGTATGTCACCTTCCATATCGGCAATACCATCAACACAGAGGTCGGCCGTTCTTCCGCTCACGAAGACACCTCCAACCCCAAGTGGGACGAAACCCACTTTTTGCTTCTCAATACCCTCACAGAACCCCTCTTTTTGCAGGTCATGGACCGCAACGTTGGTCGCAAGGATACTATCGTTGGTGTGGCCACATTCGACCTTAAGCAGCTCGAGGCCGATTCCCAGGCAGAAGGTCTTTCTCTTGTTGTCACACGAGGTGGCAAGCCTGTCGGTGAAATCAAATGTGATCTGCGTCACTTCCCAATCTCGCTTCCCGAAAAACTTGAGGACGGCACTGTCACACCCCCAGCCGAGTCCAATAGCGGTGTCTTGCGTTTCATGCTACACGAGTGCAAGGAACTTGGTGCTGAAAAGAAGGGTGGCTTCGGTCTTCCCTTGGTCGGTGGTGGATCCGACACGGATGCCTATGCTATCTTCAAGGTCAATGGTGTCGAGAAGTTGCGCACCATGGTCTTCAAGCGTAGTGTCAACCCTCGCTGGTTCAAATGGGTCGAAGTATTTGTGGCCGACAAGACCCAACTCAATCTATCTGTCGAGGTTATGAACTCCAAGGAATTCTCGGATGACGAGTGTATCGGTCGCTTTGAGTCGCGTATGGTCGATATGGAAGAGCAGATCACCAAGAACAGTCAAGACTGGTGGCAGCTCAAGGACGGTACTGGCAAAATTCACTTGGGCGCTATCTGGAAGCCTGTCGCCATGACTGGTTTCGATGGTGGCCTTGGTCATGGATCTTACCGTAAGTAAAATTTATGTCTATTATCAATCGAATCTGGTGTGGGTTACTTATTTGTCGTTCTTTAGGCGAGCCTGTTGGTGTTGTACGCATCAACGTATTTAGTGCAGAAGAAATCAAAAACGTCGAAGCTTTGACCGGTGGCAAGTCTGACCCCTATGTTCGTGTCATGTCTGGTACACAAGTCCGTGGTCAAACCGAATACATTGATGATGAGTTGAATCCTGTATGGAACACTCCTCTCTATGTACCCATTCATTCCATTCGCGAGGATCTTGTTCTCGAAGTTATGGACTTTAATGACATCCAGAAGGATAAATTCCTTGGCCTTGCCGAAATATTCCTCAAAGACATCGTCAAGGAGGTTACAACTGAGAATAAACAAGTTGTATATGAAGGCCTCGAACCTGTTGACAGGCAGGTTTATATACATATATATATAACAGCTACTTGGATTACAAGTATCCATAAGCAACGAACTTTTTTTTATTAACATATACATATACATATTAAACCAATAGATGGGTCAACCTATTGGGTATGGACCGTAAACAAACCAAGGGTACCTTACATTACTCCGCATCATTCTTTCCTACACTTGAGCTTGCCAAGATTGCCGAGGTTACTGAAGCTGAATCCAAGGAGCCTGTAGAGGGTGAAACTCCTGCTGAAGAAGATGATACCCCCAAAGAACCCGCGCCTGTTGTTGATACCCACCCTGAGAAGGATGTCCATGGAGAGGTTATCAAATATACTCAAGACAACTCTCAAATCAACTTGTTGGCCTATGAATCTGGCATCCTCAAGGTTACTGTTCACACTGTCAGCCTAAAGGAAAAGGTCAATGCCACTATCGATATCTTGATTGACTCCAATGATCCCCAGTTCCGTACTGCCCAGGCTAAGGGTACCAGACTGGCCATTAACGAGACTGGTGATGTGTTTGTAAAAGAGATGGACTTCTCACGTGTCACAGTCCGTGTGAAGCCTGTCAAAGAAGACAAGGACGATTCTAACGCTGGTTACTGGGTCAGCCCAGTCCGCGATCTGGTTCGTGACGTACAAGCCCGTCGTGCCAAGGCTGATTCCGAGACTGATGATGGAAGCAAGGAATATAAGCTACTCGAAGCTGAAGGCGGTGGAACCATTCGTCTCAGCTTTGACTTTATTCCTGTTGTCAAATTTACTTTAGACCCCAGTGAAAGCCTTGAGAGTGAGTCATTACATTTTTTTTTCAAAAAAAAAATATGAAATTTATGAACCAGTATTAACTGTTTGGTTTATTTACTTTAGACCAAGGTAACCTGACTGTCACTGCCTTAAAGGCTACCAACCTTAAGGGTATTGATCGCTCAGGAACTAGCGATCCTTATGTCGTCTTTTCCATGAATGATGTCAAGCTCCACAAGACCGAGGTCCATAAGAAAGAGTTGAACCCTGTATTCAGAAACGAAGTCTTTACTGTTCCTGTTGTAAGCATCATGTACTTAGGTTTTGCTTTTACAGATTAGTGGTTCTGACTTAATTTTTTTTTTTCATGTACCTAAATAATAGCTCCAGCGTATTGGTGCTGTATTGATTGCCGAAGTATTTGATTGGGATCAGATTGGCAAGAATGAATTGATCGGTCGCGCCGAAATCACTTTTGCTGGTGACTTGGTTGAAAGTTTTGCTGCAAAGGATATCGAGGTCTCTCTTGGTAGCGATTCCAAGCTCCGTGTTCGTCTCTTGTGGCAACCCCAGTTGTTGGCTCGTAAGCGCACTGGAACAAACATTTTCTCTGCCACAACTCGTATTTTCACTTCTGCTCCTGGTGCTGCAGTCGGTGCCGGTCTTGGTGCCGGTGGAAAGGTTCTTGGTGGTGGTGTCAAGGTTCTTGGTGGTGGTGTCAAGGCTATTGGTGGTGGTATCCGTGGTATCGGAAAGCTCGGCAGCGGTAGCAGTAGCAAGAAGAGTAACACTTCTGATAACGTACCTCCTGTACCTTCTATCCCTTCCCCACCTCAGGTTTCATCTCCTCTGTCCAGTGAGCCCTCTCCTTCTACGCCTGAGCCTAGACGCATGAGTGTGTCTCCTCAGAATTCTTCTATTGATCCCAGTATCTCTAATGACTCTTACTCCATTCAACATTCTCAGACAAGACGCTCAGAGGGTAAGTTTTTCTGGGGAAAGCAATGAGAATATTTTTTTATAAAAAAAAAGAACTCCTTACTAATATTGATTAATCACTTTTAGACAGTAGCATGAACGTTGGTGGTAGCATCAGTATTAGCTTATTGGGTGCTCGTAACCTCAAGGCCATGGATCGTGGAGGAACTAGCGATCCTTATGCTCGTGTTCGTATTGGTAGCAAGATGATCGGAAAGACTCGTCACATCAAGAAGACTCTTACCCCTGAATGGAATGAGACTTTTACTGCTCGTGTCAGCAGTAGCAAAACTGTCCTCGACTTCAAGGTCAAGGACCACAACACTCTCAATGACGTTGATATTGGAGATGTTACAATCGATCTCTGGGATAACCTTCGTGCTGGACAACCATTCGACGGTTGGTTGGCTTTGAAGCCTGCAGGCACAGGTGAGATCCATGTGCGTATCGAACAAGGCCGTTGATGGTGGTAGTGGTGGCCGTGGTCTGCTTGGCAAGTTGCCATAAGCAAAAAAAAACGATTTCCTATATTTTTTTTTCATTTTCTCTCATTATAATATTGTACAATACTTGTCAAATTCTAATAAATCAAGCACCTTTCAAAAACGATAATAATACAAAAAGCACTGTCGACTTCTTTGCATGAGCTGAGTGATTGGACTGCGATTTTTGTATTGTGCAAATTGAGTTTACTTAAAAGTGCATTGGGAGAAGCCACAATTTGTCTGTCCGAAAAAATATAGCACTTCTTTAGCAGGCCATTTTTTTTTATTTCATTTTTATTCTACTTTATTACCATTAGCTCATGTTTCTCCTTTCCGAGCTTGAAGATACCGTGAAGATTGTACCAAATGACTTTAGAAAGAGTACAACTGAGGCCATTACAGGCGTGCTGAATGAAAAGTTTGCCAACAAAGTAAAAAAGAAAATAAACTCATGGGCCATAATGACTTGCATTTGACTTAATCTCGTTAAATTAGGTTGTTCAAGAGGTTGGCTTGTGCATTTGCGTACGTGACATTATAGAAGTATCGGAAGCACACATTCTCTACGGTGATGGATGCACCTACACAAAAGGTATGCTCAATATTGTTAATCTTCTTTTTTTTTGGGGGTGCCCATTACAGAAACTAATTTATTCAAATAGTTAAATTTAGACTGGTAGTATTTAAACCTTTTGTGGGAGAAGTGTTGACTGGAAAAATCAAAAGCTGTTCACCAAGCGGTGTTCGAGGTAATAAAGCAGGAAATCATTAACCCAATTCAAAGGTAAGATAATTCAGTTCTGAAAAAATCTTTCTTCGTAGTTACTATGGGTTTCTTTGATGACATTCTTATCCCTGCACCTACTCTTCAGGTCGGATCTGAATTGTAAGTATTTCAGATAATTGTTTAGCTCTTGGATCATTCCTTGTTTAACGCTGCGAATATAGTGATGCAGCAGAACAAGTTTGGGTATGGAATTATGATGGAGAAAAATTGTTTATGGATGTGGAGGAACCTATACGATTCCGTATCCTACATGGACTGTTTACAGATACCACACCTACAACCCATCATGGTGCAGTATCTGGAGGTCGTAGACAGTCAGTTGCAGACTTATCCGCAAGTAACGATTTGGCAGCAAACTCTACAAAAATACCTCCTTATTCATTAACAGTAAGTTCAAATTTCTAAAAAAAAAAAAAAAAAAAAAAAAAAAGTATACGAAGTGTGGTTTATTAAACAAAATTATGGTTTATGTAGTGCACAATTCAAGAGGATGGTCTGGGCTTACTCTCTTGGTGGGGTAGCTAAACGAGTTCAAACAATGAAAACATTTTTCTTCATAATCATTATTTCCTTATTTCTTTTCTTTTCTTTTTTTTTGGATGTATTTCGATGTCTCTTCTAATCTGGGAAAGCGTATATGCTTTGAAATAAATACATTGATAAACAACTTTCGCATGGTATATACAGATTTGGCTTCTTTTTTTTTTTAAAAAAAAAATTATTACACAGATATTTATTATTATTTATTTATTGTAATTACTGATAACATATTTAAGCACCAATCTTTAACTTGGCAAATTCTTCGGCAGCCTTAAGAGCGTCTGCCATACCATCGATCTTGTCGCCAGAACCTTGGGCAGAGTCTTCCTTACCACCCTTCTTACCACCGACCTTCTCGGATACAACACCGGCCCAGTCAGAGGCCTTAAGACCCTTTGCGATCAAGTCTTTACCGACAATACAGTTGTGGGCAACACGTCCACTGTCCTTATCGGCACTAAGGACATATACAGCCTTATCCTTCAAGCTGGCCTTGGCATAGTTGATGGCACCAGCCAATGCCTTGCTGTTGTTACCAACATTCAAGGAAGTGACGAGGTAGGTAGCCTTGGGGTTGCTGACGAAATATGCCTTGACGGCCTCAGTAGCCTCCTTGACCTGTTCAGCCTTGCGTGCCTTCTCAGAATCATCGAATGTCTTCTTGGTTTTGTTGAAACGTTCGCGGTACTCGGCCTTGGTAACAGCAGAGATTGTAAGAGCATCAAGCTCCTTGGACACAACCTTGAGAGCGGCATCCAAATCAGCACCTGATAGCTTCTCAAGCTTATCAAGCTTGGTAACAAACTCCTTGGCAGCACGATCAGCAGCAAGTGCCTCGTCACCGGTCAATGCAACAATACGACGAATACCCTTGGCAATACCAGACTCTTCGAGGATGGCAAAGCTCTTGATGTCGCCGGTCTTGACAACGTGAGTACCACCGCAGAATTCGATACTGGTTGTCTTCCACTTGGGGTTGGCAACATCCTTTGTAATATCTTCGACATCAAATCCGATGGATACAACACGGACGGGGTCAGGGTATGTTTCACCAAATACAGCTCTCAAACCATGAATGGCCTTGGCCACAGGCAAAGGAACTTCACGAGAGTAAACTTTGGTGTTCTTTGTAATGAAAGAAGAGCACATCTTCTCGATCTCAGCGAGCTGCTTGGTAGTCAAGGCAGACTAGAAGAAAAAAAGAGTGGGGGATAAGTTAAATTTTAATCTAAAGAAATACATATAATCAATTATTAACTTACCTTGAAAGAGAAATCGAAGCGCAACTTCTCTTGAGAGACAAGAGAGCCCTTCTGGTCAATCTCACCGCCCAAAACTTCGCGGAGAGCAAAGTTAAGGATGTGAGTAGATGTGTGGTAGTTTCTCAAGGTGTGGCGACGAGTCTATTGATCCATATATTTAGCACTTTTTTTAATGATCGATCTGTTTTAACAAGCCTATATTTTTACCTCGTCATAAGAAACCTCAACTTCGGTGTCGAGGCTCAATTTACCGTACTTGAGGTGTCCAACATGTAAGACGTAACCACCATACACCTGGCAGTCCTCAACTACGAATTCGGTCTCGCCATCAAGAGAGATGATGCTACCGGTATCGTACTCCTGTCCACCAGATTCGGCGTAGAAGTTGGTTTTATCGGTCAAGATACCAAAGTTGCGACCTTCGGGGACAGCAGAGCTATCGGGATAGAATGCGCGCTTGTAAAATATGGCCTTGACGCGGGCCTGGATAATGCTGTCAGAGTACTTGTAGGAATCATCGGTCTTGGGAACAGCGTTGTTAGCATCCAAAGCAGCAATGTCGTGGACATCCAAAGCAACAACATCGTCACCATCATTTCCACCCTTGACCTTACGGGAGAGATTCTTAGCAGTCTCCTGTGCAATCTCGAATTCCTTCTCGTCGACAGTCATGCCATTTTCTTCAGCCATAATACGGGTCAAATCGACAGGGAAACCGTAGGTATCGTACAACCGCCAGACGTCAGCACCGGGCAATGTCTTGGAACCAGTGGCCTTGGTCTTTGCAAGATAGTTCTCGAACAACTTCTCTCCGCGATCCAAAGTCTTGGCAAAGGCGACTTCTTCCTCGTCAAGAATCTCCTTGACCTCGGTTACCTTTGTGGTAAGCTCGGGGAAGGCAGAGGACTAAAAAAAAAGAATACAGTGAGTATACGTAACACATCTAGCCCCTTGAATATTATGTCGTATCACTCTTACCATCTCAGCCACCAAAGTATCCACAAGGGAGGAGAAGAAAGTACCAATAGGAACATTGAAGTACTTGCGTACGTATCTGGCACCACGTCTGAGGATACGTCTGAGAACGTAACCACGGCCCTCGTTACTGGGAACGCCGCCGTCAGTGATAGCAAAAGTCAAGGTTCTGATGTGATCAGCAATAACACGGTAAGCAGTATCAATGCCATCAACATCCTCAGCTCCGAGTTTACCGCTGTAAGTTCTAGCGCCAGTAAGCTCCTGGATCTTGGCGAAGATAGGCATAAAGATATTGGTATCGTAGTTGGAGTATTTGTTCTGCATAATGGAGACAAGACGCTCAAGACCCATGCCAGTATCAATATGCTTGTTAGGCAAAAGGCGGAGGGATCCGTCGTTCTCACGGTTGAATTGAATGAACACCAAGTTCCAGATTTCGAGGACATTGGGATCATCTTCGTTTACAAGAGAGGAAGCATTACGTCCACCAATACGATCGTAATGAATCTCAGAGCAGGGACCGCAGGGACCGGTCTCTCCCATCTCCCAGAAGTTGTCCTTTGCACTTCCGGGCAACAAACGCTCTTCATCTACACCAATATCAAGCCACATTTGTTTGGCTTCCAGATCGGGCTCCAGTCCTTGTTTGGCATCACCACCAAAGTAGGTAACATACAAACGCTCCTTGGGAAGACCGAGTTCTTTGGTCAAGAACTCCCATCCCAGACGGATTGCCTCTTTCTATGTTTGTTTGTTTTTAATATTGATATAACTTTGTATGTATTTGTATTTATACTGATAAAGCAAAAGATAAATATCGTCAACCGCAGCAGTTGTCCCGCTAATTACCTTGAAGTAGTCACCGAAAGACCAGTTACCCAACATCTCAAAGAAAGTGTGATGGTATGTGTCCTTTCCAACATCATCCAAATCGTTGTGCTTGCCACCTTTTATTCGATTAAGCTATTAGTAGCTTATCTTTTTTTAAATAAAAAAAATGATTTTATTACTTACCGGCACGAATACACTTTTGAGAGTTTACGGCACGACGGATGGTTGCCAAAGGGGAGTTAGGATCCACGGTACCCAAGAATACAGACTTGTACTGCAAGAAGGATTCAATTATTCTGTTTTGCTGATGTATTGAATCATTGTTGTACGGCACTTTACCTGGTTCATGCCTGCATTGGCGAACAAAAGAGTGGGATCGTCATGGGGAACAGTGGATGACGATGGGTAGAATACGTGGGAATTCTTCTCAAAGTAGCTGATAAAGGCGCTGCGCACCTTGTTAGCGGGCCATTCTACTTGTTCAGTCATGGTGGGTGCTGTCAAAACAAAGAGGATATGTTCCTGTTTTATTATTTTTTCAGGCTTTAAATGGATCGGACCAATCATGGTAAGGATGTGGCGTCACTGGCCTATCCTGTTTTGGTAAATTTCTGAATCTGACCAAATCTTTAAACCTGCACTTATCCTCATATAAATAATAATAATAATAATAAATCTAATCACATTGACCCACAAACCCCTAAGGAAAGCACAGATCAGGGAAAATTCAATTGACCGAATGAGTCATAATTAGCAAGGATACTGTATAAGCTCTCTACTCTTACTTTCTGGATATGTATAAATGGGCTGTATTCAACCTGAGCTAAGGCTTTGTTTTTAAAAAGCAAATCAATAAAAATCTTTTTTTTTTTGGTTTTTTTTTATTGTTTTATATATTGAATTTACGATTAAATATATAACCAAGTAGTAGCTTATTAAAGAACATTTATCGTTAGTATTATTGAAATTAAGATACTATTCTCTTTTGATTAAATGCAAAAATTGTTGTTATTGGAGTAAGCTTAAACATATAAAAAAGATATACATTAACCTTTGAAATAGTACATAGAATATTGTTAGCAAGTATATATATAGAAGAAGAAACATCAAAGCACCACATATTTTCTCTGCTATCTTTTTTAACTTGGCGGTAGTCAATATTCAAAACATAATATATGTCAGTGTTCTACTATATACCGAATCAAAGCAACATAAAATGGAATAAAACACAACAGAATGTATAGTATTGGAATGTCTACGTTTTATTTATACATTTTCTTGATATTGTGGCTCAAAAATAAAGGCACCTTTTTTTTAATATCCCATTCTTTGTCTCGCACGGCAACTCTCCGGGACACTGTATCTTGATCTCACGATACCTGATACTTGATGAACATTTATAAGCATATTAGGAGTCGCGCCACCATATTGCAACTGACTAATGATGCCTCGGAAGTTTAAGGCAACAGAAATATATAGATATATTCCACAAACAGTGTTCAAAGTGCAATTAAGCTATATCCTCCTAACACTTTGTCTGGATACTTTTATAATGATTCATAAGAGAAACCTCAAACTTATCTCTTAAAAAAAACTTTATATTTGAATATCTTAAAATTACTGTCCAAACCTCTGCTTTTTTTTAAAAATACATAATATTGAGATTTTGATATTCTTTGTTCCCCCTTTTTTTTATAAAGTTACATAATGCCAATAGATAAATAATAATTGAAAGTAAAAGTAAGATGTGAGAAGCAGTCAGAATATTTTTAAACTTTCAGGTTGAAAAGAATCTTTAGAACTTGCTACGTTTAAGCTAAACTCCTTTTCGGCTGTAAGTATATTGATAATATATTGGTCCGGCTACGTTATAGTCCTCCTGTATATAGTATAAATAATAAGAAAACACTCAAAAGAAAACACTCAAAAGTATCGAATTACTTCATGTGGTGGTGAGGTATAACCATAGGAAATATGTTCCTAGTTAGTGATGCTAACCCTCATGAAAATGTGCTCTTGGGTAGTGTAGAGGGTCTGCTTTAGAATAAATAGGTCAATAACCTCTGTTTTTATTGCTTTTCTGAACTTTTGCATATCGTTTTTATTTTATTCTATAAAAATCTTGGTGCTTAAATTTATCGCAATTCCCCAAATTTCTAGTTTATTTATGGGTGGTACTCGCGATCTCTTCAGAATATACTGGTATACGTTCTTAGTGTCTGCTCGCATGGAGCACGGAAACAAAGGTTGTTGAGAAATAATGCAACTGAAGGGTTTATACCCAATTTGTTCCAAGAGTTGGATGATGTGAAAGGATGCAAAATTGTATACTAAGACGACAAGTGTGTGGTAAATTCAACAAAACAGTATGTCTAATATGAAAGCATATTATATATTAGAACATTGGTAGCAAATTATTTTTAGTTGTACAAGATAAGTACATGATGCATTATCGAATATAAATGTGTATTTTTAAGAGAAAGAGAATTATAGTTGCTATAGAGCAGATACATGATTATCCATAAAAGTAAATGGTCGAAAAATGTAGCTTTTTTTTTTTGAAAAGAAAAGAAAGAAAGAAACCTCTCCTAGAATCTCCTTTTACGTTCCCATTTTTTTTCTTTGGCCTGTTAATTTTCTGCTTAAAATATTTAATGTCGTAAACTATTGTAACGATTGTAAATTGACTATTGTGTACTTACTGCAAATGTTAGATATTATATTTTAAGTAATACGGAAAGCTTGATGATTATGTGAAATTAATATAAAGTCGAGCACAGTAGTCAAGACTACACGTAGTACTGTAACTGTTTTATTGTTTGTGTAGCTTGATTAATGTGTGGTCCTTCTTGTATTTATTTATTTATGTATATTTTTTACCTTTTTCTTTGCAAGGAAATTTGTTAAGGAAATTCACATAGTTAGATATGTACTCTAGTAATTTTGAGTCTATATTTTATCGACAGGCTTGTTTCTTATTCTAAAAGCAAAATATGGATTACATTTTCTATTGATCAATCATAACACAGTATACAGGTGCTCGACATTGTATGGATGCAGAATATTGTCTTTAAATAGTACATATACCCATTTATGATATTGTGAGAGGCATCCACCAATCAGGGTTGATGACATGGTTCCCAGGATCTAAAGTAAGGATAAAATAAAAGCCAAATTTTGTTTTCCATCAATCCTTTTGTACTTTTGATAGACAAATATTTGTAGACAATATCAGCAAGGATTCTGTAATCAAGTATACCGTACAAGGACTTGAAATAATAAATGGTAAACAAATTAGATTGTACATTTTGACACAAGGTTTTTGAATTAAAAATAATCGAAAATCTCGGCTGAGCTTTAGTATAAGGATCATGCTAGCGATGTGCTTTTCAAATCTGAATGCGGCGATCTCTACTGCTGTTTTCTAGCAGTTGTACAAAAGAAAGAAAAACGCCATGGCACATTTACATGCCATGATACCTTTAGAATGCCTCGTGTTTTGTACTACATTCAATGGGCAAGAAAAACCGATCAGAAGTATAGTTCTATTTGATCAGCGCTCTTTCCTTTTCTCCTTTCATTTTCCTATAGTTCACTTGAATCCCTCTTTCTTTCCTTGCCAGTTTCTTTTACTAAAAAAAAGTCTATGGAAGCCAAGAGCTTAACCAAGTTACAACGGCTGGCACGTTGGTCAAACTCGGCACCTACCAACGACGCTGAACGAAGATTGACTGAACACAGTTCAGCATTAACTCCACCAAACGTAATTCTTCAACAAATTGATCACAACGATCTTATACAGGGTAACCTTTATATTCTCAAGATCAGTCTCATTGTTGTTGGTTTATTCCAAGGTAATATATAACATTGCTCCTAACCACACTCTAACTTTAAAGCGACTGTATAGGCTGGGACGACGACATGTGCTGTTTCGTTATTCTTCGTAAGTCAGATTTTTTTCACTAAAAAATAATGCCAGGTCATCTAATATATAGTGCAAAATGACAGGCTCCGACGTATCCTCGATGCGATGGTCAGAAGCAAGATACATACCCGGCGATTTCGCCGCTTTTGATGCATTTGACAGCAATGGGAATCCATCTGTATTTCTCTGGACGAGACAACTACGTGCACCTATTCCTAATAACTGGTTTACACTTTTTGAAGAAGCTCGGAGGAAACAGCGAGATTGGTCCAACACGCTTCGACCCCAAGAATTACCTGTTTTTCCAGCTGTACCCACGCTTCAAAATTCTATAGGCGAGGATAAATCAGTAGAGTACATAACTCTGACAGACAATCCTGTTCCTCCCCTCTCCACTGTAAATGTTTTACAGGAAAGCCTAACCAAGAAAAAAAGTCAGCAGCAGCAACAATCCCCACCAAAAACTAAACCCCAAACATCCCACTTTTCTATCGACCATGATTTGGATACACAACCTGAATCAGTCCCATCGCAACAGCCAATATCTCACCCTACTTCATATAGCCATCATGACAAAGTAAAGTCTTACACAACGCAGCTTCGTGGATTCCCCTCACTCTCAAGTTCCTCTGACGGCTCATTCACGCCAATTCAAGAACTTTCACGGCACCAACTTCAACATAATACCCACACCGCTTTGTCGGGACCGAAAACCGGAGAATCTCCCGACCTTCCGTCCACACAATACTCGTCTTCTATTGAAGGAACCGAGCAGTCTGCTACTTCACCATCAACAAACGACTCGTTCGCGGGGAAAGCAACCTCGTTTATAAAAGAGGCCCCAGCTGCCACATCGAGCACCTCAGCATTTTATCAGCTGGCTATGATTGGTCACTCTTCGGTTGACCTGAACCCCATGGCTTCACAATCAAGAGATACTAGCTCTATATTTCACTACCATCACAACAACAACGCAGTATCCTCTTTAATAGATGCATCTCAAAAACCACTATTTAATGTTTCACTTTTTGATAATGACATTACCTTCCCTCACGATGCTGATCAGTTTTCGATTCATACCACCGAATACCAATCTTCCATTCGCTCTCATTCTCCCTCTCCCTCATTAGAAGACACACATACCACTACCAAGCACAGAGTAAATAGAAAATCAGTCAAGCGTCTATTTCGTATTAAATGAAATTAACAAATAGTTATATTAATTAGTCAAGCACAAAGAGAAACCAAGGCAGACTTTTTTTTCTCATTTTATTAAGTATACCTTAAGATATACATACACAGTCCTCACTTTGTAGGATCTGCTTTTGCTTTTTGTTTTTTTTAAAAAAATAAACAAGTTTATAATATTCTGTATGGCGAATTTGTAATTGATAATTTGGTGCTACCTTGGGTGTAGGGAGCAATTTCTCGTCTAAAATAAATAGCAATATTTACTGTTTAATTTAGAAAGTCCCTTTTGTAGTAATGCATGGTTACAAAGAGCCCGCATCCTTGGATATTTCTGTCAAAGAGTTTATGGAATATCATTATTATGTATATCTATATATTATTTTGCTGCGTTTATCTCTTTATTTTTTATTATAGTAACCATTTGTCTTGAGTGATTAAAAATACAGACAATGCTTAAAAAGCTAAACAGTAAACTCACTTTGTATATTGTACGATGCTACCATAAAAAAATTGATCTTAGATAAATTGGTTCCCTCCTTTTTTCAACAACAAATAAAGGTGGAGTAGTAGTAGCTCAGTATACTTTTGAAACCTTTATATTCATATACAGCCTGTAACTACCTTGTAATACAAAAGTAACATAATAAATCTGAGCATTTACTATAATTGAGTAATTAGGCAAAATAATGTCAATTAATTGATGTCAACAGACTAGGCATTCAAAAAAAAATTAAACAACTCTGACTGGCTATTCTATCTGTAAGAATTTAGATATTTGTATATAAATATTCTATATAATAATCCTTATTTGTCTAAAAACTAACATTTGTTCGTCTCAATCTTAAGTACAAACAATGTGTATAAGCAAAAATTCATAAAAATTAATAAATTGATAAAAAAAAAAATAAGAATTTACACCATGGTTCTTTATATGAAAAACATCTTTTTTTTTTTGGCTCATCATATTTTATGCTATTCTGTTTTTGATCTTTATCCTTTTGCAAGTAAATCATTTTAATCCAAAAAATATATCTTATTTTAAGTCATAATATATTAATGTCATTAACTATCTTCAAATTACTATTTTTATTAACTTCTGACAAGTCTTTGTGTCTGGGTTTATCTACGACTCGATCGGATATTACAGTATTTAAAATCAAACAAACCCAGAAAATAATATAAAACTATTAATTTTATTTTTATTACAATACAATACAGTACAAATCATGGTAAGCATTCTTTAGTTCGTTTCATTTAAAGATTCTCTTGAATCTTAAAATACTGCTTTAATATTAAAAAAGACTGGCAGAAAAGCTTTTATTCAAAAGGAATATGCTCGACACCGAGCTATATATTGTCGTTCCCGATCTGGGTTGGTCTTCCTTTTACTATAACAAAGTCAAAAGGTCAAACCCACTGGGGATCAAGGAGTATACGTAAAATCAAAGAGAGGATAAAAGATACTTTTTATTGATATGAATTGAATTGTCATATAGTTTTCTAAACTAATAATGCGCATTATCCGCAGTAGCTATTATATTATATTTACATAAAAGGAGAGTCATTATACTGCGGTTAACCATCTTCAGATTTTACGGATTCATCAAAATAATGTCCGACAATATAAACTTTGTTTTAATCGGCTATTGTTAGTAAAAAACTACGACAAAATCCCGCTTACTCACGAAAATGAGTAAAAAATGATTCCGGCTTACCAGATTCGAACTAGTGACCTAAGGATTACAATTTCATTACAGTCCTCCGCTCTACCAACTGAGCTAAAGCCGGTTGTTGTGCTTAAGAAAAAACACAAAATATACTAGGAATAGTGTTAATGGTTATACAGTGGGTAGCAAAGTATATACCTTAAGTAAATAAAGATATTATTATTAATATCTATTGTTTTATAATTATATACTTGTATATCTATATATAAAGACATTTTGAGATATTCATGATAGAATTATCAAAAAATAATAAAGATATTTTGATTAATAAGTACTGAATAAATCAATAAAAAATATAAAATAAAAATATAAGAATATATATTCTATTTATATATTATGTTGTGTTAGTTGAAGTTTTTAAAAAGTTGTAAGAGGAAGAATTGAAGATTTGAGATTAGGAACAAAGATTCGTGAGAACTTGTGTTGGTTTTGTTTATTGAGAAAAGATTTTGTATCAAAGTTTGATGAGGTTCCTACACTGAACTACTACTGCTATTTATATTATTTTGGATTAGGAAAATTATATGACTGTGGTCAGGTAATCAATCTTATCTGATTCTTAATCAGAGCAATGTGATATTAGGATAATTAATGTATGATTAATTATATAAATGTGTGTAGTCTCAATGAAGTATTAACATCAAAAGTAAATGTGTTTATGAGTTATAATTATGCTTATAATAATCCACTGATGTATCTCATATTATAGTGATATCATCATATGAAATACAATCACTATCATGCATGCTAAACCTGTGTGTTAAATAATAAAGTAATCAGTAGACACCTTTGACTAGAATAGCTGAGGTCTTATACTATTTCCTTCAGACTTATTCTCAATTACAGCAGTAGTCAATACTCATTTACAGCATATTAGATAGTATCATTAAATATTCTGAACTCAACAGAAAAATAGAGACATTTATAAGTTGCTATATTTGATAATCAACATCTGAAACAGATTCAAAGTTGCCTTTTTCAGAACCATGATTTTCTCAAAATTTTAATTTATAAAAGTTATAATATTTTTTCATATTAAGTAAGACAAAGCTTATAGATAATATATGTATGTATATCTTATCTATATCGTACATAATTTATAGCTATTGTAAATATATTTTCATAGAGATACAGCTTATTTATTTAATGTAGCATAGAGGAAATATGAATAGAATATGTCAGGAAAACTATGTGAGACATGATTTGTTCTTATTTCTTTTTTTGAGAACAATAGTTCAGAACATTTAACAGCACTATCTATTATAGATAAATAATTATAAAATAAATTGTTAAGTATAACTTGAAATAAAAGTATATTATATTTAAATAAAAATTAATAATATACTTGAACTTTGTAAAATAATTAATATTACTTTTAATAAAATTATAAATATTTTTTAATATTTTATTTAAAGTATATATTATTTTTCAAGAATGTTGTAAATGAGTATTGACTACTGCTATAATTGAGAATAAGTCTGAAGGAAATCATATAAGACCTCAGCTATTCTAGTCAAATGTGTCTATTGATTACTTTATTATTTAACATACAGGTTTATCATATACAATATTGATTATAGCTCATAAATATATTTACTTTCTATGTTAATACTTTATTGGGACTACACACATTTATATAATTAATCATATATTAATTATCCAAATATCATATTGTTCTGATTAAGGCTCAAATAGGATTGATTACCTGACCCCAGTCATATAATTTTCCCAATCCAAAACAATATAAATAGCAGTAGTAGTTTAGTGTAGAAACCTCATCAAATTTTGATGTCAAATCTTTTTCTATAAACAAATTCTATACAAGTTCTTACAAATCTTTGTTTCTCACTTTCAAATCTTGAATTCTTCTTAACAACTTCAAAAACTTTAACTACTGTAACTGTTGTGGGGAGAAAATAAAGCAAAATATAATATAGACAAAAGAATTCGTGAGAACTTGTGTAGGTTGTTTATTTCAAAAGAAAAGTAAAGAATAATAAAATTCAATTGTTTTTCTACACGGAACTATCTACTGATATTTATATGTTTTTCTAATTCGTAATTCAGTGTGTACTTAAGTAATCTTTATCACGATGAGTCATCTTCCAGGAGTATTGTTCTTCTGGAAAGATCTGGAAAGACCAATTGATATAATACTTCTCCAGTCAGATCAGTCCAAGAGTTTCAGTAAAGAATAGCATTTATGCTATTGATAATATTTTAGTAATCCGACCCAGATACTCAGGTAATGTTTCATAATATTAAATAGTCGTAGTTGTAGTCTCTCAATTAAGTATTTGCATAATAAAATATGTAAATGAAATATAATGATGTCATATATATAATGTATATGTATTTGTATATCCCATGTCATGGTGATAATAATAATTAATCAATTATGTGTATGATGATCTGTGTATTAGATAATATCATAAAGGAAGATCTGTTTGACTGTGTGGTATACACACCACAATTGAGTGAAGAGCAGACCCCACAACCAAACACTGGTTCCTTCTTGCTAATGAACCTGGCAAGTTAATAATCTCCAGAACTGTTACACACCAGGCACACGTACACTACACACTCATACAGTGTAAACCAACCATTACACAACAGGGATTTGAATTACAGGGATTTGAATAGTAGCAAATATAAAAACAATATTATTTTGTCTCTTTAATAAATAACACTCTCACAGTATCTAATTTTCCCATTATTGAGATACTAACCCATAAACAATCCCGAATACCTCAGACTGGAATATCTGAGGATATTATTTTATCCTTCAGTCTTACTCTCAGATTCAGCAGTAATCAATACTCATTTACATCATCCTGCAAAGAAGTATGACACTCTTTGCAGGATTTCCTTTAATCTTCTTGCACAAGACATACCATTGTGCATTGTATTTCATCATTGATACTGCTTTAATAGAACTTTATAACAAAGTAGTATAGATTGCTCACATATAAAGGTCTTCAGATGGAGCAATAATAAAGTTGAATCCTTATCTATCTTTATTTAATTGATTAAATCCCTTTTTTACTTGTTTATACATTTATTTCATCGTCACTGACTTATAACAACTCTTCGCAATAGTTATAAGCATACTTCTTGTTATATTTGTCCCTTATATACACATTTTACTATATCTCCTTACTGTTGGATAGACCCGAGCATTATCACAGTAATTCATCTCTATCTCTCTATATATTTGCCTTCTGAACTCGTTGGCAACTCTATTTTCATTTATTATTTTTTGACAATGTTGCACCACAGCAACTCAACACTTGTCACTACTTTCTTCATACTATCCAGAACGTCATTACGTAATCTCATTTAAATATCAAGCTCATTTAAAAAAGATTCTTGCCACCTTATATGTTCTTATTGTTTATCTCAACTGGGTACACAATAAAATATTCTAGTAAAAAATCAGGGTGTTTAGAAGCCAAAATCAGTTGATTTTTATATATTAATTGCTAATGAATTAGATAGAGATATATTTCAAAATCATAATATATATTATGTACTTATAGCATCCCAAGCAGTTTCATTTCTTTTTTCCCAAATGTTTTTAATCCTCAATGGTGTTTTAAAAAATTCAGAAAATTGATAATCAAATCTTAGTATTTATTATTTTTCAAGACCTCACTATCTAATACAGTCTTCTTTACTAGTAAAATTATTTATTTCTTCTCTAAAATCATTCTATTAGACATTTGTCTTTTCTTTACAATATGACTGAGTCAATTATTTCTGAAATTATCAGCTTTATAACAAGTATAGCTTTTAAAAGGGTGTTTTTTTTAGCTATTGCTATATATTATTATTTGATTCAAAGAATAATTTAAAAAAGAATTAAAAAGCAAAGATAGGCTTTTTTAAAAGAAAAAAGTACATTGAAATTCACGGAGCAGACGGTAAATTTACTAAATATTTTATTACGTGTTTTCAGAAATGTAACTGCTGGTGATGCTTTTATATACTTGACACTGCTTTAATAGCAACCAAATATTAGCTAAAGAAATATTAAATTACAGAGCCATATATATAAGTAGCATTATTTACAGTATCTATTATTTATCTTTTCAAAGCATTCATTTATCTAAAGAAAAAACTTTTACTATATAAGTTATTGCTATATCTTTTATTTTAGCATGTATTCTAATATAGAAAGTATCGGGATTGTCTTGGTTATTATTAATAAAAGAAATTCTTATTAAACACACTTGATTTTATAAGTATTTTTGAAAATGTTTTATTTATTCATTGATTGTCTTTTTCTTCGGATTGCAATAGTATCTTCTTTTTATTAAATAATATACCCAATGACTTACTACCTGGTATATTAGAGATAACAATATAAAGTGCGAAGTATTAATAATTAAAATAACTATAGCAAAAAAAAGTGTTGAAAAATCAGAACATTTATTATACATATATAAAACTATTATCATTGTTTTCATAGCTTTCAAAGGATACTTTTATACAGCTGGTAAATAAAGTCAGAAGAGCAGATAATATTCTGTTTTAATTTATTGCACATCTCGAAATAAAATGGATAAAAGAAAGAAATACGTTTATTGGGAATGAGATGTGATTATTATTTGTACGTTTTGTTTTGTTTTTATAATTTGATAGTAGACCATAGATATATTATATATATATAGACTACTGACTTCTATTACTAAAAGATATAAATAATATAGTTTCAAAAATGAGAGTACAGTTTCTTATATATATATCCCACGTTATTTTTCTAAACTTAACTTTATTGAGAACTTTTAATCAAATGAAGACTTTTTTCTTTCATTTTTTTTAAAACGTTTGAGTTTTGATATTTGAGGTATGTAATTACGCTCCTTCTAAGTATCTTTAAGAATCGGTTCAGATTTATGTAATTATCGCTAAGAACAAAAAAAAAAAGATCTTGGAAAGTGCACCGATCTAAAAAAAAACCAAAAAAAAACCCCTTTTGGCAATAAAAATATATAAAATATAGACAAAAGCCGCCCATTGAAAATTAACCGACAGATATTTGCGCCCTAAATGTACGACGAATGGTTTAGAAAACCGACATCTCGTGTGACTACTACTACTGTATTTCTAAGGATTGCATATGAAATAGATACATATAAATTTCAGCCTGAACCTTCAAAGTATAACAATATTGCTTTATATATTCTTGCAACATACTTGATTACACAAAACACACAAAGTACACAAAGTGCACAAAGTACATCAAAATACAGCAAGTAAACAAAGTTAACCAAGTATAAAAGTGTGCACCAAGTACACCAAGTACCACAAAAATATAGAATAAAAATCTATTGAATCGAACTGTTGGTTCACATATTAGGTCAATATTACCAAGTGATTGGCAAGATACAAGTTTACAAAATGATTACAAGGATGTTATATTTTTCTGCTTATATTTATATAAATATATATATATTTAAATGTTCTTTTTTTTGGGTATGTCTTCTTTTCAAATGATTACTCCCACGTAGCATACAGAGGCCTAGATTTAGAAAGGATCAACTTGATGTTCCGCTATGTACTAATTCTTGATCTTATTCTACTGGGAAGTTGTCTGTGCACCCACGTATATCTTGATTTTTCTTTTTTCTTTTTTGATCTGTAGGACAAAACACACACATGCTCACACACATGCACAAACGTACAGGCACATATACTTATACACATACACTTATACTTGTATGCACACATTTCTATCAATTCAGTTACTGCCTTGAATTGTCAGTTTTTGAGCATGTATATGTATATAGCTCCTATTGTCAGCTTATTGGGATATTTCGCAAAGATATCCTACTAACTATATTTACCATTGAAATTCAATGGTAAATATAGACACTTGGACATGAATTAGTTAACTTCAATTTCTGCCTTTAAACACAATTAATATCAATATCAACAGTTATATACTTGAGGTCCAGGACACAACCTTGTTCTCACACAACTGATAAAGCGATTGTTATAATACAATACAGCAAATAGCTTGAATGTTATTATTACTATTATCATTACCATTGCTCTCTAAGAATAACTTTATAAAGCCGAGAAAGAAAGAAAATGAGAAAATGTAGAAAAGGTTCAATTCGGTCATCCATCTTGAAAATAACATAATTGTAATTACTCTTCTTCTTTTTCCATCTTTTAATTCTTTGTATGTATTTGGTATTGTTGAAAAATTAGACTTTGTGTGTTTATGCTTATATTGAATTCAGCTATATTCCTAAAATGAAATCAGGTATATAAACGATCAAAAGAAAAAATCAAAAGAAATTACATGGATATACAGAGATAGACATTTGATGGGCAGTATATAAAATTACTATGTTTTTTTTTAAAAGAAAAAAGAATATATATATATATATATATATATCTACACACATTTACACACACATACATATATGTATATATATAATTTCTTAGAGGGGTTTCAACAGAACAGAAAAAAAATGTACCCTTGCGTTGTGTTCAACTGGTTTGTATCACGATTACCAAACGGCGTTTTTTACCGACAAGGTTCTATAATTTTGACAAAACGGTCTGTATGTCAAAGCTCAGCCCTTGCTCTTTCTTTTTTTTTTATCTTCTCTTCTTCCTTTTCTTCCTCTTCTTTCTTCTCATTAGCCAATTAAATACACATATGGCTAAAGATCATGAAAGTTAGTGCTTCCATTGAGAGAGTAAAAAGAAAAAAGAAAGAAGGAAAGAAATAATTTGATAGCCAATACCAAACAAAGAAGAGTAGTATCATATATATATATATATATATATTTGGAACCTGTCTGAATTAAATACCCAAAGTTTATTACATCTTTTTGTGTGCCTACACAAAGAACACACAAAATAACAGCAATCGGTCAAACCTATTATATATATACAATAATGATAATAATAATAATTATTCGTATTATATATCGATTGATCATTCGCTCAATTTCCGTGCAACAGAGTACACATCTTGTTGTGTGTATTTTACGGAATTGACTTACTAGAGCTGTGAATATGTACATACATGTATATGTATTTATATACATGAATGTGAATGTGAATGTGAGTCAAGCCGTGGCTATGTCTATTGACATGTTGTGTTTTTGTTATATATATATATATCTTTGTATATAAAAATAAAATTGATGACTATTTTTGAAAGATTGCCATCAAGTCAACCTAGAAATAGATCTCAAACTCTAAAAACGCACCAAAGCTTATGACATAATGGTGTTCCAGGACAGTTTGAAGTATATGTTTTTTTCTTATTGTTTTCTTACCAGGAATATTGTAATCCTAACGTTTCCTCTCTCCCCACCCACATAAGATAAAAGAAACAAGTCATTTCTACTTACCCAATCTTTTATTTTGATTTAAAAGGATACAGATGATTTATTACCTAGATACCGTTGCTAGGATACAATTGTTATATTTAAAAAAGAAACGGGTCTGTTACCCTTGGGTTTTTTTTTGTCTAAAAAATATAAACTCTTTTGGCAGGTCATATCGTGCGTAGATTATGCAAAGGACTGTTCTTTAGATAACACAGGAGTCTAGAAAGCTTCCGATGGATTACCATATCTTACTATGCTTTATGTGTACGCGTTTTTAGGTAACCCTAAGAAAAAAAAAGAAAACTCCTCCCACCCCACCACTTTCCCGTCTCCTCCTCCTCTTCTAATAATAATATTGACAATCATAGTAATAACCAACAAGAACAATAAGAACAATAGAAAAAAGACATGTTTCTTCTTATGCATTTTGATTTTGATTTATTTTCTTGAACCATTTCAATGATTTCATTAGATTACATTAGTAATACATCCATAAACACATGCGTTACTTTCTTTGTGTATATTTGTGCTTGTATCATTATATAAATGAGAAGAAACGTTGCAATTGTGATTGGGCATTTATTCAACATACAGACCAATCAATTAGTCAAAACAAACAGGCAAGCAAGCAATGAAACAAAAAAAAGACTAAGGCTGCCACTTCATAGTTAATGCTCATCAGCACGCCAACGAAACACAGTACCCGAAAGTAGCAGTTGAAATCATTTCTCTTTCGTCATTGTTTTTCCGGCTGTGAATTATGTAGAGAGCTGAATACAATACAATAAAATAAAATAAAATAAAAATAAAAAACTTATACAGCCGCCTTGTCTTCCTGCACGACATTTGCCTTTTTCGATCTCTCAACAGAAAGAGTTCTATTTCTGTCTCAAAGTCTTTGCCACCCTAAATACTCTGGAAAGCTCTTTCTTAAAAGCTCTTTATTCCCCACCCCCATTTTCTTTATTCTTATTCTTGTTTTTATCTTCGTCCTTCACTCTTTATCCTCATCCGCGCTCTTATTCTTTTCCGTACTCATCAATCGTACTTCTTTTTGACTTGTGGAAACTGTTGTTTACGGACATGCGCGAAATTGATTTTCCAAGCCCTCTCAGCAAGCCCACCCACCACTACCAAGAAGAGTACACGTACGCACTACATGAATACCCGAGAAGCCTACCCCAAATGTCGCAAATGTCTATGCATTCGGTTGTGTCGGACAACACACTTTTTCATTTCACCCAATCTGTTCCGCAGGATGCACAGCCGATCTCATCCCAAGTCATTGCGTCGCCACCCATCACCATCCCAGAAGACGGGAACCACAACTGCCCACAATACATTTCGCCCAGCACACTCACCCTGTCTCCAACCTTTCGCTCAGATCTCCAAGAACCACTCTATACCTCTTCTGAACTCTCAATGACTACATTGGAAGCTTCTGTCATTGCCATGCAGGCCATGCACCACAGTCCCGACCAATTGTTTTATGACAGCCCGCTGTCAGTTGATATGAGCCCACTCCTAGAAACCAACCAAGATGAACTCCACATGATTTACAGTGTCTCGCCGGACGAGCACCTCTTGTCATTAATTGTTCCACACGAAGGCCCAGTAAGAATGGTATGTTATATATATATCTATGTCTATACACCTATTTTAGATAATTTATAAATAAATTTAAATAAATAAATACATGTAAAAAAGAAGACTACAGCATAAATGTTTAAATGTTTAAATGTTTAAAAATATATGTTATATGTTGTTTAGGATGTGGAGCAATCAAGGCTCCCTATGCAGTCCCAGGCTCAATCCCTAGTTGATTTTTATCCAGTACAAGAACCACTTCTGTCTGTTCAGTCAGATCATCCTAATAGATTGGTGAACTCTAATGTAAGTTGTACTATTCCATGTTGACTTTAAAGTGTTTGACTGACATATCGCCTGTCTTTTTGTATCTTTTCCTTTTTTTCTTTTTTTTTTCTTATTTTTTTATTTACATCTTCCTCTTCTTCTTTTTACTACTACTATTACTCTTATTACTTCTTATTATTATCAATAGATATCAAGTATGCAAAGCGAACAGCAGACTATTCAACTCCAGATGGATTCCAGACAGATTCAACAGCAGATGCCACACCGACTTCACCATAGCCTTCACCACCACAGCAACCATACTAATCAAAATCATCAAAATCATCAAAATCACCATCATCATCATCATACTCATCCTCATCCGCATCAAAATTATCAACATCAATTGCATGATCAGATATTTAATGAAAAACACATCCAAGACCAGCACCATCATCGTCAACATCAACATCAGCAGCAGCAGCAGAACATGTTTAATACCATTATTTTTGGCCAGCAGTCATCAGATCAAATCCTTAGTCCTCGCAGCACCCCTGAATCTACTGTTGTTTCTCAAGCTCAGCGCCAGACAATGTCTCAGCAAATCACAACTGCACATCATCATCAACAGCAGCAGCAGCGGCAGCAAAAAAACAGCAAAGCTACCTTGGTTTCCCGACAAGGATCACCTCTTGTAACCGCTACTGGTGGTGGTAACTCAAAAGTGAAGATTGAGGATCGTCAGACAGATCGTAAGCCATTGGATGCTGTCATCGCAGGCGTAACACAGCACCAACACCAACACCAACACCACCAACAACAACATCAAGAGCAGCAACAATCTCCAGTTTCACAGCTGGTCTCACCAATGAGTCATTCAATGACAGTACTCGGCGTAGACGAAGGTGGCCAACTTGAGTCGAGTTGCAGCCACATCTTGCACTCTCCACTGTCATCTTCTGGTCTTGGTACACCCCTTCTTCAGCATGCCCAATTGGACCACCCACTGTCACCGCCCATGTTCTGCCAGCAACAGGCTCTTACTGATGTCTCTATTATTCAGCACTCGGAAGATAATAATTACAACACCCAACAAAACATGAAACGCGGGTTACCAGCAGACGCAGACGCAGTGCACGAAGGCGTGCGGAACAAGGTACGAAGAAAGGCAGCCAAAACAAGTCCGCAGCGCTCTCCGGCCACAAACAAGGGCCACGGACCCGACTCTGGCAATAAGTCCCAGCATGGAAGGTCGTCGGCGGCGGCTACACACGATCCACTACATAAGGACAAGGCCTCAGCTTCTAATACAGCTATTGCTACCACCACCACCACAACTAATAATAATAATAATAATACTGCTACTGCTACTCATAATAATAATACTATAACACCACTTAATACTACACCTACCGACACAAACCCTGCCGCTATAGATTCTGTCCCACATTCAACATTCTTCAATGACAATTCTAAAAGGCAAAATCTTGATACATGCAGCATCAAAGAATCCACCCTTTCCGCTCAGCTGCACTTTGTTGACTCTTCAAACATGAACCAGCCCAACAAGAAGCAATTGGTCACTCCCCTTCTCGCCCAACCGCATATGATGACTTGTGGAAATGTCATTTCCAAAGAGTTTGATGGTATGTCACGCGAGCAATTGATAGCCCGGCTGATAAACCTCGAAGCCGAAAAGAGAGCAGGGTCCTTTCACAGTACATCGTCTACCTCTGAGGCTTGTGGCTACAAGAAAGAGAGTCTTGTAGACACCGTTTATTCTTCCTGTTCTTCTCCTTCGTCCCCTCCCCCTCCTGGTGTTCCTGCTCCGTCTTCTCACCCTTACTCTAACTCTATCCATGGCCACACAGAAGAAATCGAAGAAAAAGAAGAAGAACAAGCCGCTGGCGCCGCCGCCACCCTGTCCAACCAACATCGATCAGAAAAGTCTACCTCACCACGTGAAATGGCAGAGACCGAAGAGGAAATAAAAAGAGAGGGCTCAAATTCAGAAAACATTAGTGAAGATCTTTACAAATGTCAGTGGACCGATTGCGGACAAGTATTCAGTGTAATGCAAGAGTTCATCTCGCACATCAGTGACACACACGTGGGCAGTGGAAAGGTACATAAAATTTATATTTATATAGTATACAAGATTTATACACCACATACACATACATAGTTATCTATACATTACTACCACTACTTTTATTACTACAATTCTTTAAAGAAAAAAAGTCCCTGTATTATATTCTATTTAAAAAAGTAATTATTTTAAAAGAGAATGTCACTAACGATATATTTTATACTATACAATAGCCAACGTATGTGTGCGAATGGAATGGCTGTCCACGTAGCCAAAAGCCATTTACAAAGCGCCACAAGATGCACAACCACCTTCGAACCCATACTGGCGAGCGACCTTTTGAGTGTAAAATTTCAGGTGAGAAAACATGTCAAATCATACAACAAAAAGAAAAAGAATATTATATTGAATATGCCCTTTTCTTTATTTTTCTTTACTAATCATTTTATTCTTCTAAAATATAATATAAAATAAAAGCAGATTGCAACAAGAAATTTTCTCGCCTAGACTCTCTTACTACTCACATCAAGACACATTCTGATATCAAGCCCTTTGAATGCCCTCACCACGATTGCGGCAAAACCTATTATCATACCCGATCTCTCCGAAAACACGAAAAGAACCATAGAACCGAAAGACCCTCACAGTCCTCAGAGATGTGCATCCCAACCACATACACTTTCCCGTCCTCTGGTCAGATCACACACACACACCTCATTGACCCTTCCTCGTCTGCTACTTCCATGGTCTCGATCCAACAAAGTCCCATTCATTGCTACCCAGACTCCCAACCACACTCCTTCCAACCTACACCTTCCCCAAACTCCCACCCATCGCATTATAGCAATGGAATAAAAAAATGGCAGACTAATTGGCACTAGTCTTCCACATAATAATAATTATAAGATGTATTGAAAATAATAATAATTGTAATTGTAATAATAATATTTTTTATGGTAATCATTACCATCACTACAAACCCACACACATATATATATACAAGAGTACACGTACAAATATACACAAGTATACACAAGTATATACATATATAGATGATATTTATAAATAAGGAAAGAATGAAAAAAAGATCCAAATTTGTATTGAGCCGATTTCAATAAGTTCTTCATTTATTGAGTTATCCAGCCTTCATTTATTCATTAACAGGAGGGCCGATTAGTTTGTACCATAGTTTCTGTGCTATTTTGGCTACAAACATAACCAGATACACTAGCCATTTGTAACTTTGAATATAAATTTTATATAATATGTAAAGAGATAAAAAAAAAATAAGAAAGGGGGGTGAAATGAAGAGAATAATTGACGATGAATCACTTTGACATGGTGCTTATCTTCTCTACATATTCTATTTATACATAGCAAAACAGACCATAATAAGTAAGCTCTGAAAGCCAGCGGTTAAGATTATAAGTTTATATGCTCAAATTTGATGCTAGACAACACAATTGTATTGATCAAACAAAAGTTTCAAAGATTAAATATTTATAGTTATTCTAATTATTATATACAGATTATGGAACGAAAGTAAGATAGAATACAAAACAAACGCAAATTGTATAGCAAATCACACAAGAAAAGGGGATGAAAACAAGGAGATCTGAAGAAATCTTAGGGGGGTCTTTAATATGTATAAAATAGAAAAGAAAACACAGAAACAAGGCAACAATAGAGCTTCCCCAAACCTATTTCTGATGTCAAACTCCAAGACTCTTACTATGCTATCATTGTTGTGATGACTACCTTTTATGTTCTTTATTACAATAGATCCCTTTAATCAATATCTATCATTTTAATAGACTTATTATGAAGACAATCGCAAGTTAGCTCAAAAAACTCGAGTATAAGAACATACAGATCAATATTTGACATCATGTCTACTAGGAATTTACTCATTTTATACACAAAAAAAACAGAAACGTATATAATTTTACAGGCATACATATGCACATAGTGCATGCATTTATCACTGATATCTGTTTATTCCTATTATCTTGATAACTCACCCCAAAACTTAAAAACACACACAAACACACACATTACATACACACACATATACTTGCTGCAATAACAGAGCCCTAGTAAAGCTCACAAAAATCCTAGTATCAAAAACAGTAAAGCTAATTTGTTAGCACATGTTTTTTTCTTCTTCTTCGTCTTTGTAAACAAAAACTGTACAATAAATACATATATACATATATACATAGATGTATAGTAACCTGTAAATAACTACTGGTTTGATTGATCTAATTATTGTTTTAATAATTGTGTGTACGTATGTTTCGGTGGTGGGCGTGTATTTTTACGCCCACTGAGACAGAGCGATCAAATGCAACATTAAATTCTAATACATAGTTCTGATTTCTGCGTATTAAATATCTTTCCTTATATTTAACAAATGATATATAAACAGTTTTATGTACTGTGTTTAAGTAAGAGCGCCTCAATCATAAAGCACAAATTACAGTACTAATTTCTTCATTTATTTATAAAGTAAATCATTTGAATGTTAAATGACCAGTAAGTACAATCTGCACAATCGGCATATACACACACACAAATAAATAAATATATACAGATACAAACATATTCAATGCAAGACTTTGTAATAATCTTGATAACAGTAGGTGTAGATCAAGACAAATCATATGTCTTTCTTTGATCCAAAACACATGAAATATATATTTATATATTTAACACAACCGGATATTATTTAATTGGTCCCTTATCTTGGGTTGTGCATAAACTGTGTATATGAGGCAACAAATCAAAAACATCTGGTCCCCAAGAAACAAAAACCAAAAACCAAATGAAGATATACTTGTAACAGCTAAATACTCGACTTTTCACCCTTCTTTTTGTTGTTCTTGTTCTTGTTGTTGCTGTTATTAAATATGGATTAAGAACAAGAAACTTGTATTTGAAAAAACCCGACTCTTTTGATTTTTCGAAAGCACTCCTTTGTATTGATATAAAACAAACCAATAAAGAAAAAAGAAGTATCAGCTTGTTTGGTATTTACTGGGATCATTTCATATATTTATAATGATAACTAAATGTCACAAACGTGGCAGTATTTTATTTATTTATTTATTTATTTATTAGCAATAATAGATCTTCCAAATTAAAAAAAATCTACTTGTACCTTCCGTATTGAGTCTATGCAAAAGGGACAGCTAGAAATCTGCTTATCATCAACAATATCATCAACACAGAAAAACAGAAAGATCGAATACAATAAGGTGGTTTGTATTGAAATACAAAGCAATAATAATATTAATTTGAAACCATTCATATTTAAAATATTATCCAATACAAAATGTTGAACGAGAGGTTTAAAAGACCAAGGAAGAGAGAAAAAGAGATAAATAATAGTAATTTTAATAATCATTTTGTTGCAGTTTTTGGTTTAAATATATAAATATATATTATATATAGAGATGTATACATGAGTGATACAATTCATTCCATTACAAATTGTGAATAAACTGATATTTATGATTAGAGCATGATGAGAATAGAATATAATAGAATAGAACAGTAAGAATAGTAAGAATAGTAATAACAAAAGAAGAAGAAGAACGAAAACAAGAGAAAAGGTGGTATTTATGCAGTGGGGGCAACCTGAGGGTGGGATTTGATTTCCTTGATCTCGTCTATTATGACTTGTCCCTTTGTGAATCTCGGTAATGTCATCCTGGACTCGTATGAGGTGTCGTGGGGTCCATCAGCTTCTGTTAACTCTCTTTCACCTTCTTTGACCCACTTTTTTAAAAAACCAACTTGAAAGTTTCCAAGGAAGAGTCTGTAAAAACCAATGATAATTTTAGTTATACAAGTCAGATGTGATTTATAAATCTAGTTCCAAAAAAGCATCGGATCAACTTACTGTGAGATATGGTACAATAGGGATGGGAGTGATAGAACACCAACAACATCATAACTGCTCTTATTGTAAAGCACATTGATCAACACTATGCCCATAGATGCTGCCTTTGTAGATCCACAGTACTGGAGAACATTAAATGTATTAATATACAAATGCACAGAAACATGCATAATCTTGAATCTTGAATTTTGAATTGTGAATTTTGAATTTTTTTTTAAATCTTGAATTTTTTTTATTGTAAAAATTGATTAAAAGTAAAGAGCACTTACCATGATTGCCACTGCATCTTTTTTTGAGAACCTCCACTTTCTGACCCAAATAGGCTCTCTAATGTATCGTCTAGGCCACGGGAGACGAGCAACAAACAGACAGAGACCGCAGCCAAATAGATACATAAACATGTCGACAAACAAAATGGCCAGGATATCGACAGTCTTCATGTTCACAAACGCATTGCTCGCCACACCATCGCAAAACACAGACCAAACCAGAACTATGAGGGCCAAGCTGTTGATGATTGGAAACCGGAGTTTGGCCGCCAGATAAGTCGTTTGTTTAGGGAAAAAGTAACGAATGGCCTGTCCTGCTACTAATGGTAAGAGAACAGTAAGTCCCATAGTCTTGAGAATGGAGAGATAGTTGGGATCTCCACGTTCGGTTCCTGGGGGAAATAGTGTAGTGTCATTCTCAAACACTAAACAAAAGCATATAATGATAGTGATATATAGATTTGTTTGTATACCACATACATATCATACACATATAAAAAGGTTAATTTGCTATTAATCTTTTTGCTTTAAAATAAAATAGCTAAAAAGACACAAAGAAGAGATGAGCAGTTTACATTCAATCAATGCAGGAGAAATAAAGACACCCATGATATTACCAACCGCGGCGTTGAATAGAGCTGTGTGTCAAAAAAACCAAAGAAAAACAAAATGGATAAGATAAGAAGACAAGCTTAAAACAATGCAAATCCAAGCAAAGCAAAACAAAGCAAGGCAAGGAAAATCAAAGGCACAATACTCCTCCAACTATCCTCTGATTGGCACATCGAAAAAGACTAAGAAACTAAAAAGCAAATATTACCAGCACCATCGTTGCCCCCGGCGTTTCGAGTCATAATCGCATTTGAAGAGACAGTCGTACTGGTCGACAACGCAATGATCCACCCTTTATACATCATGTTGTCCATCGGGGCATTGGCGCTCATAAAGATGTAGGTGACGGTGTACATGGTAAGAGGCATGATAATAAAACTGATTATCTGGACAACCAGGTGAAGTCTCCACTGTAAGAATGTATGAAAAAGCTCTCTGACTTCTATACCGAGACCAGACAGTAAGAATATCAGGATAACCGCACCCCATCGGATGGTGTATTGCGCCTGGAGAACGCCATTGGTCTTGCCGACATCTGGGATGGCCCATGCCAGACCTATTGCGAAACCTAGTCCGACCAAAAACCAGTACCTTTTGAAGAGGCTAATGGCAGTACATCTAATTCTTGTCCACATACTCGGCTTGTCCAAAACGTCTATTGTGTCTTGAGAAGACGAGATAATCGAAGGTGTGTCTTCACAGCAAGTGACAGATCCGTCCAGACTATTGTCGATGTGCTCCCATTCTACCTTTGTGGAACTAGAAGACTCATGCTTGGTAGCATTGTCGAAGGTTATTGCCAGTTCCTTGGTCATGAATTATAAGCCAGACAAGGTTAAGTTTCAAGGCAAGAATGAAGCAAAGATAGAGAAAGAGAAAGAGAAAGAGAAGTAGAAATAAATAGAGAAAGAAAGAAAAGATTAAAGTAAAAACATTCTGCGTCATCTACTTGCCTTTCTTTTTATGCCTTTTTTTGGACGCTGTAGCAAACAAGGACATCCGAAAGTAAATAAATAGAATAGCATTTGCTTATAATCACCGTCCAAAGACTATAAAGACATTACAGATAGAGAGAGGCAGAAAAAATAAAATAAAGTCCCCAACTCAAACCTCCATATGTTCTATCCTCGCTTCAATTCCACGCATACGTACTCCTGCATAAAAATGTAAATTTGCGTAGCCAGAAAGTTATGTTCCTCATGCCAAACACTAACTAGCAACGAAAGCCAATATCCAACAGAAACAGCAGCCAAAGAATAAATATATAAAATAAATATAAATAAATACAAAATAAAATAAAATAACAGCCTTTTTATTCTTTCAAGCTTTTCCCTCTTTATCTTTATAAGATTTCTACCTTGTTTACCTATTTTCTTCTTCTTTTGGTGTTTACAATACTTATATTCTATGTTGCCTAGTTACCTAAAAAATAGTCTCATATCTTTATAATTATAATGATAAATACCTTGACAGCTATCATAATTATATTAAATCAAAATATTATTATTAACATTGCCATTTGTTACCTTGACATTATTATCGCTAAAAAATATATATACTTTATTTATATTCAAATAAAAACCTTTTAACCATAATACACAGATATATATATATATATATATATATATATATATATCTATATTAAAGGTCTCGCCAAGGCTATATTGTATTAATAAATCAAGCTTCTAAACAAATAATGTTTTCCCTCGGTCTATAAATTGGATTTAGTCTTCTTCTTGTCATCTTGTCTGCAAATCTATAGAAAGACAAACTCATTAGTCTCCAATACATGTATGTGAATATATATATATATATATATATATATAAAGAAGTCTTTAATATAACAAAATATAACAAATTATGTGTCTGTATGTGTATGTTTTATAAAATAGGTTTTTCTTATTTGTTATCCACAAATAGAGCTTTTCTTTTTCTTTTACATCCAAACGGACATCCATTTTCTGTATGAAAAATAGTAATTTAAAGTAGCAGAATACGAAATAAAAAATAAAAAGAAACCTTGGATTGTTTATGTTGATCTATTGATCCTAAGCACATAAAAAAAAACAAGATCCATAAAGTCTATCTGATATCTTGGCCAACTTTCACCAATTAAACCAACACAAATATCACACACAGACACAGACACACAGACACACAGACACACAGACACATAGACACATAGACTGTTCGATTTATGGTAGACACCGGAGTTTTTTTTCTTGTGACGTATTCGGTCAAATTAAGCGTACAGTACTTACTCACCACTGCAACCACACTGACAAGTGTTTCGACCAAAAAAAAATATAAAAATAATAATAATTGTATATATTTAAATATTATTATAAATATATATATATTATAGTAATTGTGGTTGTATCTTTTTGTTTTTAAACTATTAAATACAAATGTCCTCTCGCCCTTATTCACGCTCACCACCACGTCGTGGTCCAGATGGCTATGATCGTGAACGATACAATGACCGCCGTGATGAGCGCCGTGATGACCGTCATGCCCCCCATCGACGCTACGACGACCGCCGTGATAGACCCAGAAGAGATCGCGATGATCGTGAACGAGACGACCGAAGATTCGACCGACGCAATGATGCCAGAGGTCCATCTAGAGACGATCGCCACGACCGCGACAAAAGCTCTAGGCAAGACTTGAAAGATCTCGCAGATCGACGCAATCCGCGCACTGAATCAGAAAAGGTCGCAGAACCTGTAGAAGAAGAGCCTAAAAAGCGTGTGCCGGTGTCGATCGAAGAGATCTTGGAGAAAAAAGAAAAAGATAAATTGGAAACAGACAAGGTACATTGCCACCAAAAGCAAAAACAAAAAAAAGCTCAAACTAAAGTTTCATCTAACCAAAACATCTTATATATATATATATATATTTAATCAGCCAAAATTCCTAACTAAAGAAGAGCGTGCTAAGCTTGCCCTAGAGAAACGTCAAAAGGATGTTGAAGAACAACGTAAAAAACAAGAAGAAGAACGAAAAGCAAGACAAGACTTTGACTTCAAAGCCGAGGACGAGCACCGAAAAATCCAAGAGCAGCAGCATCAGTCGCGGTATGGACGCTACGACAGAGATAGACGCAATGATCGTGACAATCGAGGACGGGACAGCAGGATGAGAGAGAGAGAGGCAGCCGTAGACCCCGAAGACGTTGACATGTCAAACCTAACTGAGAAAGAAAAACAAGCCATCAGAGAACGTTACATCGGTGGTGAGCGAAAAAAGAGAAAGATCAGACGTATGAATGAGCGCAAGTTTGTGTTTGACTGGGATGCAGGAGAAGATACATCCTATGACTTCAATCCTCTGTACGCAAATCCCCACAATGCACAAATGTTTGGTCGTGGACATATTGCAGGTATTGACATTAAGGAACAGAAAAAGCAGAAATCGGAGTTCTACAACCAAATGTTGAAGGAGAGACGCACAGACGAAGAGATCGAAAGAGCAGCGTGAGTAAAGCCTACATATATATATATAGTATCATAGAGGATGGAAGGAAGAAAAGCAAAGAAAGGAAAATGTTAATGTAAGATATATATATAGAGAACTTATAGAGATGGACAAGAAGAGAGAAGCCAAGATGATGTGGGACGATCGTCACTGGACAGAGAAGCCTTTGGAACAAATGGCAGAAAGAGACTGGCGTATTTTCAAAGAAGACTTCAATATCTCAACAAAGGGTGGTGGTATTCCAAGACCTATTCGATCATGGAAGGAATCTGGGCTACCTGATAATGTCTTGAAGATCATCGATCAGGTTGGTTACAAGGAACCAACACCTATTCAGAGACAGGCAATCCCCATCGGAATTCAGTGCAGAGATATTATCGGCGTTGCAGAAACAGGTACGCATATATATATATTGTGCTTATTGTATTCTTCTTATCACAATGTTTATTGATTATCAATTTCCCTCCCTTGCCTTGGAAAGGTTCTGGTAAAACTGCCTCTTTCGTTATTCCTTTGTTGGTTTACATCTCGGATCTTCCAAAGTTGACAGAGGAAAACATGTCAGATGGTCCTTATGCACTTATCATGGCCCCAACTCGTGAATTGGCTCAACAGATCGAGCAAGAAACACTCAAGTTCTGTACACCTCTTGGATTCAACTGTGTGTCCGTTATTGGTGGTGTAAGTATATGTCTTCTTCTTTATAGCCATACATACATACATACACATATATATATATATATCATTTCAAACTTCTTTTAAAAAATTATTTTGTTTTTATTCAGCACGCTATTGAAGAACAATCTTTTAATTTGCGTAATGGTGCCGAAATTATTATTGCTACTCCTGGTCGTCTCCGAGATTTCTTGGACCGTCGAATTTTAGTACTCAATCAGTGTACTTATGTGGTCATGGATGAAGCCGATCGTATGATTGATATGGGTTTTGAGACTGATGTCAATTTGATTCTGGATGCCCTGCCAGTATCCAATGTCAAGCCTGAAGGAGATGAGGCAGAAAACATTGAAGCTTTGATGGTAACAAACAGTGGTCGCAAGTTCCGACAAACCACTATGTTTTCAGCTACCATGCCTCCTGCAGTAGAACGTCTCGCAAAGAAGTATCTGCGTCGTCCTGCAGTAGTCACAATTGGTCAGGCCGGTCAGGCCGTCGAGTCAGTTGAACAGCGTGTGGAGATGATCAATGATGAGAATAAGAAGAAGTAAGTGTCTTTTTGAAGAGTGGGACATTCAAAAAAGAAACCATTTACAAATGGTCTAACAACAATTGTATTAGGAACCGTCTTTTGGAGATCCTCAATTCTGGAAACTATGCACCACCAATTATTATCTTTGTTAACCAAAAGAAGGGTGTGGATGTTCTTGCAAAGGCGCTCAACAGACTGGGTCACCAAGCTGTTACTTTGCACGGTGGTAAATCTCAGGAACAGAGGTAATAATTATAGTACAATGCTTCTCCCTCTTCTTGAAATTGCTGTCATTTACATTCAATCTAAACTTCATCAAAATAGAGAGTCTGCTCTTTCTCAAGTAAAAACAGGATCGGCCGATATACTTGTGGCTACCGATGTCGCTGGTCGTGGTATTGATGTCAAAAACGTTTCTCTGGTTATTAACTACGACATGGCCAACAATATTGAAGGTATAGTGAGCAAGGCACAATACGATTTAGTTAAAATGGTAACTAATATCATCTCTATTTTGTGGTAAATATTGCAGACTACACCCATCGTATCGGTCGTACTGGTCGTGCAGGAAAGACTGGTGTAGCAATAACCTTCTTGTCAAATACCGACACAGAGGTTATGTATGACCTGAAACAGATGATGGTAAAATCACCTCTTTCAAAAGTGCCTCCTGAACTTGCCAACCATGAATCTGCTCAGACTAAAGGAGGCGTAGTTAAGTCAAAGAAGAAACACGAAGAGACATTATTCCAATAAGCAGAAGCCTCTCTCGACCAGCAAGTTTCTTTTTTTCTTTCTTTTTTATCTTTTATTTTTATTGTTATTGTTACTATTATATACACATGCACATGCACACACAATTACACACCCCCACACCCACACGAACGAACGAACGACCGCGCGCACACATAAAATAAAATAGAGGAGGTCTATTCACCTGCCTTTGTTTTTATATTTATATACTAATTCACCGCGCTGTTTGGGTGATTTATGCGTGTATATGTGTGCGTACGTGCAAAAGAAGTATTTCTTAGTGGATAGGGCTTAAATGGTCATCATCAAAGCTTGTAAATTCAAACCACAAGTTATCATCTTCGCAAGAGAGAGCCGAAGAAGGTAGTTGGTTGTTGAGTTGCTGAACAGACATATAGTCTGTATCATCATAGTCAACATCATCTAGTCCAGTACCTGATAGAGTGTCAACGAAAGAAAATTGTCGGGTGAGACTATTATTGTCTGGAGCAGACAAATGAGAAAAAGTATGCCTTTCGTTGGTTCTATATGTATCCTCACTTAATCTGTTCCACGCTTCATTTGCAGCTTCTGTCGTGAGCGTGTGATGAGGATCTCGCCATGCAGCAATGACCTGGCCATGAGGATCAGATAAGTCTGGATTCCAAATGAGACCATCAACTGGTTGAGGTAATTCATATGACGTTACACATCGTGGACAATGAAATTCACTCGTAGTCGGTTTGGTGATGCAGTCAAGATGAAGCCATTCTCTACAGTCATCGCATTGAATCCGCTCTCTACTATCTTCGCTTGGCTTATCACAAACGCAGTGCATGATTACAGGATCTTCCTCTTTCTTGTCTAATTGGTATTGGCAGCGATCGAGATGGTAGATCAACCCACCACGATTCTTGTAACGTTTATTGCATGGCTCACAAACAAAAACAACCGATCCTAGACCGCCATGAGATTTCCTTTTTTTCTACTTCTCCTTTTTCTATTCTTTTCTTTCTTTTCTTTCTCTCTTTATTTTTTGTTATCATTATAATCAATGACGTACCATCCTCCAAAGTTATGGGCGGAATAAGCTGTGCTTGAGGTTGTCGTCTAGTTCCTGGAGTTCTTTTTGTCTTGGCCTGCAAGACAGGTGCTTTCTTTTTATGTCCTTTGGTATTGCGACGTCGAATAGTAGGTAGTGAAGGAGAGGGCAATATATTTTTCCGGCCTCCCAAGTGAAAAAGATTCTTGCCATTTCCGACCGTACGTTTGAGTGTACCTGGCATGTGGTGTTTAAAAAGGGGTTGAATGCAGTGCATGGAGGGTGTTTGTAGGGAGTGAGAAAGAGGGTGGTCTGGTATGTCTTTGAGGAGATTAGAAAGTCGGCATTTTGCTTGAGTGAAGCGTATTTTGAAGAGATCAGCAAGGAGATGAATATTGGGATGGGTAGGGAGAGGTTGTCTGGACCAAAGGTCACTACATGTTTGGTAGAGGAATGGCGGAAGATCCGGCTTTGTTGGTGGACAGTTTGGTGGTAGAAGCTCAGATGGATCAATTCGACGACTAAGAGAAATTAACTGTTCGGATGATAGTCTATCATTGGTGATTGTAGCTGGTTTGGCTGTATTGATGGTTTTACGGCCGATTGAAGATCGTTCACGGGTAGATTCCATCTTAATTGGTCGTGGATGTGTATTATGAGAGGAATTTACTAAATGGGTATGTGAAATAATAGAGGATGACCTAGAATACAACAGGAAGAGAGGATGCCATGGAAGGACGAGTCAAAACATTTTTATTTTATTTTTATAAATATATAAACTGTTATTATCAGCGTATTTATTCACATTCTATCAATCAAAAGATAGTGCATTTCGACAACAGTAGCAACACGCACTCTTCAGATGGTGCCGAGCCTGGATGTAATGGATTGTTTTCTTCATGGTCCATGGCAGAGGAAAACTACAAAGAAAAAAAAAAGACAAAAAAAAAAGAGAAAAAAGGAAAAAGTAATATATGCGGTTACCCCGCGTGAATAAAGAGCTTTCTGACGTCACGAATTAATCCGGCTACCAGAAGCCTAAGGCTGGCCAAGGCACTGGCTGAAAGTTGAACCTCCTCTCTCCCGTCGGTTCTCGCCATGGTAAGGATAAAGAGGACAACAGGCAGAAATACAGATAAAATGGATGATATGGATAAGATATACAAGGGCAGATGGATGGATGGATAAAATATCAGTAAATCGATTAAGACCAACCACGACTACACGCGACGACAATCAGAAACTTCCTTTTTCAGCACATCATTCAATGACCCATCCAATGCCAATATACATTACGCCACATCACCAATGACGAATTTGATGACTAATTCTGCCTGCAACTTCCTAGGTTAACATTCCCAAAACCAGAAACACCTTTTGCAAGGGCGGCAAGTGCAAGAAGCACACTCCTCACAAGGTTACCCAGTACAAGGCTGGTAAGGCTTCCCTCTTTGCTCAGGGTAAGAGACGTTACGACCGTAAGCAGTCTGGTTATGGTGGTCAGACCAAGCCCGTCTTCCACAAGAAAGCCAAGACTACCAAGAAGATTGTCCTTCGTCTTGAGTGCACCGCTTGCAAGTACAAGATGCAGCTCTCCATCAAGCGTTGCAAGCACTTCGAGTTGGGTGGTGACAAGAAGACCAAGGGTGCCGCTCTCGTCTTCTAAGCGCCTTTGATATTTGTTGTATTTTTTTTTGCAATAAGCGCCTTGATATTTATTGTATTTTTTGCACTAAGCGGAATGAAAATAAACAACGCAAACCAAACCAAACCATAAACCACAACGATTCTCGAACAAAGCTTAAATCTGGATCAACTTTACACCAAAACAAGACGCAATTTCAGACGATCCAAACGATTCAGACGACGATCTTGTATACATTATAGTCAGACTCATACAGGACACTTTGCTCCAAAAGAGACTTAATAATGGATATGATAGTACTATCCTCGACAAAGCAAAAAGCGGGGTACTTGCGGAATCGCTCGATAATGTAGTTCTTGCGTATACCAACTAGAAGAAAAGAAATATGTGTTGTGGATGAGTGAGAATGCTGTGTGGGAAATATAGGGGAGCATTTAACTTGCCATTACGATCCATTAGTTCACAAATTTCGTTTATAATTTTGAGAACACCCTTTTCAAGTTCTTTTGGAGTCATTAGCCTATAAAGATTACTTTCTGATGAACCAGCTGGAGCAAGATATCCAGCTCTTGCAAGTGCTTTGGTAGTTGAAGAAAAAAGCTCGACCAAATCGTGTTCAGTCACTCCCCATCCCTAAAACAAGTTTGTGAGATTACATGAGAAATGCTATATATGTATATATATACTGATCGTTGTTCTTACTGATACTTCGGACAAAAGCTTGTGAGCCAACTCTACCAAATCTGGGTCTTGACAGACTTCCGCGAAAGAATAAACATCATCCGGGTGTTTTCGCCAATAAGCTAGCAGTGCAGATTCAAAGGGATCTTCTTCGCTTTGTATATCTGAAGATTCTGGTAGTGAGGGTAGCATATATGATTTTCGATAATACTTATCCAAGTGTAAAGCCTCAACCCAATGGACACTCTCTTCCATATTTTCTACAAGCTCTACGTGGTTTACATAACACATTGGTCAGAGTAAATATGAAAATAAATTTAAAGAATATGCACCCAAGTAAAAGGATCAAGAGTTTTGCTGTTTTATTTCTTGGTTCTCACCTTTATCATCAATTATCAATTGCCGTTTTTCTCGATAGTCGCTTAGCTTTCCTCTTAAACGCACTGTCTGACTGAGATTGAAAGCAAGCGGTTCGCTATCCATAAGCTTCCAATAATGACAATCCAGAAGTCCCGTGGAATCATCCACTATTAAAGATTTCCATATATACACATGCTCATATCTTATACTAAGATCTTTTCAGGTTTACCTGTGTATGTATGACCATAATAATTTTGTTCAATTCCAACAATTACACCACAGACTTCAGCATAGCGTACAATATGATCATAATGTTGATAGAGATCTTTATGTTTTTTTTTTATTTTCATAATCAGCATCGTAATGAAGAAAGATCCATAAAGTTAAAATTAAAAACAAGAAAAGAGAATAAAAAACAGGAGCAAAAAGGCAGGTACCTTTAAATTCCTTGTGTGGACTAATGTCAATGACATTTCTAATTAACAATTTAAGAGGAGTATTGAATAAGGGATCCTGATTCAAGTATGTTATGTCTTTCAAAGTGAGTTCCATGACAGAAAACTGTGTCGTTGAGGATTACAAGAAAGGCAGTCTGTAATTTAAGCTTAAAAATGTCTACGTCATTGTGCCTTGTTGTGTACTTGGTTACTGAGAAGGTATTTTATGAGGGGTTTTAAACATTTAGGAAATTTTGTAAAAGCTTGGAATTAAATCCCAAATTTGTAGCAACCCACAGCTTTTTTTTTTTTTGGTTTATTATTTTCAGATAGTAAAAGTATTAATTGCATTATCTTTACTTGTAAAATAATAAGAATATTTCATTCTATTTGCCACATTGTTTACAAAAATGTCTTATGAAATTAACCGTATTGAACCAAAACTCGATCAATCTCCCATAAATATTCAAGGGACAAGAGGTTTAGACTAAGGTAAGCTTCACGTGATCGCTTACACTTCCAGTTCAGATATACGTTGTATATGTAGTATTATGCCACAAGAAGTCTAGCACAATATGTCCTTTGTTTATAATTACTTTTATTTTCAGTTTTCCGGATATTCTTATTAAGAATAAAGTCAATATATCTTCTATCAAGTACATATTTACTTACTTTATAGTTTGTTTCCTTTAATCATCCTCAAGAATACATATTTATAAAAGCGCTGAACAGAAGGCTGTAAAAAAGGGGAAGAGGATGCCGATAACCTGATTAGGACAGGTACAAGCCGGACATTGGACAAATAGCAACTTTAAGTTGTGTGGCCTGTGGAATCTCTTCCCTAAGATTTCTGTAGTAAGAAACATGTATTAGATCTTTTCAACCTTCTATTTTATTAATATATTTTGTTTGTTCTTATTATATCTTCATGCACACGGTTTTTTTTTATTGATTTTATTTTTCTTTCTCACATGTCAGTATATCCACCGATGTATCCTCATATGGTATGCCTCCTCTTTAGGAAAGCAAGACCCCACTTGAATCAATAAGAGTTTATCTCATACAACAAAGAAGAAAGTAAAGTATATTTGTTTAATAGTTTATATAAACTTCCAATAAAAAAGTATCCCTAGAGCCTTAAAGTCTGAAGAAAGAGAAGATCACCTAAATATATAAACACATATAAGCATATATAAACAAATACATATGAAATTCAACAAGCCGAACGATTGAATTAAGAGCGGACCATAGATAAAAGAAATCAAGGCATAAAGCAGATAAATTCTGTATTTAATTTCAGTATACTAGTACTATGTTTTGTTAGTGTCGTGTGTTCTAAATACAGAAGTAAAGATCTCGATCACAACGTCCCCAATGAATATAAGCTGAGATATCAGTTCAATAGTGAAATCAAATAAAGCTGCCATGATTTTTTATCAATTGAAGAGGCGGAAGAGGGAGTAATATAAGGGAGATCTTCAAGGAGTGTATGTGGCAATACAATAAAGAATTTTATTTTGTTTGCGCCACATAAGAGAGGTATTGCTGGCCCAAATACTTATATATACATGTATATGTAATTTTGTTAACAAGATCATAGAGAGTGCAGGTGGGGTAATCCGTGGTGTTTCCAATAGATAAGCTCTAGACCTCACATGTATGCAGCAACATCCTGCGTCTGACATGTCATCTTACAAAGTGATCTTGATATGACCATACAATTCAAGTTCTTATTCTAGATATCACGAGAAAAGTACGGAGAACACAGTGATAAGGAATAACATGCGATTTTAGACCATTTCTGTAATATATCTTTTATATAAATATATAAATGCATATATACACACACATATATACATCCACAGTGAGAGCATACAATTGACATACCAGAGTATATCTAAGAATAAATTAATAGAATACGACATGTATGGACATTCGATAATGTTTCGATCTGGGATTTGAGCCCTTGCAGTAAGTTGGATTGATTTATAGATAGGGCCCAATTGTCCAACATTTTCGACTGGTATTTGTAAGAGACTGAGACTACACATTTTTGTAGTAAAATAATAATTGACTGTGAAGTAGGTTTAATATATATATATATTATGAATGAATTCATTTTTCTTTCTAATTTTGATTTTTATTTTTCTAATGGCTCCACTGGCGGGTTGAACGAATGATCGCTCAGCATGACCTGGTCTCCTGCAACCTAGGGCTAAAAGGGGAGTATGGACGTAAAGAGGGGTAAAGTATAATAGGAACAACTAGAAGTCAAGAATGCACAGAGTAATACATTGGAATCTATTGTTCTTTATTTTATTGATTATTGATGTCTACAAAAAAAGACAGACAATGTTTACCTTGGTGTTGGCAGAGATGTACTAAACAAATAAGTCATTGTACATATGAGTCATGAAACACACCATCAGCCCAGGAGACTGATCATCAATTTTAAAGATATATATTCTCATGTAATAAAATCAAATCAAATAAAGTCTAAGTACAGCATATCGAATAAAGCAAGCAAGCAAGCAAAATAAGAATTCAGAATATAAATCCATGAGAAATGCTAGGGCAAATGAAATACCAGATCAATGATATATAACTGAATTCATATCAAACCCACAATTGTCCTTTACCAGGGTCCCAACGAAACCAAACTCACACACTATCAATTTGTATCCCAAGCGGGATAAATGCAACAAGATTCACACTAGAAATCCTAATAAATCTCCTCTCATGTTTTGGCTGGGTTGTTAAGAGTGCACGCCACGGTCAATAGCTGCCAAATAAAGAAATCCTTGTGTCCTCAACCCTTTCTCTTCTTTAAGCACTCCCTCATCCTGTCTCTTTCGCTTTTCTCTTGAGTGTTTGCAGAGTTCTTTGTTTCTTCTGCTGTTATCTATGCCCCTCGTGTCTGAGTCAAGAAAATGAGCACACCGTCCAACCCACATGCGCCCACATCTCAACAGCTCCATGCGAATGGCCCATGGCTGACGCACTCTCGTACACTCTCGCGCGACAGAAGTCCATCACCTACCCAATCAACCTCTCGACAAAGCCGGTCAAGACAAAGCACTAGTACTGGAGACTTTTCAGCAGGGGATGATCTGGGTCGGACGATCGGCAAGGGTTACCAAGAGATCCAAAAGAGGACATTGACTAAGTGGATCAATGTTCAACTTGGCACAGTTGGCGATTCAATCACAAATATTGAGACTGACCTGAGAGACGGTCGAAAGCTACTCAGTCTGCTATCAGTTGTAGCTAAAGAGCCAGTACCTAAGCCAGAAAAAGGGAAAATGAGGATTCATCACCTATCAAATGTAGCCCAAGTCTTCAGTTTCCTTGAAAAGCAGACTGGTCCGGGTGCCCTACCTGATATTGGCACCGAAGCAATCGTAAATGGCGATCTCAAAAATACACTCGTCTTAACATTTTTTATTATGCTAAAGTATCAGATCCAACTTATTCTAACTGACGAAAATGGTGCTTTTATAAAATCTATGCCTGTAAGTATACACAAGCGCTGAAAAATAACTACTAAAAAATTAACTTTTGTACCTCAGAAGATCGACCGTAGCTCAACTGACCTTTCGATCGAGCCATCATCTCCCCTTCCAAGTTTATCTTCAGCACTAACCGGAAAACGAAGCAGTCGCTCCGGAGAAATGGGGGAAAAGGCTCAAAGCTCGTCATCCGAGGCCAAAATGGCCCTACTTTATTGGGTGCGTCTACAATTAGAAGACTATGTAGCTGTTCATGTTCTACCAGAAATTCAGGACTTTTCACGGTCATGGCGGACAGGCATAGCCTTCTGTTTACTCATCCACCGGCATGATCCATCCCTTTTACCCAGCATATTCACAGACCATATACATCGAGACACATCAGAACGACAAATATGCTATGATTTACTTAATCTTGCCTTTGATCTTGCAACAACACATATGAATATTCCACGCTATCTAGAACCAGAAGATTTAACTGACGTAGACTACCCTCACGAACCTAGTGTAATGCTGTATGTAAGTGCCTACTACAGTGCTATGTCCAAACAACAACAGGAAGATCCGTCAAAGGAGGAGGCGCGTGCAAATGAACGCAAAAAAGCGATCCGCCAGGTGTTTGGGAACGTACTACCCATGAGCCTTAATACCCAATTGCCCCTCTTGACACTCGAAACTAGCACGCCAATACAACCCCCCGACACACTCCCACAAAACACAAAGGAGTCTATATATCTCCCTGTCGATAACCAAAATATCTCTGTTGAAAATTCACAAAATACCCTCACAACACCTGCTCATCTAGCTATGGCTGATCAGCTCGAAAGACTTGACGATCTTTGGAAAAATATTAAGCCTTCCCAAGAAACAGACAATCTCCATCCACTGGATGGATCTCTTGCTCAGGCACATTCTTATCGACAGGCTGTTAACATGGCTACAGAAGAAACATATCGTCTCGGAGAAGCCATCCAAGTCGCAAATCCCCCACTTGAGCTTTCAACAGCTTATCAATCTCTAGTAGAGTTACAACAAGATAAACAGCGAGACTCTACTGCCTTTGAGCGAGGCGTATCATTTTTGCATATTACACAAGCCATGATTGATGAGCTTGAATTAGTTCATCAGATGATGAACGACAATCAACAAAGCATTACTGATCAAGCCATTCGACAATTAGAAGAGCGAGTGGCAATGGTTAGTGCCACAATCGATGCAGTTAAAGAAGAATATAGCTCTCTTTTAGGGCAGGATGATGACGAAGATGATGAGAAAGAATATCACAAAAGAACAGACGATGAACAACGATTCTTTGATCACCTCCAGACAGTTGAAGAACGATACGAGACTGTACAAGACTGGGTTGACCAGGTCCGAGTTTGGTTTGTGGAGGCAGAACGAATTCGGAAGTGGATCGGCGAGCGTATTGATCTTATCGAAAATCGCAATGAGCTTCATCCAATTGATCCCCTTGGTCAGGAAATGGCACTCGAAGACGAAGAGACAATCCAACTTCACGAGGAGCACGAGAAACTTAAAAGAGAAATCGAACGGTTTGATGGAAACGATATGACTAGATTACGGTCGCATGTAAAGACTTTGACGGTTGCTGAACGTGATCGCGAACTCAGTCCAGCCGATACTTCAACTATCGAAATAACCCTAACAACACTTAATATGCTTAATCAGTTGATGCATCTTCTTCGAAAGCGATCTCTCACACTTGACCTTGCAATGCTACGAGTAAAATGGGAGGCTCTGTTTGGAACGGCAGTCGAATGGATTGTTAGTACAGATGAAGATATGGATGTATTTTTGGACGGAAAAGCCCGCTGGTCTGAAAAAGAAGATAGTTATGAGTCCGGGATTGAGCAAGTGATCCAAACGCTCGTTAACCTCGAAAACAGAATCGCTGATTTTGATAGTGGTACTTATTCTCATGTTTTGGAAGCTTATCAAGAAACCGAAGATCTTGCAGCCACTGCATTACCAGAGCATCTAGAGTGTCGCCAGTCCGGATTTGAAAAGGCATTCGAGGATCTTATGAAGCGCAGTAGTTTTAGCAGAAAGGTTGTGGAGCAGTTGCTGTCGGTCATTCATGCAGTAAATCAGTTTAAACAACTTCGGGAAGAGGGAGAAGCACTTCGACAGGCAATGCTTGATTCTGCTGACCATTGTACACGCTCTAGTGACGACGAAATATTTGCAGAAAAAGTTCAAGCTTTTAAGGAGAGTTCTGCACATGTCATCACTCATGTTGGTACCCGTGTACCGTACCCATCTGTGCCTGAGATGTCTACAGCAATGGGGCGACGCGATGCATACCACAATCAAATGACAAACGAAGCAATTAAGAGTACTATCAGTGCTCACGGAATGTCTCTTGCTCTTATTGCTGATGGTCTTGATCAACTTCTCAAGTCGCGCCATTCTATTATTTCTCTCCAGCAACGGGCTAGTCTTGCCTATGATGAAATGGGAAAGGTGACTCAGTGGATGGAGGAACGTGCAAGGGCACTGTCAAAAACCCGCCTCGACCAGAATGAAGATTGTCGTATGGAGGAAGAGGAAGTCAGTCGCCTTGAGAAAGAGCGCGATGGAATCGCAGTACGATTAAATCAAATGGAAGAAGACGATCTCACACGTTTACGTGAAATTGTACGTTCCTTAGAAGACGAAGTTGATGCCTCAAATGCTGTAGCAATTGATCGCAGTGCATTAGTAAATAGCATTGAGCGTCTCGATAGAACACATGCTCATCTTCAAGAACTTCTGGCACATAGAGCTAGCGCTTTAGACATACTTAAGAAAAGAATTTCATGGGAGACTCAGTGGTCTCGTACCAACCAGTGGATCATTACTATTGCCAGGAAGCTTTGGGATTTTACTGCCAAAAAGGCCCGCTATGACCCCATTAAGGACAATGTTGATAAGCCTTCATACGCCAATGACAAGGAAAATATGCAAGCCTGGCAGTCGCTTCATGATAAAGTTGTTGAGATTGGAGACCGTCATTTACAATTGACCAACGATCAGTTCCAAGCTCTTTCCGACTGTTACGCGGAACAAGATAGCAATGAAACCATGCCAAGTTCAATGAATGACCGCCAAAATGAACAACAGCAGCGTTACGAAGAGCTGCAACACCTCTCCAGTCATGCTGCTGACTTGATGACTCAGCGCTCGACTATTACCGAATTTTTACTACGTGTACAGGATTGTCACCACGAGGGTGAAAAAATTCGTGACCTTATTACCAAAATGATGCGGCGTATTATGGAGCAAGATGCTCGTCCCCTTGATACTCGGGTTACTGCCTTCAAAGAAGAGATACGTCGAGTGTGGCAAGAGTGTGGCAAGTCAATGCCATTTCCCGTATTTCGTGGTCAGCTTCTTTTGTCTCTCCAGCCTGCAGAGGTCTCCAATAGCACGCACATACGCCAACAAATACGAGCTCTCCTTGAGCGCAAACAGCAAGAGCTACAACAGCTTGAAAATACTATCGACGATCTCCTTAAAGCATACCAGGAAGCTGATTCAATGAAGAGTCTAGTAAGTCAGTATGATCAAGAAGCCGCTCGTTTGCGCCTTTGGATTGAGGAGAACAGCGAACGTTTGCAGCATCAACACATTGATGTTGCTGCCGAAGTCATCACAGACTTAACACCAGAAAATCTTGAAAGTCGTTGGAAACACCAAAATGAGCTGTGTGGCGCTCTTGAGCAGTTCGAAGCTGGTGAAGTGAAGACATTACATGATAGCATCGCAACCTTAATAGAGGAATCCATGAAGAAGAAAAAGAACCGAACAGTAGATGTCTCAAGTGCAGCCCACAGTCTTGGCGAAGTTATGAATAGTATAGCCCAACTGAAACAAAATCTATCCCATCAGTCCGTAACCCTTGAAGCAGCAATGCGTCGTAGTGTCTGGGAAAAGAAGGTTGAAGAGGGCTTGGGACACCTTGAAACTATGAATGAGCAACTCCGCCAGTTCACATCTAAAAAGAATCAGTGGATTGCCCAAGATAATTTAAGTGAAGAGCATGTTTATACTCTGGAGTCTGATTTGGCTCAACTTGTAGCTCAACGAGATGTTTTTGAGGACGCTTTACTTCCAGAAATTCAGGCAACATACGAGGATTTTATTGCTTACTTCCCTCGCCTTGCTCGTCCGATGGCTACTCCTGACCATATAGAAGCTAGCATGGAAGGACTGAACCGTTCGTCGGCCAGGTTCCAGGAACAACTCACATCTCGCACAAAGGAACTTGAGTTAATTCAGCAGAGATCTGAATGGGAGCAGGTTGTAAGAGATGCTTTATCATACTTGTCCAAAGGAGAAGCCGCCATTGAAAGCTTTGTAGAAGATAAGGCACGATGGCATCCAAATGCAGAAATGCAAGAAGAAGACGAAGAGCGTCTACGAGCTGAATGGGTTGGTCTCAGGGATCAGTTCGAAGCCTATCAGCAATCTACAACACTTCCACTCAAGCAGCAATTTGATGCATTACGTGATATGGCAACAATGTATAATGCTAGTCTAGTTTCTGAAGCCTTGGCCAAACGCATGGAGGAAATGGATGGAGCAGAGAAGCGACTTGATTCAGGACTTGTGTTCTCCAACAAAGTTGTGACCCAGAGATGTTTGGTATCCGCATTTATACTCAGAACAGCCCAGTTAGAGCAGTCTGCCGAACTCATACGTGAAGAGTTTATGGCTTCTAAAGAGCAAGCTGAGACTAACACAGAACGTCTCGAACTTTTCAAGGCTGGTATTGAGGATGTCCGTGAGAATCTTGCTGGTAGTATTCCGTACCCTGTCCGTAGTCCAGATAACACAATGGGACGTCTCAAGGATGAAACAACAAATTCAGTTATCAAGGATACAGTAGAGACACGCCATCGTCGATTAGATGAACTTTCGTCAAGTCTTCAGCTCTTATTAGAATCTAAAGAGCGTATATCACGTCGCCGTATGTCCTTACACACATATCAGCAGCAAGTCGAAGCATGTGAAGCATGGATTGGATCCCGGCGCGAACTTCTCCAAACCCATCTTGAAACCGATTACACAAAACAAGATGCCTTACAGCTCAAGGAGACTGTTAGCTTAGCTGATAGTATTGAAACCGCAATGACTGCCCATGAAAATGTGTTTACAGTCCTCAAGAATACCTTTGAAAAATGCAAGGCTGCATTTGACGAACAGCTGGCTGAAGAGGGTGACGAAGCTCTCGTTAAGGAATTCAATGCTATTGCCCCACTCCAGAACCATCTTGACAATTCCTGGAAGACCCTATTGACAGAGGCTGCCACTGCCACCAAAATCATTTCTGCCGCTTTGGTTCCTGCTCAGCTCGAGGAGCGCCTCGAGTCTCTAATCGCAGCAATCGAAAATCTTCAGGAGGCAATGGCCAAGACTGATTCTACAGATCTCACAGACGAATGTCTTGCTCAATGGCAAAAGTCCGTAGATGATCTAGAGATTAAATCATTTCATGGAATCCAAGTTGATCTTGAAGAAAATCGATCAAAAATTACTGAAACCAAGGTTGACCAGCTTTCGACCCAACTTGAAAAATGTGGCGAAGGCATTTTGGCCATTCGCTCTACATTGGCTGGATTGTATGATGTGGTCAACGTAAACCGCTTGAAACGTACTTATAACGAGAACATGGTATTACTCCAAGAAAAGATGGCACAACTGCAGAAGTTACTGGAAAATGCCCTCGATCATTGTAAGCAATTGGATGCGTCAAGCGAAGTTCGTATTTTACAACAGCACGACCTTGGTTCCCTATCCAAAGAGATTAAGCGTGATATGAATGACAGTAAAGAAGCATATGATGATGTTTGCGGATATCATCACTTAATTAAGTCTCAAGGCTATCATGGAGATCTCCAGGAGAGCCAAAATCTTATTGATGAAAGCTGGAAAGAAGTTCAGAACCGAAGCTTAGCCCTCGCAAGCCATGTCACTCGCGTTGCTACCTGGATAAGCTGCCTTGACAAACTTGATCAATTTCAAGCAGATCTTTCAGTGACCCGGGCTAACCTTGAACAGGCACTTACAGCCGAGAAAGGTCCAGGTCTTTGGACAGGTGTCTCAAAGACCATTGATAAGGTTAACACTGGCCTTGATGGTATGGCTAATGTGGGTGAAGGCGAGGACATGCAAACCGATAAAGATAATTACAGCCATTGGAAACATCGCCAAGAAGAACTTTTTGCACTTACTCATCAGTTAGCAGCAGACCTTTCTACTCATCAACTGTCTTGGGAAAGAGAAAATCTCGCAGAAACTTTCCATGCAGATATCAAGCGCTTGTGCATGCTGTGTGAAGACGAACTAGAATCCCTCCGACACTTAAATTCTCTTCAGACTACTTTAGAAACAAACGCAATGGAAGAAGTTGTCCAAAAGAATAGTATTACACTCGCAAGACTACATGATACCTATGATAGCTGTAAAGAAGAGGTTGACTGCCTTGTGGGGCAACAAGGAAAGGAGCTTGCGACAAGCTTGGGTCAGACAATAACCGAGGTGGAAGAGACGACCGCACCCCTTATAGATTTGATGGATACTTGGAATACAAATATGACTATCCAGGATGACTGCCTTGATTTATTACGTGAGACAACTAAGCATGTTCAACAAGGTGATGTTATTCAGTCATCTCTTGAGGATCTTAAGTCAGTCGTTAGCGGCAAGCCGGTTCAGCCTGATCGCCCTAGTCTTGATTTGGCGGAGATCGATCAATTGTACGAGTCTTTGGATGAATCTGTGGCTTCATTTACTTCTGAAGGAGATAATCTACAGAAAAAGCTTAAGAATTATGTTGATGGACATGGCGGATCTTTGGCTGACGGAGTTAGTGTGAGACAGGAGACAATTATTAACGCTTGGAGTGATTTGAAGCAGCTTGTTATTGATACCCGGGCTCGTATGGAAGAAGCTCAGAAACGGCGCCAGGTTGCCACCAAACTTTCAGAAGCACTGCGCTATGTAGGAGATATGAAAGATCGTGTCAATGCACTTCAATTTACTGGAAAGAGCGTCAATACTGAAGAAGAAGAACTGCAAAAGACACAGGATGAAATTGACCAAAGACTTGGCCGAAAGACAGCTGATATTGACGAATTGCTGGCTAATTTAACCGACGTTGATCAGACCCTCATAGTCCAACGTGCACAGCTCACAGTAGACATAGAAGAGCTACGTGAACTGATTCAGAATAAACAGAGACAGGCGGCAGAAGAAGGAAATGTAGCTGAGTTTAGTCGCCTTATGGAACGTCTTGACGCTCTTCTTGGGCAATTATCTACAGCAATTGATATGGCTGCTCCACATAATGCTAGTCTTGTAAACAACAAATTCAACAGACCCGAGCTTCAAGCTCTTATGCGCAACCTTATTACTGCCTACAAGAAGCTTGGGCCTGGAATTACTAGCATATTGAGCGAATCCAAAGAAGAAGCTCAAAAGCAATTTCTTGATGATAATGATCGAGTATCCGACCGGCTTGCCAAGGCTATTGCACGCTGGGGTAAGCTTCAAGCGGCAGCAGCAGCACGGGAACGTGAATTACAAACATGTATCAGCAAGTTGGATCACGAATTCTTTACAAAGCTTGCTATGGCCAAATCTAATCCACGTAAACAAGCACGCCAAGCAAAAGAAGCTCCACCTGCAAGCCCACTCAAGCGTGTCGCCGGACAGCCTCAACGCCAACAATTGTCCGCTGGTACAGCATCCCCATTACCAATGCTTAGTTCTCGCCGTATGAGTAATAATGGTACTCTGGGAGTTTCAGACCAAGACAATCGATCTGTTTCTTCTATCAGACGATCGCAAACACCAACTGGTATATCTCACCCCCCTACTGCTAAACCACGCGCCTCTGGGTATGTGCCTGATCCAAATAGTACACTTGATGTGGCTTTGGGGCAGATTGTGAACGAAAGTCCCTACAGACTTAAAGTAAAAATGGTACCCGGTGAGGTCGGAAAATACTGGTTTGGGGAAGAATCCCCTCGTCTTGTTTACTGCAGAATTCTTCCGAGTAAGCTTGTAATGGTTCGTGTCGGTGGTGGATGGGTTGAGCTCTCCAAATTCTTGAGCGACCACGGGTTGACAGATGGAGTTGTAACTCCACGTAACGACGGCCAAAATACTCCATCTACCTTATGCGACGGTGCCCCGTTTCAAGAGATCCACCTCCAAACCGTTCGAGCTGTCTCTCCTTCAGGTCGTGTAATGATTCGTGGAGGTGGGCTTGGAATATCGAGCGAAACATCGGGAATCAATACTGTAAATGGCACAAGTAGTAGTCTCGCCCCTTCACGTTCTTCCAGCAAATCTTCCAGTAGTCAATCCCGTTCTACCATACCAACCGGCTTTGTTGATGGTGATAAGTATGTCCGAGTAGACGAACTTGGAAACCAGATGATGGTCAAAATGAAAAGGGCAGAAGAAGGAGCAAAGATGCCCACAGTTTCCAAGAAAAAGCCTACTTAATCACTAGTTGTTATACCAGCTGTTGGGGTCTTTATCTAGTTTAAGTCATTGTTGTATTTTTATTCATCGTTTCATGTTGCATTTCACCTTAGCATTACGCACATCCCATTTATATCTCCTTTCTTTTACCCTAAATTCTATAGAAAACAAGGGAAAATACAATATATTTTTTTTAAAAAAGATTAGCTGATTATTTAGCTTACATTTGGATTAGTTTTGATAGAAACAAATTATGGTCTATTTTCTTTGTTTGTTCTTTTGAATAAACATATCATGGTTAAAGAAAACAATCTGGGGCAGTTTAGGACTAGTTTATGCTTCGGAAAACGCAGCAAAAGGGCCCTTACCTACATCTTATAAGCTATGGTATTACTAAAAAAGGTGCTCTTAAACTCGGACTGATTCGGCCTATAGCTAAACTCACAGTAAATTAAATTAAGATAATGCTATTATCAAAAAAGAAGTATAAAGTTACAGCCTGTATATTAAACCTTAGGAATGAGATTTGTCTGATGAAAGCATATAGAAACTGTCAAAAGTTGACAATGACGGGTTATATTGCTGGTTACCAACTTTTCTCTCTCTCTAAAGAGAAACTGGATATTGTGACCCATTTATGATTATTTTTGGGATATATTCATCAAATTTATACTCGTCAAACCAATTGGTCAATTGTATGATTCAAAATGACCGAAATATAATCAAATGTATTAATCATGTAGGGAAAGCAAATAACATCATTTCTGCAAACAAAGATTATTCAACTCTATAAATTTCATTTAGAATGGACGAGGAATTAGGGAAGCAAATAACATAAAAAATACGAAGCCTTTGGAGTGGAGTGCTATTAAGTGCCACTACCAACTGAGTAATTATATAGCAGCAAACTTTCACATGCTAAAGGGAGCTGAAAGGCTTGGTTACAGGTCTATATTTGTGTTTCCTTAATCTTCTTAATGCAGCCGAGAAATGGCAGTCTGGAATCAAGAAACACATAAAGCAAAAAATATTTTTCGCCTCGGATACCTCGATGCTTACAATTTTAGTAGCTTACATGATTGCTACTACAAAATATGGATTTGGTTAGAAAAAAAGTCGAAATCGTTTTGAGATACATATGTTTTAGAACATAATATGGTCTTGTTTAACTTGGTAACTGATACTCTATTAACATATATATCTAAAACACCCATTTATATGGTTTGATACGTTTGATTTTACCTGCTTATTTAAGTGAAAGGCTTGTGTGAAAATGATGATTATAAAATTATATCGAAAATACAAGCATTAGTCCAATAAAGAAACTAATAGAAATGTAATAAGTGAAAGGGTTAAATGAAATAAGTAAAACATGAATTTTGTATTTTATACTTTGATAACGAAATGAAAGCTCATTATCTAAAATTCATTAGAACTCGGATGACTCTTACCCAAAATCTAGTGCTGCAACTTCAAAAGGAAAAAAAAAAGAAAAGAAAAAAAAAACCCCCCAATATGCCTGGATTTGAAGTACAAAAAGAAAACCATATAGAAATAGCACATCTCCGAATTCGCCGCCCAAAGTCATTAAAAGTGTAACGAAGTCAAATATATTCAGCAGAACCGTTACATACTAATGAAACATTAGTGGTGTCTACGATTTTTATTAGAAGAAAAACACCAGCTTGATCATAATGACAAAGATCGACAGTGATCAGTCTACACACAGACAGGCCAATTTACATTTAGTGTACAAATTTTTATGTTATAAAATAATATAGTCAAATTAAATTCAATTAATGTCAAATATTTAAGTAAAAATAGATACTTGGCTGTGAATTGTTAAAAAAATTATTAGAAGTTTAGCTTTGAAAACGCATCTTTGTATTCACCAAGTTTCATGTGCAGGACATACAAGTATACAAATACATATAAAGTAGTACGAGAAAGTGATATTCACGCTGCAATATATACTTAAAGTAGTAGTAATAATAATTAATAAAGGCCGATGAAATGGCCCAAGCCAATCGAGATTAATATGTTACAAGAACATAAATGGCCTGTTGGTCACCGCATTCAATCGCGTTACATGAGTTTTTATGAAAAAGAAAAAGAAAATCTTCAAGAGATTTCAGTTCTATTAATTCCCTGAAATATCTCCCCAAATTGAAGTTTTCCAGTCAAAAGTAAATAAAACAAATACTTCTTTCTTTCTTTTTGTTTTTTAAAAAAAGGCTCTTTGTTGAGTTTATTTAAGCGTTTTGTACACCGCAATCTTGGTTAATATATCCAAAGCTTCACTTCTTTCTTATGTTCTAAAGGCAACGTCTTGGATACCATAATCTGCCCTATCCCAATAGGGAAAATGGATGAGGAGAAAGGTGGGGGAGAGATGGCAATTGGTATGCCTAGAAGCACCAGCCAACCAAATAGAAGGTCTGTGATATTGCCATGTTACACTCAAAATGTTGCACCGTCAAAAGGGTTTCGATGCAGCAAAAGTAGTACAGGATAAGAGCTAAAAAAAAATCTATTAGGATTGGTTTTATTGAATTGGACTATAAATTTTTCCTTTCTTTCTTTCTCTTTTTTGTTTTTGCGTCTTTGTATCTTGGCTTTGGATCTGCCATGACACATCTCAGGTAACCCCTAACAACCATCCAAAAACACAACGAAATTCTTACATATTCTGCTTATTTTCACCTAGTGATTATTCTTACCTGGGTAAATTTTAATTTATTTATTTTCAAAGTCAAAACACACAAACACACATACGGACGATCGATGGATGCTAAAGCTAAAATAACAATATAGAGCGATGTGCATTGGAAGTCTACATATCCCTTTACTTAATATACTGCGTATGGAAGAACGATCAATTCAAATGCATTCGCCCATCGAGAATTGCCGCGGGAGAGCTTAAAAGTATCATTACAGTATTAATGATATTAATGATGTTAGCGCAGGCATCCTGGGGTAAACTTTCTTTCGCTTTTTTCATATGTGTTATCTGGATGTACCAATCGAATGTCCTCTCTAACAACTGTACTATAGATTTCATATCAACATACATAAAATACAAAGAAGGTTTTATGGCATTACCTGACGGTGAAATTATAACCAAGCCTTTCGCGTATTGGAAACCTGAACACCAGAAGCCTATACAGGTAATATAACAAAGAACAGGTCTTCTCCGAGCCTCTTCCCTGAACTAGCCAAATATAATGTCACACCATGTTATCCCGACGAACTGTGTCTGATTGGTTATTGTGTCCGCTTCATTCATAGATTATTGACTATGTTGAGTGCATAACCTTTTCTTTACAAACCGGTGTATTCTGTTTGTTGCAATGCTTCTGGAATTATCTATCAAACAGTGTTGCCAAAAAGACTTTTATGGGCTCAAATGAATTCAAACTCTATATAATCTGGTGAGAAATAAAAAAGCTTTCTTTGGCTGATTCTAATAGTGTGAATGTATCAGGGCTATTGCGAGTATGGCCGTGTTCCCTTTCCTTCAGTGGTGGTACAGAAATGATGTGTTGAAACGGGAAGCTGTTCCACAGCTTGCTTATTCGTGCGAAGGTATCGATCAAAAGAAAGGACGGATTATACAACCAACAGGGAAATCTATCCAAAGAAAATAATAATACCCTCATCTATATTTTGTAGTACTCATTCTGGTCATACTGGGTATTCGATCCCACTTTCGTTTCCTCAGAATCATCAAAATTTCTCACAAGACTCAGAATGCTAATTCGCCTGTGGTCATAAAGATGACATATTTTAAAGATATGAATATCATCCTGACTATCTCCATGCTTTCTTATGGAGGATCATTAATGATTCTCTGTGCTGACGGTTTAACCGAAAAAATGTTTCTTAACACTAGCAAGTTTGCTTCTGATCTGATTATTGGCAACTGTAACGTTTCCGTTATTTTTATCTGGATTGCCCTTGTACGTTCTTTCTACTTTCTTTTGGGGGTTGGCCCAAACAATCCATGAATATCTACTAATCTTTAAAAGAAAAACCGTAGATTTCAATTTTCCACCCTAGAAGTCAGTTCCAGCAAGATAGAACTATACATAGTGCAAGTGAAGCAACACAGCAGAACACCAAACTTAGTAATCTACCGGTCCGTCATGATCAATCTACTGGATTTGCGGTAAGCAGCACTGGTTCGGGTGCCTATCGTTTGAATGAACGTATCACGAGTTTTATGGCCACCAAGTTTCAGGCTGAGCAGACCAATGGACTTGTTGATGAAAACCCCGGATATGCCTACACCACGCAGCAAAACGTCTTCAACTCTTCCTCTCAACAACCTTTGTCTCCCTTGTCCCCGCCCTCCCGGAATAATATTGTGGGCCGTAACAAGATATCAGTTGAAGATCCCTACAGCAACGAAGACATTACCTTTACAATGGTGGATCCTTCTTCACGTCCTGTTCAATTGAACAGCCGGTTTGAAGATTCTGCTTATGAAAATATTGAATACCAACATCCCACAGAACATTCCTCTTCAAACCCCCTATTTCAGCCTAGTAATAATTCTTCTGGCTTTAGTCGCATTGAGCCAAACTCTCCATTGCCTCCAGTCCCAGGACAGAATTCTGCTAAACCTTCTAGATTCGATCCTCTTTCTTGGGAACAGACCCAAGCAAGCTACGATCCTAATTATCCCTATCTCGAAACTCCCCCAATTGCTGTGCCTAGTGGAGGGCGCGATAAATCTGTTGGGCAAGATTGGTTAAAGCAATCTCCCCACAGACGCACCAGCTAAACAAGAAACCAAGGAAACAAATTAAAATGTAACACGCAAGACTCCCCCTCACTCCTCACACACACACACACATATATATATACTAATACTTTTTGGAGGGTTTAATAATAACAACCTTTTTAATTCTTAAGTAATTTTGCTTACACACTTTTTTCTCTCTATTTTTTTTTAATATCTTTACATTTCCCTATACGTCTTTATTTAATACTCTAAAAACCCATAATACGCTATTTCCTTTAATTGCCTCAAACAAAATAAAATATTCAGAATGATCAAACAGAGTCAGTACAGAAAAAAAAAGTTCAATGAAGTCTTCATAAAAAATAATTGTAAATATATATATATATATGAGCGTGTGATTTAGATACGTCACACCCTCATCATACTGAATAAAAAGTATTGGAATTTATCATGTGTGATTATATGCAAGGAAAGGGGAATATGAGGTCTAAGAAATAAACGGAGTAGAGTCTAATATGGACAAGGCAGCAGGGAGCCAACTATTTACCATTTACAGACAGGGTACGGTGACCAGGAACAGTAGGTGCAGATGTAGATCCACTTGACAGAGAAAATATTTCACCAGGTCCATTAAGGTTCCACGGCCGGCAATATTGCTTTAGTTTCTGTAAGATAATATCTTTTGTTACCGGCTTATTAAGGGTATCATCAAATGGACCTGCCAGTTGAGCAATGCGTTCATAAGCTGTGACAGCAATAATAGGTGTTTCCTTGTTCACATTATTAGTAGATTTGATCATTCGTGCTGCTGCCTCACCATCAACTTTTACCAAAAAAAAAAAGTATTGTGAGTAGCTGTTATTGGTTTGTATGCTTTATAAACACTTACTTATGGGCATGTGTACATCCATAAAAATGACATCAAACGGAATATCTCCCATGGCAAAACGTATAGCACGAGCTCCATTACGTGCAATCACACATCGACAATGAAGTGCTTTAAGAATAGTTTCCAAAATCTTGCAGCTTATTGGATTATCATCAGCTACCAGACAGTCCAAAGGTTTTGGTCGTAAACGGCCTGAAAGTGTATCTAGTGGATGAGGTACTTCAATGGTGCTTAACTTGGCAGTCGGTCGAATATCCATTTCATCTGCCAGACAATGAAATCGACTTCGAATCATATCACGCGGATGGAAACGATCTCCAGAAGTCCCTACCAAGTCCAGCTTGACTAAATGATTTCCAGGAGAAGAGACAGACCGTGTACGATGGGATGATTCACGCCACAAGGCCTTTTCAGCCATATTTATTGGTTGTAGCCCAGCATCAAGAGACCCACGTGCAGTAGTCATAGAGGACCCGGAAACGGTTGAATTTACAGACAACATTCGACTCGACGTAGAAGGAGACAGACTGTGCGGTGTACCTGGTAAGGATAAAGATGGCTGACTGTTGATTCGATTGATACGTGCGCCAGACATATCAAACATCGAGCTTCGTTTTCCACGATGAATTGCCGGTAATGACCTGTGGACTAATGTTCCTGGACGAGTATTATGTGTTAAAAACTCTGCAGACGATACTGTAGAAGAAGATGGTGCAGAAGATGATGATGGAGAAGAACTAATAGCCGCCATAGCAGCAGCAGATGCAGCGGCAGCAGCAGCAGAAGAAGAAACAGCGGTATGTCCAACAATACTATCATGTCGAATTTTGCGAATCGCGTCTTCGTTGGCCTTCTCAAGCAATAATAAATTTTTGTAAACAAATGCGCCAAATTCTGAGCCGTCTTCTGTGGTAACGCCACCCAAATCAATGCTACTGGACTTCCCACGTCCTTCTCCTAATGATACCACTGTTTCAGGATTCTGCTCTTCAATGATAGCTAAAGCACGCTCCACCTGTTCTTTAGCTACACGGTCTTCTTCTTCATCTTGTAAAGCATTTGTTTGCCTGATTGTCTGAAACGGATCAGGCAGCTGCTGCTGATCCTGCTGTTGGTCTAGAGTTGCTCCCCTAGAATCAAAGTAATTGGTATCTTCGACATTCTCAGGGTTCGGGATAAAAGATGGCGATTCTTTCAGAAGTGTATCCCAATTCAAGTCTTTAAAAAACGGGTGTTGTTTAACCTCTTCAGGACCATTTGCCCCTAATCGCTTTCTAGGGTCCAAAGTCATCAATCTTTCCATAAAGTCGCGCGCTTCAGGCGAAATATCCACACTATCCTCATGCCAATCAATTCGTCGTGACAAAATGTTCTCGAATACTTTATCTGGTGTCTCGGCATGAAATGGTGGAATGCCATATAAGAATTCGTAGCATATTACACCAAGAGCCCACTATAACAGCGTCGATTTGATAATCCTGTGTGAGCAACGTCAACGGATGGCCTTTGGTCTTAGAAGAAAACAAGAAAAAAAAGGAAAAGAAAAGAAAATCTTTCTTTTTTTTTTTGTATCCTTTATCTTTCTTTTAACTCGACCTCATTTTCTTTTTCCTACTTACCCAATCGACCATGGTATCTTCTCCTGTTCCTAGGATACTCTCAGGTGCAATGTAGTCCGGTGTACCAATAGCAGTCTTGCGGGCATCTGAGCGTTCATTTTCCTGTCTTTCAAAGAATCCTGGGGTCACTATTCCAGGGGTAGATGGGCCAAGATTAGAAAAAAAACCCCCGGTGCGCCACTTTCCAGATTTTTCATCAGTGTTATAATCCACTGGACCAAGTGATATGTTTTCTGATGGCTGGCCACAATCACCAGAAACTGAGCTGGCCATGGACCCACGTCGGTTGCGGTCAAATAAAAGGCTGAAATAAGAATGCTGGTAGAGATTTTCCGATGGGGACAATAATGATACAGCAGGCGAATGTGGCGGTGTTTCAGACCCAAAAGGAAAAAGCGACGGAGAAGATGAGGATGAAGGAGATGAAGATGTTGGTTGTGGGAAGCGACTTGACAATGGATGCATCGGGGGATTAGTTGCTGTAGGCCCTACGCGCAATTCATCTAGCACACGTCGATCCAAAAATCCAATACGAGACAATCCAAAATCAGTAAGCTTCAGGTGGCCGTTTTGATCAATCAACAGATTATCCGGCTTGAGATCACTTTGTTATATAATATAAAGGAAAAAATACAATCCTTAACACATTAGTTCTAGCCTTATTTCTCTCTCTCTTTTACTTGGGACAATGCTTTACCGGTGAATAATATTTTTGGTATTTAGATAAGCGAGACCCAAAGTAACTTCGGCCAGGTAATTACGTCCCCAATCCTCCGGCAGGCTCCCAAGTGCCTTGAGTAAAGCTGAACAGTCTCCACCATTCAAGTATTCTAATACAAGATACAAATAATCTTTTGATTGAAATGTGTAATAAAGTTTTGTGACAAATGGACTGTCTGTCTGGGTCATCAAGATCATTCGTTCAGCCTTAACATTGGTAACTTGGTTCTTAGCAATCATGTCCGATTTCTTCAAGAATTTGATCGCATAATAATCACCAGTTACTCTTTTCTTGGCTAAGAATACAGATCCATAGGCCCCTTTACTAATAGCCTTTATGATAACAAAGTCCTTAATAGTGGGAGGAGTTGGTCGTGTCATCATAGGAACTGATAGTGGAGACCGGGGCGACTTGCCAAGTCCGGCTGGACTAGAATTGTTAGGATCTGAAACTGAAGGACGTTTGGAGAGTGCAGGTGCTGATGATGATACTGGGGTATTTTGTTTAGGATGGATGTTAGGCGAGCCTGGAGGAGTTTCGATTGTCTCCATTTCAATAATTCTAGGGGATATTGGATGAGAATGTTTTCGAGTACTATCGGGGGTCGACTTAGTAATGGATATCTCTGTTGATGTCAATCCAGGACCTGATGAGGATGATGATACTGCTGCTGCCATCTTTCGTCTCTGGCGCTTAGAAAGTCGCCCGATCTTGGACGTGCCTTTGGATTTCCATGTTTTGATTTTACTAATCACTGTCTTTTTAGGTATCGGCTCTGGTACTACGCTGTCCGGTGTAGGCGAAGGATCTGGTAGCAGAGAGCTTGACAGGTTTTTGGGAGAATCAACACACAACGGCTGTTTACCAAATTCTTCGGACGGAGAGATCAAATGTTCTGCATATTCAGTCCAGCCAACCTCTTGCTGCATTGTTCGCTGGAACTCTATACGAGCACGGTTATTGTATTCTAAGCGATCTCTCATTCGGTTGACCGCTCCCACTTTACTTTTAGTCATAACCTCAATGTCTTGGATGAACGATACCAAGGTAGTATCTTTGGTTAAGGGCGAGCGCCAGGAAAGGATATGTACCATCTTGGATTTGCTACTAAGAGACTGTAATGATCGTGCAAGCGGATCATTATCATGATCATTTCCTTCGGTATCTGCATCACGAGCGGTTTCATCTTCATCATCTTCATCCGTACCCGGAGTAGAAATGCTGATGGCTACATCGAGTATAGTAATTAACTCGTCATAAATCTTGCTCAAAGCCTCCTTTACTTCGCCGGTAGATAAGGGTTGTATTGAATCTACAGTATTATCAGATTTATGATGCTCGTGTGCTTCAAGGACATGCTGTTTGAGCTCCAACAAACTGTCTTGGCAAAGTGAGACATCCATTTCAACACGATGAATTTCAACACACAGCTCTGAATGCTGTTCAAAGAAAGCTGGAACAACCCAGCGTTCGCATACTCGACAAAGAACAGGAGGCATATCCAGTAATCGCATAGTAGATAGAATCATACTACTTGAAGAAGGAGCGCCTCCATGTGAGACTACTCGTCGCATATCTGCGCTTTTTACTCGTGAACGTCCAGTTGCAGATATTGTGTTTTCTTCTCCTTCACAGTCAGAGGTTGTATACCATCCTAGAGGCTCTGTCTCAGGTTCAGAGAAGGAACGAGAACGGGTCATGTGGCCTTGAATATACCGGGCGCGCAAATCAAAGTCAATAGGATCTTGCAAAATGCTTGATTCGGGAGAGTCAACCGTTTCTCCGAGTGAATGGCGTTGGTCAATCATTATAGGTTTTATTACCCACATTGTATGGCTTGCCTCCCCTGTTACTCTATTATACATCAACATCCCCTTGCCTTCCATCTCAATCGTAGCTTTATCAGTAACGACATGAAAACGGACTTCAACTGTCTGAGAATTGTCTGTAAGCAATTCCTGAGTCGCTGTAGTGAAGACATGTTTGTCTTCTTCAGAAAGCATATGTGATATTGGACTATTGATTGCAGATGCAGAATCTGAACTGTTATTCCCACACATTCAAAACAAAAAACACATGCGTACAGAATCACAGCATTGGCTCTATTAGTTCATATATTTGATTGGAAATTTTAAATTCTTAGTATTTACCCAATAACGTTTTTCCATATCGGGCTCAAGTATTCAACGGATGTGTTTGCAAGACTTAACTCCATAACAATAGTACTGTTTTGCGCTCGTTCAGCCGCTTCTTGGAGCTGTACGCTGTCATCTTGGGAGTCTGTTGGCGAATACTCTGGTGTATTATCATTATCGTGATCGTCGTTATTCGCGCATGAGCTCCAAAAACTTCCTGATTCGCTAGGACGTCTTTCGTGGGAATCTCCTGACTTTGTAAAACCTCTATCAGAAATGCCTTCAGTGTCGCTAATGACTGAGGTAGAGGTGACAGCGGTAGCGATTGTAGATGGACTATTGCTATTGCCTGTATTGCTTCGAGTGGCGGACCAAAAGCCTCGTTCGGCTTCCCACCATTCGACCACACGATTAAGTGCAGCAACCCCCAGCAACAGACCCACGTACCACTCTCGGCATGGCCACTCTGGATGACTATCCCATTGTACACCTGCCGCTTGGATATAAGCAACTATTTCTGCACACGCACCTGTATTGTCCAGAAAAGTGTTTAAATCGGTATCTAGTACTCTTTGGGCCAAACAAATGATGTCTTGCAAGGTCAGAATAAAGGGTGTTGGTAAATATGAGTCTTCAGATACGAGAGTGACCATTGAGTTCATATAAGCAAGAGATTCAACATCTTCATTCACTTCCCACCGTCGAATTTCCTCAACTTCTTCAATATTTGCCAAACTTTTAGCCAGCACCTTTTTGCGAAGAGGGCTTGATGAGAGAGGCGAAGAAGTTTTGAGATGAACAAAAGGTTTACTTTCTGAAGGTTCTTGACTTGTATTATCAATTTTTTCTTTAAGCTCGTCTTCACTCCTACAGTCATCTTCTGAACTTTCTGTTGCACTTTGTAGAACGACATGATCAACATCCTCAACATATTGTAGACCTCGTTCTACATATTCATTTAGACCGTCAATGATTCTACGCATCTCACAATCGCACGCCTGTTTAGCACATTGTAACCTGGCTTTGATGGTAAAGCGGATCTGAGCTGGTGTGCGAACTTCATTTGTAGCATTCTTGCTTAGCATACTGCCAAGGTGCCCATAGGCACGTACTGGACTCGCGGGGCTATAAAATCTGTACCCTATTCCTCCAAGCGATGAAGGCGTACTAGGTGTATGCTTGGTTCGGGTGTCATCCGGATACCACGGCCGAGGTGGAAATTGATAGGCAAGCGTCTCAAAATCCAGGGACATATGATGTTTGTGGGTTTTTGGATCTAGTGACGGGAGAGCACTGTCTGTAGAGGTCGGTTCAGTTACGGGTATTTTGTCTGTGTCCAAAGCAGTAATGGTTGCTGTAGTACCGGAAGTTAAGTTTGAAGATGACGAGGAGTAAGACTGTGGTACTGTAGCCAACGAACTTGATCTGCGGCGGGTATTTTTTCTAGCCTTAGTAGATAGGCGTCGCTTGTACACTGGAGGATGTTTAAGAGAAGCCCACCAAGTAGACATTGCTGTATGAAGAGCGTTCTTTACAGGCTTATCCGATGAACGTCTACGTGTCTCTGCTGCTTTAAGAGCCATATATTCTTCTACCCAGTCTACCCATGGCATATTTGGTGATTGTGTATCTTCAACCGGACTACTTATAGTTGTTTGGCGTGATCTGTGTACAGTCCATTTACCTAGTTTGGCCGAGCGTGCTTCATGTAGTTTTTTAGAGAACGTATCGCGTGGGCGTGAGTAATGCATAGCCCGATGAGTGGTATATGAAGTTCGTTGGTGAGCACGACGGTCTGGACTGGTGAAATAAGACCTGTACGTCATTTCTGGTGCAGAAATACTACCAGTGGAACCACGGTTCAATAGGTTAGGTGTAAGATCTCCATCACTTGCACACAAGAGCAGCGCTGGATAAAGGCCTGACGGATAAGAATCTTGTGGTGTGGTATCAAGCGCTATTTCTACAATGTCTTTATCATCTTGGGTCACTGGTGGATTGATTGGAGAGAGAAGAGGAACAGTGCCACTGACCATGCTGGCCAATTGCTCTGACGGAATATTACGTAGTGTGCTCATCGAGGACCTTCTTTGTCTTGAACGGTTATCTGTACTAGAATACAAAGGCTGTTTCCCTATCTCCTGTATAAGTCATCAGTCATATAATATTTTTAACTCACCTTTCAATATTTGGGGATCTGGAAAGAGATGAGTGGCTGGTTGAGCATACTCTTCTGTATCTGCAGTAAGGGTGGATGAAACTGAAGATGTTCTGGTGTGATGATGATAATCTCCTCGCGTCTCTGCCTCCTGAGTACGATAGATGCTCTCCGAGCAAGTCTTATGTTTTGTGGTTGGGTTATGAGAGCTATGAGATAAAGGCTTATCTGATCGAGTATGTAAAGAAAATGGTGTGCTTTCACTTTTTTTCTTGGCGTCTGGAGATGTGGTAGAGTCTATCCAGCTAGCTCGTTTGGAGTTTATTATATATTTTGCTCCACTGCCAGCAGGTGGACTTGCATAGCGAGGTAGATGCGACGCGTGAGAGTCTTCAGTATTAATGTCTGTTTTGAGTGAGCCCAAAGCTTGTGGAGTTGAAAACGTAGAGTCGATTTCGTCTAGAGAAGATAGAGAGGAGCGACTCTTTCTCAACAGTAGTGGTTGCGGGATAGGTACTGAACGAAGACGATTCAGCTCACTGTGAAGAGGTGCATCGTCGTCTATACGAGACTTGGTCTCTGCTCGTTTCATTCTAATGGCATGAACTAATGAGAGAGACATTCCAATTCAAGTTTGAGGTGGGAAATACCGTCGATCGAATGGGTTGCGTCACACAAGCAGGCGGCATCCTGCCTATTGGTCCCATTGCATGAATCCATTCCCCCCCTTTCGTCCCCCTTGGAGTTCCTTTCCACCCCTTGAATTCCCAACGAGAATATATACAAGCCACCGAGCTAATAACCAAGGGGAGATATATATATATATATATACACTTTGTTTGCTTTTTCATTAAAGGTCAAATATAAAATCGCTGCTGGCTTCAGTGGATAGGTTCGATTCGGTTTGGTTCAATTGAATTGAATTCCATTTTTCACGGAGTCAAAAGTCCGTTTAGCTGCATGTATTGTTTATTTCTCGTGGTAAACATTGTACAGTGAGATTAAAGGCAATGCAAATGAGTCAGTTCTTCTTGGCTGATAAATATAAGCATATGAAAAAAATAATAACTGATATTATAGCATCTTAATGTCAGCTGCTGAGAGCAAACAAAAAAGAAGGCCAAGAAAAGCCAAGGCTTGATAAGTCGATCTAGTAAAGATGCCACAGCCGTACCACCATCTCATTAAGGCGCCGTCCACTGGTTTATTTTTGTTTATGTTTGGCCACTCATAAATTTAAGCAACCAAATCCTTTCCTTTTATCTTTTTTACATTCCAATCAAAGAATCATAATACACATTACATGACTCAACCTACAGTTATTGGCGAACTAGCCGTTGTGGCCCTTAAAGCGGTAATGACTATATACTGCATCAATGCACCTAACTCGTAGGCACTAATAAAGTCCTTTTGTCTTCTAGAAAAATCTACCAAATCGAGAGGTAATTATATTCATACACAATAAAAACATTTTATCGACTCTTTTTTTATATTTATTTACCTACATGTAAATAAAGGTTGTTGGAAAACAAGACCCATTTTGTGTGTTTCGTTTGGGTGAGGTAGCCAAGAAGACAAAAACCAGTTATCGTGGCGGTCAACATCCCGTTTGGGATGACCAGGTAAACCTCGTTAGAGATTAGAATCATCTAAAAAGTTAATGTACTAATCAATTTTTTAAAGGTCAACATACCTGTAGCCGCAAACAAGACAAAGATGAGAGTCCAGTTGTTCGATGATGATTCTAAGCGGGAAGACTTAATTTCAGAGGGTGAAGTTGATCTAACAAACGTACTTGCCGGAGGGGAACAAGATGGTAGGTTTTTCTCGATGGGTTTTAATACTGAAGCTGAAAAGGATGGAGGGATAACCATCATTGATGTGTGTATGTCTTTTTTTTTGGTAGATTGGTTCCCTTTGACCTACAAGGGTCGAGCTGCAGGTGAGATTTATCTCGAGCTCACATTCTACGCAGCGGTAAGTCTTTTTTTTATTTTTTTTTTATTGATGAATTAGTTGATACAATGGTATTGATTGATAATTATGTAATAGCATCCTCCCCCAAGAAGACAGCCAACTCGCCATGTTCAGCATGCTTCGAGTTATGCTCATCAGCCGCAGCAAGGAAGTGTCTATCAGCATTCGCCTCAGGTTGCTAGTCCGTACCCACCACCCCCACAGAGCCAACCTACTGGCTACCAACCAGCTACAGACACTGGATACAGACCGTCTTCTATGAGTAGTTATCCACCTCAAAATCAGCAGGGAGGATCTATTTACCAGCCACAGTCTCAATACCCTAGTCGCCCACAATCTCAGCAATATACTGGTGGTCAATCTTATTCTAAGCCTAGTACTGATCCTAGTCAACAACCATCTCTCTTTGGCATCCCCGGTGTGGGTCCTACTCCTTATGTTCCTAAGCCTCCTGTACAGCAACAAGAACCATTGGCAACTTCTCACATGCCTCCTCCGATTTCACCTCCTTCGCCACCCTCAGCCACTCCTCAATTTACACCATATTCTCGTCCACAGTCAATGATTCGCCCAGAGGCTGGTAACTTGGGGTATGACAGTCCAACTCCCCTTCTTTCCTCACCCTATAGACCTACGAGTAATGGACCTGTTCCTCAGCAATCTTCATACGGAGGTAAAGTGCTTGCTATAATATACAGCTAATATATACCTTTTTTTATTCACTCTTTCTTAAATCTGCTACAGCTCCTGGTTATCCTCCTGTGCCTAGCTTCCCTCAGCAGGCACCTCAACAGCAACCTCAGCAGCAGCAGTCCTACCAAGCACCAGCCCATACCTATCCTAATAATAGCCCTTACCCACCTGTTTCGTCTCCTTATGCCCCAAGCCAGATGGGTTTCCCTGAACCACAGCGAGTTTCAGGTGTCTTTGCACCTCAGCATGGAAGCCCTGGACAGCCATTCGCTGCTCACCAAGGGTCGTTTGCTCAACCAAACCATACACCATCTTCAGGATATCCTCCTCAGTCTGCCTATCCACCTACAAGCTTTCCCCAGCCTGGATACCCACCACATCAACAATCTAATTACCCACCTTTTTAACCATAATTATGTATAATTTTTGGTGAATTGTCTTTTATATTATTACACTTACACTTACCCACACAGACACACATACACATACATACATATATATATATATACATATACGCACACATGCATAGAAATTTAAATTTAAATCTAAAACGAAACAAGACAAAACAAAACAAAAAAAATGCAAGACATGTGTATGTTGTAAAATTGTATAAATATTTTTACCATGTTAACACCTTATAAATACGGAATTTTTTGTCCATAATGTGTCTAGTATAAATAGAGTAATCATGATAGGGTTTATGACTCATTAGAAAGTGGGATGCTAGGATGGATACTTGTGACTACAGGTGTTGCTTTATTTACCTTTTATAGGCAATACAAATGGCCTTTTAGAACAAACAGGAAAAAGGCAATATCTATGACGCATTGAACACAGGCAATTCATCGTCTGGATAGGAAAGAGTTAAAAGAAAACCAGAATATGGGTTTCTATGGAAACAATTACAAAAAAGTCAACCCAAGAATACATCTGTATGTATTTTTTGCTGCAGACGATAAATACATTGAATGCAATATATAATAATATACGCTTTAGGTTTACACAAGTATATCCGATATGGTATCAGGTTGATTTATAAGCATATGTATTTTTCTCATTAATTTAACCTATACATACTTCCTAGACCGGGCTAATTGTGTAATTATGTTACCTCGGATAATATTGAATAGTCTTATATTAAAAAGCTATATACTTTTAGGATATGTTAAAGAGGTTTACAACCAACTCTAATTAAATTGCTTCCCGTATATTTCTTGGTAAGAGGTCAAATAAACTATAGAATATTTTTGGTATCACAAAACACTATTTGTCTTTTGTTCCTTTTTCTCGCTTTTTTTTTCTGTATTATTTTTTCTGGGGTCATTTCTATTTCCATGGTGATATCCAACTTTAATATATGCTTGTATATATTAACTATATATATATATATATATATATATATACATACATATGTATATCTTGAAATATACTGTCATAGAAATATGATGAGACTCAAATTGAATATCTTTATATTTATACATATATGTCTACTCGACATAAGCAATACTTTGCCAGTGTGAATCGGAGTTGTACCCATAATTGAGTCGTCTTTTTCTTTTCTTTTTCTTTTTTTTTTAATTCTACTTGGTTAGGTGTCACTGGAACTGAATGAATACTTGAGTGTCGCTCCTTTTCTCCATTTCTTCTTTTCTTGAATTATCACTGATCTCTTCAGTTCATCACTTTTCTTATACCGACTCTTCTCTAAAGAGAACAATCGCTCCACACAATCGTTCCATTCATTTCAATCGTCATGGATGCAGTCGAGATTACAGGCTATACCTTTGAACCACCGTCTCAACTCGAGGGTCTCGATAGCATTGTGATCGCAAATGGTCAACGGTAATTCCAACAAATTAGCGATAAAAGTTAAAGAAATGAATTAAATATATTGATATCATATTATTTGTGTGCATAGAATATATGATAAATTGCCAGTAATAGCAAAGTTATCTTGTCAGACTCTTCGACTTGAACGAGAATATCATAGTATAATGCAATTTTATAACCTTCCAGAAGCCAGGACTATGCTTTGTGAGCCACTAGAAAAGATTGTACTGCCAAACGGCTGGGTAGCTGTAATCTTTGTGCGGTATGGTAAGCTAAAATTTGTCATATTTTTTTATATAACCAACTTAAACTCATTTATTCTATATCACTTTCTGTTTCTTTGTATTTACAGGGAAAAATCGCCTAGAAGCATTACAGCCAATCACTACACAAACGCCTGCCTCAGACAGTATATCCTTTGCTTCTCATCCACCCCTTTCCTTGGATGATTTCTTTGATTTTGCAATTCAGGCTTGTAATTGTCTTGAAATAATACACAAAAACCAAAGTAAGAACAAAATCTGGTTTCAATATCAAGGTCTCATATAATTGTCATTATTTGTTGTTGAATCTGCAAGTCGTGCATGGTGAAATCAAACCGGCTGCATTTATATGGCCTGAAAACGATAGCCTCAAGATCTGGAACTTTGGTTCTGGAGTACGTAGCCTAGAAACAAACTTGACGTCTGAAGGCTGGCGAAAAACTGTCCACCGGACAAGTGCGTCCAATCTTTGGCAAATCCTGATCTACATGTCGCCCGAACAGACCGGTCGCACCACATTTCAACCCGATCACCGCACCGACCTTTACAGCCTCGGCATCACCTTCTTTGTCATATTGACCCAATCCTTACCCTTTGCTTATAATAGTCCCATGGAAATTGTACATAGTGTTCTTAATCGCCAAATTCCAAATGTTCATAGTTTTCGTGAAGATGTACCTCCAATCTGCTCACAAATAATTCAAAAATTAACCCACAAGGTAAGTCGCAATTTGAGAAAACCAAGCGCTTTATTAATTAATGTGATCTAATAAAGTCACCCGATAAACGATACACGAGTGCTCATGGGCTCAGAGAAGATCTCAAAGAATGCCAGAAGCAATTAAAAGCTCACGGGAACCCACAAGTAAGATATCGTGGATTATAAAAAAAAGAAAGAAAGAAAGAAAGAAATAGTCTACAATGTTTTTAAATTATTTCTCGTTAATGAATCGTTCAATTTCTTCACTTCTTTCTTTATCTTATACGTATTTGCTTTAGACAGTTACGCCATTTAGGCTGGGAACTTCAGATATTGCTTGTGTTTTTACACTTCCTGCAGGATGTTTTGGCCGTGAGAACGAAATGGAAATAATTAATGGTATTATTCGTCGTGCAGCATATGTGTGTAATCTTGAACGACGACGACGTCTTCAAGGCTCGACATCATCCCTTCTCGTACCACTTGGAGACTCTATTCACAGTACTAGCAGTAGCAGCTGTAGTAGTATTAGCAGCAGTACACCAACGAATACCACTACCACAATAACGGACTATATTCAACCTCGACCTAGTACATCTGCTCGAACACGAACTACGTTGACGCATTGGAAAAAACCTACGGAAGTCGTGGCTATCTATGGTGTATCGGGGGTTGGTAAATCAACCTTGATTCGCTGTATGCAGGAGACAGCACATGAATACGGCTATGTGGCAGTTGCAAAGTTTGACGTACGCCAACCAACACCTTATGGGTGTCTCCTGCGTTGTATGAACATATTTCTAAGGCATATACTGGCTGAGCCACCTGCCGAAACTGAAGCATTCTCGGAAATGCTAAAACAACATCTTTGGCCCCAGGACAACCAACCCGCAATCTCTTTACCAGATCTTTTACTTGACAATGTACCGGAATTATCTGTAATTTTGGGTGACTACTGTCCTGTCGAGCGTGATAGTGAGGCAGACATTAGTGGAGGCGAAATTAAAGCAAGATTTCATTCAGCCTTTATTGCAATATTCCAAGTAATGGTTAACTTCAAGTTTATTACTCTTGTAAGTCTATTTTTTTTGTTTGTGCCATCTAAACAGACTTTATATTAATGCATTAAAAAAATCTAAATGATCATTATAGTTTCTCGAAGATCTGCATCAAGCTGGTAAAACAAAATATATACATTTCTTTTATTAGAGCTTTCAAAAAAGACTGTTATCTAAAATAATAATAATACAATCTAATTTCTATTCTTTCTGCCTGTAGATGAAGCTTCAATTGAACTACTCGAATCGCTCATAACCGCTCGTCTCAACGTACTTGTTATTGTATCCTACCGCCAGGGCGAATTATCTGAATCCGCACTTCGACTTGTTTGCAACGATGATTCATTGGTGACCAATGTAGAACTAAAAAACCTTGATCAGGATGCACTTATGGAGTATGTTCGTACCGCCATGCATCGTCACAAAGACCTCGATACACAACTATTAGGTCCTCTCGTAGAATTTATTTATAGAAAGACAAATGGAAACCCATTCTATGTTGGCCAATTGCTTGTAGCCCTCGAAAAAAAGGGGCTTTTATATTTCACTTGGGAACAAAGACGATGGGAATACAATCTCGACGGCATCAAAAAAGCTGTTGTTCATGGACCGTCTTTGGAAACCGATAAAGACCATGACATTGATAACGAATTCTTGGTTCAGCGTCTAAACGAACTTCCGCCTGACGGCCGTACTTTTCTCAAATGGGCATCTTTTATTGGAAATAGCTTTTCGTATGAGGCAGTTCACTATTTAATGACAGCTCCAGCAGAAAAAGATAGCCAGAGTTTGCTGATGGTATCTTCGGATGATATCTTGGCCCGCAGGCGACCGTGCGATGCTATTAACGGCCTTCAATCTGCTCTCCAACAGGGGTTTATACAACCATCTTCTAATGACGAGTTTCGCTTTTGCCATGATAGATATTCACAAGCAGCTATGGCCCTTGTTCGTCCAGAGAGGCACGACTGGATGCATCTTCGTATCGCATCTTATTTTATAAACCGCCCGTGTGCCGACGCATTTTGGGTGGCAGATCATATTCAAGCTGCTATTACCTTAATTCAACGATATGACGCTAAACACAAACACCGTGCCGCTCTTACGCGCGCTGGAAACCAAGCATACAAGTCAGGAGCACACAATATTGCTTTCTCTTACTTTGCTTCTGCTAGAGATTTACTGGCTCCTGAACCTTGGGTTGACGGTCCAGACAGTGAATACCAAGAAACATTACACATATATATACGTTTAGCCGAAATTAGCTGGTTTATGGGTTATAGCATGACACTCGATCTTCTCAAGACTATTCTTGCCCATGCAAAAACTGCCACTGACCGTGCAGCAGCATATCGTATTCAGCACCGTTATTCATGGGTCCATGGCGAGCACCAAGGCAAAGCTCTGATATTACTTGAGTGCTTACAAGAGCTAGGTGTTGAGCAAATCAAACTGGATTTATCAGATGAAGCCCTGAAAGAACTATATGACAATACTTGGATGGCCGTAACTACACTTGGTATTGATAAAATATCCGAATTACCGGCTTGTAATAGCCACCTTGTACGTACTCGACTTTCTATTCTCGAAGAATTGTAAGTACTATTATTTTTATTACATAAAAATAAGGAAATAATTACGTAATTAACAAGCTTATTTAATTTTCATTTATTTATCTGGTAAATAATACAGGTGTCTTTGGGCATTTCAACGTAATGAAGTCAAGACAGTTCTGATAGTAGGGTCTCGTCTTATACTCAAGACCATCAGATGTGGAATATCGCCTACAACAGGAGTCGGGTTCGTGTTCTTTGGAATTGCGTCAATGCATCTGTTCAAGGCATACGAGTTTGGACAGCAAATGGGCGAAGTTGGTCTTGGACTTTGTAAAAAATTTGGTGGTAATTCAGAATTGGCAACTGCCAATTACCTTTACGGTACATTTCTAAGCTCATGGAAAAACCACTATCGCGCCGCACTACCTATGTTTCGACAAGCACTAAAACAAAGCCTGTTGAGTGGGGACCGTTTGTATGCGATATTTTCACACATCCAGATTGTGATGGGTATGCTTCTTTCGAGTCATCCTTTAGAGGATACACTGAAAGAAGCTCAACTGTGCGCTGAACAGGCCGCACTTGCACACCGACCAGGGAGCACGCCGCTCTATATTACGACTGTTATTCGGGCAATTCGAGCGTTTCAAGGAAAGACTATGTTGACTGAAGACCGCTTATTTGATGATGATACGTTTAAGGAAGAGGCATTTGTTGCTGAAATGAGTGAATATGGCCATACATCGGGATTGCCAATGTATTGGTATTTTGCAATCAAACTTATTACATTGACTGTTTATGGATTCGACGAAGCTGCAATCAAGATTGGTGATAAATACGCTCAATTATCAGTAATCCAACCATCATTTCGACACACTCATCTCATGCTTTTCTGCCATACGGTATCAATGTTGCGTCTTAAACGCAAAGACAAGAACAGTTCAGACTTTGATGCCTTGATACAAAGAAATCGAGATACTTTGGCCGAATGGGCTCATCAGTCCCCTATTAACCTGGCCATGTTTGTATCTCTCATCGACGCCGAGCTAGCTTCGTTCTCTGACGACCGTAAAACTGCCCAAGATCTCTATGAACTTGCAATCCGACAAGCCAAAGAAGGAGATTGGGGGTCTGAGATCAACATTATGTATGAGCTTGCGGGTGAATACTATATCAGGGCAGGATTGGGGCAAATTGGTATGATGCTAATTGAAAAGGCCGTAGCTGGTTGGCAGTTACGTGGCTGTCATGGAATGTCTCAATATCTTGTAAAACGTCATGGGTTACTAGCCGATTATGATAACATGGTTGCCGCACGAGATGTCGAGGTTCAGACGGAACCTCTACATATGTCTACACCACGACAGTCTTCATTCGATGACCTTAGCTTTGTTGCAACCTGTGCTGAAAAGAGTGTAGACGAGCATGCCACACCAGAAGAAATGCTGATGACATTGGATATGGTAGATCTTGTGTCTATTCTCAAAAGTAGTCAGATTATCTCTAGTGAGATGAACTTTGAACTCTTGATGGAGCAGATGCTTGGTGTAAGTATATTTAAGCTTTTAACAATAACTGCTTAGTGATATTTATATACTTTATTAGATAATTTTGGAGAACTCTGGTGCTGCTTCTGGTGTTATTATCATCAAAGAGAATTCATCATTTTATGTAATGGGATGTGGATCTCAGTCCAAGGGTAACTATTTCAGATACTGTAAGGAGTGGTCTGTAGCAACTACTAATCGGATGCTGTTATCTACTTACAGGCTGCGAGATTTTCAAAACACCACAGCCACTTTCCGAAGATAACGATTCACTGATGACTCGCGTGGCTCATTATGTACTTCATGCACAAGAATCTATGTTAATTTGTGATATCCAGAGAGATCCACATTTCTCCGATTTTGCCACTACACCTGTATCAATAATATGTACACCAATTACACACAAAAGTGCAGTTGTTGGATGCATTTACATTGAAAGCGCAGTAGGATCACTTACTTCGCGACATGAAATTGTAATGAGGCTACTATCCCAACAAATCGGCATCTCAGTCACCAATGCTCTTTTGTTCAAGAGTATTCAAAAGGTTACATATGCCAATGTCAAGATGATCGAAAGTCAAAAGGCTGCACTCGAGGAAGCCCGACAGAGCAAAGAAGCTGCTTTGCGCGCCATGAAACTTAAGGCGGATTTTTTGGCTAATATGTCTCATGAGCTGCGTACTCCATTCTCAGGATTCTATGGTATGATATCGCTTCTTTCTGAAACGTCACTGGATGCCGAACAGACAGATATCGTATATACTGCCAAAGAGAGTTGTGAAATGTTATTGCGTATAATTGGTAAGCTTTTGATTTAATTGTGTATCATGTGTTTTGTATTAATCCTCACTTTTCTTTTTAAAAAAATCATAAAAGATGACCTATTGAACTTCTCTAAACTCGAGGCTGGAAAGGTTGTATTGGATCTTGGACCAATGGTAGTCAAAGAAGTAATTGCAGACACTATCGAGATTCTTAGTTCATTGGCGGCTCGAAAGGGACTCGAATTGGCTTATATTGTTGATGCCGATGTACCAGATACAGTAATTTGTGATTCGTCTCGTTTGCGTCAGATATTGACCAATTTGCTGGGCAATGCGATCAAATTTACACATCAAGGTGGAGTGGTGATCAAGTGCATGATAGATGATGCTGAGTCGCAGGACGATTCAATTCATCTCAAATTTGAAGTTTTGGATACTGGTATTGGAATAAACCCAGAGCAACAGCGCAACCTTTTTGAGCCATTTTCGCAGGTCGATGGCAGCACTACTAGGTACGCATTACTTTAATTTTATGTAATTTACAAAACTATCTCTATCGAAATATTTACATTTTTCTTTTATAGAATGTACGGTGGCACTGGTCTAGGTCTTTCGATTTGTCTGCAATTGGTCCGATTGATGATGGGCACTATATGCGTAGAATCTGAGCCCGGGCAAGGTTCTAATTTTTGGTTTACTGTAAACGTAAGCCAAGCAAGCGAGACTCCCAAAAACTCGAGTGATTGTGCAGCCATGGCTGCACTCTATAGCAAACGTTCCTTGTTATTGGCAACGCACCATGATCCTACTTCTTACATGCTACAATCTTTACTTCCGGAATTTAAAGTCAAGCGTACATCCGATGTCCAACATGCGATTGCCTTGGCTCTCAAAGAACATCACGACATTTTATTGCTCGATGTTCCACCTATTCCAAATAGCTTTATTGCCCACCAACTCCAGAGCATAGATGACGATCCAGAGTGCGATCTTCATATTATTGTACTCTACACACCTGCTACAGAAGGACACAAGGTTGCTGCAGAAGCAACCAACTCAGCATCTGAACGACGTGGACGAATTGTTAAAATGGCTAAACCCGCAAGACGATCTAAGCTTCTCAAGTTAATTGAACAGGTTATCGACCATCCACGGCAGAGTCCACAGCCCACTAGAAAATCTCCTTTGAGCGGATACAAAATGTCAGACTACTTCCAATCAAACGAACTTGCATATTTCTTGCAAAGACCAGTTCTTATCGCTGAAGACAATATGGTTGCTCAAAAATTATTAAGAAAACAGCTCGAAAAAATGGGATTCAAAGTAGAAAGCGCAAATAATGGCGAAGAGGCGGTTCAATTATGGGAGCAAAGGCCACCAAATTATTTCTGTATTGGGTTCTTTGATCATCACATGCCAAAGGTAAGCTATCTTAACATATTCTGGTATTGTAACCAGTTGATCATAAAGCTGAATATTTTTCTGTATTATAAAGTGTGATGGCGTTGAAGCAACAAAAAGAATTCGCCACAGTGAGACGATGGCCGAAGCAGAAGGCACAACGCGAGGGAGATTATCAATTATTGCTTTGACAGCAGATGTTCAGACCTCAGCGCGTGATGTATGCTTTGGTGCGGGTATGGACGGCTATCTCACAAAACCTTTGATCCCAAAAGAGCTTTCAATTATCTTACAACAACTTTACCCACGATCAGAACTAGAGTCTGAAGTAAAGGAGCTATCATAATGCCGCAAAGAAATGGCTATCAATTAACCTTTTGTACAGATCTCGATACACATTTATTAATAGCATATAAATCTCTCTCTCTCTCTATATACTATATGCACATGTATGTATGATTCTCTATACTATATCATATATTTCTTTTTTATCTCATCACCATACATTTCTTTCATGGATTTGTTTCTTTTTCCGCGTTCTCCAAAGTCTCTAATAAACATTTATCAAGAATCTCTAGTGTTTTCATACGCTTATTTAATATCAGAAGCGAGTCTGGAGGGTTCTGTTTCAGATGACTCATTGTGGTTGGGTGTGCTGGTAAAGTAATGTTGGTGTTGAAATTTAAGACATTCATTCCCCCAACTAGTCCATCCGGGTGTTAGGCATCTTGCAAACAGCTCGAGACATTTAGGTTTATTGGGCAAGTACGGTGCCAGAATACCTACCATTAACTTATAAATATCGCTCTTTTTCTTTTTTTTTCCGTTTAAAAACAAAAACCTACTATCAAGAGGCGGTTTTCTTGAATGTCGATTAGAGGGTACGCTGGCAAGAATACGCGGAGGTATGTTTATATTACTCGGTATTTCTCCTGTGCTCTCTGGTATCCTCCGACCGATGATTAACTGCTCGTATGGTTTGCGATGTGGAGAGTCAAGTGGCATAACTGGTTCGCCTTTGGTAGTAAGTTTAAGCCAGTACCAGTCAGTGACCCAAGTGACACCCCAGGCCTTAAAAAGCTTGTCTATCACAAAACGTCTGTATTTTGGCCTGTTGGTTACCCAAACAGCTACAAGCGAAGGGTGCTCTTCGCTGAGAAGAGAGGGTAAAGGAATCTTGAAGAAATCATAAATATCCTGAGTTTCATAATGAGAAGAACGATGGACTTGAATTTACAGTTAGAAGAAGTATTATACATATTTATATATCACTCTTTATACGCATTACCACTCTTATTGGGCCATGGTGGGTCCATTACAATACAATCAAATCCTTCGATGTTTATAGCTGTGATATACTGTACATCAATAAAACTGATAAAAAAAACTCGGTCTGTTTTATATTTACCATGATCTGTTAAGGTATCCATGCTTGTGTCCAGATCACTCATCAAAAAAAAAGATTTTGAAGGAATTAGATAATTATGATCCTTGGATAGAGATAATGTCCGACAATAGTCGGATGGATTGGAGACAACTGTATCAAATACACTAAGAGTATCCATCTCTGTACAGTCTATTGATATTTTTTGAATGAGATGTTAGACTTCAGACATGAAAGAAAGAAAAAATTAACAAACCATCATACCCTCTTCCAAAAATATTGGTTCACGGATCTCTTGAAAAGAAAATCTACGAGTGGCATTGACAAGACTAGCCAGCTGTGTGAAATCAAGTAAATCCTTATCTTCTCTGACTTTTGTTTGAGTCTGGTCATGGTTCTTCCACACCAATTGAACTTCCTCTAGACCTGTCAATAGCAAATCTCTGATCTCGTTATGTCGCTTATCTGTCTCTACTTCAGTCACACTTCTCTCGATCTTTTGACGTTTTTTTGGTTGTCTGTCTTCAGTGGCTTTGTCGGCTATGACAGGCTTGGCTCTAAAATAAGGCTCATGGACCTCAAAGTCGCCGACACACAAAGCCCATGAGGCTTCTTTGCCAATAAGACCCATTGAGAATGCAGCATGACAGTTGATAATGTCGACATGTTCTGTGGTTGCAGCTATACAATTCATACAATGAATTTATATTTGACTATTTTTGTATTTTGTATTTCTTCAAACAGAGAGAATGAAAGAAAAAGAAATTTTCTAATGTCGTTTGCAAGTCCCCTTTCTTTCTTTTTGTCATGGGTTTGTTTTCTTGGTTTGGTGCATCCGCTCCTGATCCCGACTTAATCCCAAAGAAAACAACTTGTTACCACATTGTAAGCTTTGATTTAAATAAAGGTCAATAATAACAACAACAATCATAACAATGTCTTTTAGGAGGGTTTCCTGTCTTGTTCCTACTTCCATGAGGCAACTAATGTGGCTGACAAATTAGCCAATGCTCATCCAAATGTCAAAGTCAATGTTAATGCATTTATACGAGACCAATGGAAAGAACGTTCGAAAGAGCTCCAAAAGACTTTCAATACATCCCATGCAACTTCCCCGTTTATTTATGAAGGCTGTGCCTCAAAAGACGAAACATTTGTGGGGGGTTATACTGATTTTGTGGAAAGAATTAAGAAGACACACCCCAAACATACAATCTAATATATACATTATATATATATATAATTCAATAAAAGCATCCTTTTTCCTTTTCGGCACCTTAGTTGGTGCCTAACTCGTAAAGAGCAAAGGTCCATGAAGGATCCTGTTTGTAGACTGAGCAATCAAGCAAGACAAAGCCCATGTACATGAATGCGCGAAGATCGACTACATAAATAATGCATGCAGTAGTGTGAATCTCAGGTTGAACAGAGGGAAAAATAATCAAATGATGTCTTGTAAAACTTACCTAAACTATCTTGATGATTGTCCAACATGATAATTAGAGAATTACACCCGGGTCGAAGTTCTGCTAAATCTATCAAATAAGCCATACTGTGTTCTTGTATTAGTAAGATGGTTTTTGTACTTTTATAGTAATGAAAGAGACAGAAAGAAAAATAGAGAAACATACCACGCCTGTAGTTCACCCTGTTGCCATCCATCACAATAAGTTATATGATGGGGAAGTGTGACAAACACGGTGTCGTTGACCATAAAGACATAGCACTGGATGAGTCGGGTATTACCCGATAATGTCTTACTGGCAATCACAAGGTGTTCTACGGATGAAGGGCTATCGAGGAAGGGGAACATGAGGAGATCTGAAGGCTCTATTAAAACAGTCAAACGAAGCTGTCCGACTGAAATGAACGGACAACATTTTTACCTTTAGGTGTTATGGACTCTAAGCTCATCATATGTGTTTCAACTATGGATGCTACACTCTCGGTGAGGCCTGGATTTGAAGACTCATTAGTAGGATCAAATGCGTAGCTTGAGCCTAGGGCATAACGTATTGATTTCGATATTTGTTTGAGAGGTATATATTCTTTAGAGTTGGCAAGTAGCATGTCTTGCACAGTAATAAGAGCTGTGTTTTTATAAGACTTTTTGGTTTTGAAAGAAGAGAATTGGATGCGTAAAGGAGAAGGACGATTGTCTTGGCCAGTGCTACGAGCTCTTATGGGCTTCCTTGAGGATTCTGTCTCTTTCTCTACAAGACAACTGAGTTTGTCAGACAATAAGAAGTGCACAGTGATATAAATGTATGGTCCTTACACTTGAAAGAGAAGGAATCGAACGAGAAAATAAGTGAAAAAAGGGGGATAAAGTGCAAGTAAAAAGAAGAATGAAAAGAAAAGAAAATCAAGAGAATAAGAATGAAAACTTGAAATGAAGCTTGCCACGTTCCGAAAACACGTTTTATAGCCCTTTGAAATTCCGAGAAATACAAGTGTTCCGGCCCTTCCTTTTGTTCATTGCATCCCATCTCACATCTTGATGCCTTGTGAATGTAGAAAAAAAATGAAAGTTGATCTTTTATATTAAAGAGAAACTTTCTAATGGGCCTGTACATAAAACTCCTGGAATATCTTTCAAGTTATAATAGACAATTATTGAGAAATATACTTGAAATATTCAAACAAACGATTAGCCTGTTTGAGGCGTTATTTTACAGCATAACGAAAATGATATAAAAGAAAGGCCGCACTCCATATATGTATAGAAGCTGTAATTGATTTTCTTGATATGAGTCAATAAAAAATAAAGAGGCATTGTTCAAATACTAAAGGACTTTTGTATATTCATATTTTGAATCGTTATTTTCGGAATGAACCATGTTATACAATCTACATATCTATTTAAGTATAATAAAAACATTCAAATCAAAGAGTACTTAACAATAACCTAGTTACTTTTTCTTTACTTGTCCTAAATTTTTATTGCTATAAGAACTAATTTAATTTACAAGATACACCAATTAATCAAGTTTGAATTTTGAATGGTGTTTAAGTGATGAAAATTGTGTTTAGGTAAACACGTTTGCTTTACTTCTCGACTGCAATCTTAAAATATTCACTACCTGCCTTTTTCTTTCGTGTATTAAATTTGTTGCGAATCATCAAAAGGCTCGCTTTAATTAAAAAAATATATCTCGAGCATCATCATAAAACATCAAGGATAAATAAAAATAATTGTCCCTAGGGACCTGGATTTTTCTTTCTAATAAAATTTTAGCTAGTTAATTTGACTCTAGTGTCTTTTGTTCCGGACCTTATTTATATGTTTACTTACAAACAGAATCAGGTATTTTCTTTTGACAGAATTATCCAAGGACAGCATGGGGCTAAAAAAAATAAAGTATTGTTCGGCCAATATTAATTCCAATAGCATCTTGTAGCTTACACATCAGCTTTAAGTATACGCACAAAGCTTGTAATTTATAAATGTCAAGAACAAAATTATAAAACACCCGTTGGGAATTATACAGTTGGTGTTGTGGGAGACTATGACAAGTCTCGGTACTCCCAATACTTTAACTTTTGTACAAAACTGAGAAGATAAATGAAGATTAATATCAAGTTGCATTAACTTGTCCCATTTTATTCTTTCTTTTCCTTTTCCTTTTACCTTATAGATCTTGTTGTTGGCATAAAAATATACAAATAAATAAATATATTACTAGCTATAATATTCTCACAATATTATATTTTTATTATTTAAAAATACCTTTTAAAAAGTAATAATAATAATATTTTATAATTATCCATATACACTTTTTTCTTCTTCAGAATGGGCTATTACTCATATTTCTGGAACAAACTTTATTTTGTTTCCATGACAACTTAATTTTTTTATCATTATTTTTAACCAATCAGTCTCATTCAATTCCTGCAAATAGAAAAATTGACTTTTGGCATTAATGTTTTCGGAAACTCTATGGTACCGAAATACCATTCAATTCCTTGGAATCTGGCAGGATCCTTGTTTTGGGAATTTTACTCTTAAATATAACAGCTTCAGTACAAACTTCTCTATATTCATGACGTCCTTGATCTATGACGCAGAAAATAGATCGTTGGACAAAGCCTGTGTGTCTGTTACCCCTGGCCCTATAAACCCCATGATCGTGGGAGACTTACTTTTAAAGACCTTTCTCTGTTCATCCCTCTAATTAACAAATTCATTCCTCTTGTTTTTTTTACTGTTACTGATCTTATCTTCATCCAATATCTTAAACTCCTTGTATTGAAACCATGGTATCTCGGATGGCATCTGTAGCCTATCGTGGCATGTTGTTAAACACTAGCAGAGGATTAAAATCCAATGCCTCCCAGACTGGCCCTCGGTCTGTTGGATTGCGAAGAGAAGACAAGAGTAGATGGGAGAGAAGAGCTGCCTTAACACCAGCTACAGTCGAGCAATTGATTTGCGATACTGGCAGTCGTATTTATGTCCAACCGAGCACTAAGCGCATCTTTTCAGATGAAGCATACAGAAAAGTAATATGAAATGCTAAAAACAACAGTTTATGTTATTTATTATTATTACTATAACTATTTTTCTATTCTTGCTCTTGTTGACAGGCAGGCGCTACAATCACGGAGGATATTTCTGAGGCAGATATTATTCTCGGAATAAAAGAGGTTCCTGAAGAAGCTCTGATTGCAAACAAGACCTACCTATTCTTTTCTCATTCACATAAGGGAAATCAAAAAAATATGTCAATGTTGAAGAACATCCTCGAAAAGGTAATATAGCTCATATACACCGTGGGAAGTTTTTATGTATTTCGGGAAAGTTGGCTGATTGGCATCGTTCCACAATTAAACTCTATAGGACATTCGATTGATTGACTATGAACTCATGAAAGATTCGTCTGGTAAAAGATTAGTAGCCTTTGGACAGTTTGCCGGAAATGCTGGTATGGTTGACAGCCTACACGGTATGGGCCACAGATTTTTAGGAATGGGCTATAGTACACCTTTTATGGTATGTTTTATATATAAGCGTGCTATGGCTGATCAGAACTGACCAAGTACGCATCTCCAGTATCTGGCAATGGCACACGGATATAAGTCTCTTCAAGATGCTAGACAGGCTGTTGGAGCAATGGGAGCAATGATTGAAGAGCAAGGAACACCCAAAGACTTTGGGCCTCTTGTTTTTGGATTTACAGGGGCAGGAAATGTAGCGCATGGCGCATTGGATGTTTTCAGGGAGCTTCCGCACGAGTTTGTTGCAGCTGAAGATCTTCCGCTACTAGTTAAAGATAAAAGTAGGCAGCGTATAAATATGTTAATGTTAATGTAAATATATACTAATTTTAACATATGTACTTTAATAAATAGATCCAAATTTAAACAAGCTTTATGCGACCCATTTAGCTATACCAGACTACATCCAACACAGAGACGGAAGCCCCTGTACAGATCCCAATGACTATCTTTCCAATCCTAGTGGCTATCAGTCAGTTTTTCATCAGAAAGTAAAGTATCAAAAATAAAAATAAAATTCCACGGGCTAAATTGTACTACTAAAATCTTAGGTTGCCCCATTTGTTAACACGGTTGTTACGGGTGGCTATTGGGATGACCGCTATCCGCGACTGTTGACCAACTCACAACTCAAAGAATTACAAATTCAGCAACAATTGGGACATATTCCAAGAGGTAAGATGATGACACTAGCTGACATTGTATGCGACGTAAAGGTAAATATATATACATACAATAAAGTATATGCTTCAAGTGCAAGCCGAGTAGTGACAAGCAATTGTTTTTCATCAGGGAGCGTTTGAGTCATTGTCTCATAGTACAAACATCGACAATGGGTTCTTCTATTATGATGCTATCAACAATATCGAACATGAAAAGTAAGATAAAAGCTGTACATATTAAGCAACTGTTGCACAAACACTAATCTTTTACTACAGTGCCGAGGAAGCGGGTATGCAAATAATGGGAGTCGATATCCTTCCGGCAGAGTTGCCTATCGAAAGTAGCCAGCATTTCAGTAACGTCCTGTATCCTCATTTGAAAGAGCTCGTAAGTGATAGTGTGGATAGTATATTATGTATTCTTATCTGCTACCTGTAATAAATAAATTAAATAAAAAAACACATAGGTAACTTCAAATGCGATAAAACTTTCCGAACTTTCAGCTACTTTGGCTAATGCAACTATTGCTGACAAAGGAAAGCTCACTAAGGAATACAAAGGGCTCGAGGGCAAATTGCCTTTACAAAGCAAGAGCTTCCAAGCATCATCAGCTAATAATTCTGGACCTGCTCAACTCAAGACAGTACTACTGTTGGGTTCCGGTATGGTAGCAGGGCCACTTGTGGAGCATTTATTGAAACGCCCAGATGTTCGTGTTGTGGTCGGTAAGTAAATATTCATCTAAGTATTGATTCGAAAGTCGATGATAGCAAGATATCATAGAGCGTTTTTTTTTCTCAGGCTGATGTATTCTATAAACAATATCAATAACAAATTATCTTTAGCCAGTAACATGGCAAATGAGGCCAAAGCCTTGGTAGCAAATCACGATCGAGCTGAGTCTGTTGGCTTGGATATTTCCAATGGCTCTCAGCTTTCAGGCTTGGTTTCAAAGGCTGATGTGGTGGTCAGGTAATGTGCTGATTGTAAAATACGGACGATCGTTAATAGAGGTTAACTGGATATTCTTAGCTTTGTTCCTGCTTTCCTACACCCAAAAGTAGCCAAGGTATGCATTCAAGAGAGAAAACATATGGTGACTGCCAGCTATGTATCTGAAGAAATGCAAGAACTCGATGATTTGTAAGTAAAATACACTAGCTATAGAAACGTATTGATGTTTTCGCTTTATGCAGAGCAAAAAAAGCCGGGGTATTGATTATGAATGAAGTCGGGCTGGATCCTGGAATTGATCATATGTCAGCTATGAAGATTATTGATGAATCCAAGAGACGTGGCTCCAAGGTAAAAATTCACGTTCCTGATATTGTTTATAGATAACTAAATAACAATGACTGTGTGTATTTATCAGATACGGTCTTTTATCTCTTGGTGTGGAGGACTACCCGCTCCAGAGGCTTCGAATGTGCCACTAGGATACAAGTTCAGTTGGTCACCAAGAGGTGTATTGACTGCTAGTGGAAACACAGCCACCTATTGGACAGGCGGAAAGGTATGACCGATATGCACCCACACACAAATATTAGTATGCTTACATCACATAATAGAGATTTACTATCCCTGGTGAATCGTTGCTAAGACAGCATTTCCCTGCTGTTCGCACATCATACAAAGGATTTGTTTTCGAGGGCCTAGCCAACCGTGACTCCTTGAGTTATGTAGATACTTATGGTTTGGGTGATCTATCAGATATGGATACTATGTTCCGAGGAACACTTCGTTACCAAGTATGACAGCTTGAGATCCAAAAAAAAGGGTGACAAAGGTTATCTAATTAATCGTGTATAATATGTAGGGATATTCTGATGTTCTTTATGGATTCAAGAAACTCGGATTTTTGGACCAAACAAGCCAGTTGTCTAAATGCACTAGCTGGGTATATATATTAAAGAAGGGGGAGAATGTGTAAAGATAGTTAGTCGGTTATCTTACTTTTATATATGTATTTCTTATAGGATGGCTATTTTAATCAAATTCTTAATGCTGGACAGACTCAAGATAGAACGGATGCCATGGTTTTAAAGCTTGGTCTTCCCAAAGATCATCCTATGGTAGAAAAGGTTTTGGATGCCATGCAGGCTCTCTCCTCGCCTCAAATGAACCAAGTCCAGTTCCCTCAGAATGTGAGTCCACTGGATGCCTTTTCTGTTCTTTTGGCCCACCAGTTACAGTATCTTCCCGGAGAACGCGACATGGTTGCGATGCATCATGAATTTGGAATAGAACACTCATCAGGAAAAAAGGTACGTATTTATGCATTTATGTATGTGTGTATTTATGCATGTGTGCATGCATATATGTATATGCATAGATATAAATATATATATTTATAGATTATTTTACTTAAAGCACATTTAATATAGGAAACTGTGACGTCCACGCTGATTCATTATGGTAATGATCATCATACTGCTATGGCAAAAACAGTTGGACTGCCTGCTGCGATGACCACTGAGCTTGTTCTGGATAATAAGATTCCCGAACGCGGTATCCTGCGTCCTACATCTTCACATGTGTATCTTCCAGTCCTAGATCAATTGGAACATGTAGGAGTGCAGTTTGTTGAAAGCGTTCAGGCGTCACATCCTATTCGTCTTGATGGAACTGGAAGCGGTGCATGGGATTAAATATTTGGCTAAGCACTACACATTAATATCCAATAGTAAAGAATAATTATAGTTAAAATTATGCCGCTGATTGATGATTGATGGTGGCGTGATAAATGAATTTTACTAGTTCAAATAGTTTATTAGTCACGGACACTTATACAAGATATTCGTTGTTTGATAGGTAGCAATTTAAATATATAGTATTTGAAAGAGGTGTAGATAATCAGTTGTGTATATTAAAAAAGGGGTGGATAAAGGGGGGGCAAAAGGGGGTAATATTTGTCAAAGTATCGTGGAATAGAGGCGATACAACGCGGTGGGACAATTTAATAAACATCTGCAGGGAAATAACAGACTCTAACAAGCATTTGAAGAATAAAATCCTTTAGTTAAAAGGCGGGCTAACTATAGAATTCATAGTGCTATATATCTATTGCTCTAGTATTAAAGTAGCTGAACAAGTCGTCTCCTTTTCTAATATACAGGAGATCAGCTACATTTAACACTCTACTTGTTTTCTTTATTTTGCTTCCTCTTTCTTTCTGTATTCATGTTCTTTCATCTAATTTTATGTTGATTATATGGTTATCTAATATACTTGTACGATAATGGCAATAAGACTAAAGAGATATTCCTTGTGCTCCCAATCTGTAGTCTACCAGTGATACCTTGGTTAAAGAGAATGCTGAATTGATATGTTCAATCAATTCATTTGCTTCAATAGGATTTCTAGATCTGATCGACCAGTGTCACCAAGCAAAAGGTTTATGCTAGACTAAGTCTGAACATGGAGTGAAGAAGGAGAAATGGGGTGGCAGTAATCCTGATTTTGTCTTGAACTGCAAACCTTTTTTCTTGTTTCAGAATTCAATTCAGATATATACATTTGTCTTATTCTTGTGGTTTGATTCTCCTCGACACATCAAGAACAAGGAGAGGCAGGATTTTGAATATTTTACGATGCTATTTGTAAATAGGTGCAAATTAAAAGAGAAAGAAAGAAAATATTAATAGACAGTAGTAACATCAAAGAAGTCATTATTTATATTATACTATATTGTAAATTAAATGAATATGTTAATATTAACGGCCAAGTCAAGCAAGAAAAAAGAACGGTTGATTTCGTGTTTTAAGTTTGTCAGAATGAAGCCTTGGCATTGAGTTGAGTTGAGTTAAATAGGGCTCTCCTTCTTTTAGCTGAAGAGATATATAGAACAGGTATAAGGGGCTGCTTATTGATTTCCCTACTGAGGTCTTTGTGCCGCCTTTTCTAATTTATTTATTTCTCACTAGCATTGTTCTTTTACAATCAAAAAGAAGGGTAGTGAACACGACACAAGAAGCATTCAAACAAAAATATTAAAGGTGCATCAAAGCGCCATCAAGTCTAATTTTATCTACCTAGATGAGAATGAGTGAAAAGAGATATAGAGACCAGTGAGCTTGCGTGCGTACGTGCGTGTGTACGTGTACGTGTGTGTGTGCGTGCGTGAGTGTATGTGATATTAGATTGTCACTTATATCCCTAACCCTCCTTTTCTCTCTTTCTCTTTCTTGCCTTCCCATACCTGGTTCCATGTCTCTTGTATTGCTTCTCTTTTGCTTGTATCTGAGATGTTATAGCGTCCTTGCTATGGCCAATGGTGTCTCTGTTCTTAATGCAGCCGACTATCCGTTTTCTGTAATGATCACTAAACCAGTGATGTGTGGAGGTGCTTTGATCTCACTTGATCCTCCTTGGATACTGACGGCTGCCCATTGTATCAGCAACTTTACGAGTGGACTTCCTGACCGAACTGTCAATGCCGTAGGTTATGGTAGTACAAATATCAGCCATCTCAAGTATGCTTCAATCTTAAAAGCAGTTCCACATCCTCGCTACAACACTCAGCTTGACCCCAATACGCTACCCTCTCAAGATGACCGCGACTCTCACACAATGCATTATGATATCGGACTCGTTCAGCTAACCAAGCCCATCTTGGCTGGCCCTGGCGTGGATCGGATTGCACTTTGGGGTTCGACAGAACCAGACCCAGACTGGGAATCATCACTCCTGACAATTGGCATGGGCTATATTGGACTGGACAAGATCCAGGCCAAGACTCTTCAAAAGGCCAGCTGCGATATCGTTGCGAGTTCTATTTCTAAGACATACTCTCCTTCTATACAAGAAAACGTTTATTTGACTACAAGCCCGGCTAGCTTATGTCACGGTGATTCTGGTAAGATTTTTGTTTTGTTTGAACAACAACAAAAAAAAAACAAAAGAGGGGGGAAGATATTTTATAATCAAAAGACCTAAACCCTTTCTTCATTATAGGAAGTCCATTGATAGGGACCAATGAAAAGGATCCTGGTCGATTTTTTCTTGTCGGTATCCTCAATCGAATCCTGAATGCTCATGATCCCAATCCAAGTAAAGCCACCTGCCCTGTGCCAAACGGTGACCCTGCAGTTGTCTACAATGCCTTTGCCAAGGGAGTTGTGCACCTCGAATGGATCATGAATGTAACCCAACTCTCGGTCGCCGATTTGACTCAGCACAAGCCGGTTGGAAGCTACAGCCTCACACTCTCATCTGGCTCTCACCACCTACTTTTTTCACCGGTCTTCAGTATCATCATTGTTTCTCTCTTACTCTGGGTTTTATAAGCAAAGATCAATCTTGTAGTATATACATATACATATATATATATACATATACATATATACATACATACACTTATATATATCTTCCTCCTATTTGTGTTTTATTGCTTTTTGTGTGTGTACTTCTTCTTCTTCTACTTCTTCTACTTCTTCGTTAATTTTACTGTTCTGTTCTTTATTGGTGTGTAAGTTTGACCTTTTTTTTATTTTACCTTCTTTTATTTGTGATTTCCACCCTATAGAATTTCCCTTTTTTCTTCTTCTTTTAACAAAAAAAAAGAAAAGTGAAAAGACAAATATTATTAAGCGTAACTATCATTTTATATACATATACATATATTCAATTTCAAATTATATTTCAAAAAATGTCCTTTTTATTGTCCTTGTTTTTGTTACTGTAAATTACATTGAATGAAATTAATGCTTTATTTCGCAAGTCTATTGGCCAATTTTAAAATCACTGCCTAGCCCACAGACCATCAGACTGTTGACGGTAATAATATTAATAGAATAATAGTAGAAAATAATGACAAGGTCTAATGGCAATAGAATCTAATTTTAGTATTACGATAATATATTTACTCTAATGTGTGTTAATGCGTATTTAAGCAATCACTTGTCAAAAGATTTACAGATATAGATTCCTAAATATAGATCAATAGATTTCATACAAGCATAAAATATAGATATTGGAACAAGTGAATTAGCCTATTATAGACCATTCCTAGTAGACATTGCTAAATACGTATTATTCACCAACCAACCATGTGTTTGTGTGTGTGTGTATACCATGTGGGACGCTTTGTCCTTATTAGAGTTTATGGTAGCTAGCACAAGAATTAAAAGAAAAATGGCCTATAAAGGACAATAGATAAGCCAAAATAATCAAAAAGCACAGACAAGATGAGTGGTTATTCGTCATCGCTCCCAGTCTATTTATACAAAATCACCAAAGAAAGACATTTGAGCGAGTGAGTCAGGATGACTATAGGTATTCCGCTCTTTGACTTGAGAGCATTTCGCCTTTATCGAATCCCAAAAAGAAAAAGGTTACAAGGGGGATAAAAGGAGGTTTCAGGACTTTATGATTTTATTTGATAGAATTGAGGTTTTATTTTTTTTCGCTTAAAAAAAAAGAAAGCAAATTCCTAAAATTGATATTGATCAATATATTTTGTAATTAAATTATCATTTGTTGACTCGCAAAATCAAATAGAGAGTAAACTAGACTAAAATGGTATCACTTAAAGGTAAGCTTACAGCTAAAACAACAACAACAACAAAACAGCAGCAGTATCAATAGAAAAATTATAGATACAATCTGCTGATAGACCCCTCCCCCAGGACCTCGCAGATGTGCGGCATGTCATGTACGCAAGCCGGTTATACATAATCAGTCATGGACACCCGACAGCTTGTTTAGGACTTTATTGCTTCCATTTGTTTAGACAGAAAGCTAATCGAGCGGAGGAGATGGCATTGTGCTTGACATGTGAGCTTCAGACTTATCTTGTTTCAATGACTATTTAAGCACAATCAGCACCAATAGATTAGGACCAATTTCTTTTACTCTTTTACTCTTTCCATAATGTTACTCTCAGTCGTCCACATAGACCGTACCTCAGACTCTCTAGTCAGCTCTTCACTTCTTCCAGCTACATCAAAGTCCATAACCGCACCTTACCCATTCTTTTCAAACATCGACTCTCCTTCTCTATTTAACTCAGTACTTAAGCTATTCGGATTCAAAACCACTAATAATTCACCACTGGGGTTTATGCCTCGTCAGATTCCATGCACAACCCTAGTACCAGTTGACGTAGCGTGCTCGCCAAGTATTCCTATCAGCTCTAGTCACTTACATTCACGTCTTGTACAAATCCCTTATTCACCGGATGATCTGGATACCAACACAGACCAAGGCTCAGAACACTGCCAATCATCACTTCGGACCCGGAGCCCAACCGATAGTTTTTACAGCCTTTCAAGTCTAAGTCTATCGGAAATACTCCAACACCACTACCAATCAAATAATTCTACTCCAGACCCGCATTCAGAGCCCATATCTTCTTCACCATCCCTTATACCTTTGGCAGTAGCATCTGGCCAATCTAATATTATCTCTTTAAAAACAACCGTTACGGCCTCGCCAAAATCAAGACAGCAAACTAGAGCCAGCTCAAAACACATACTAGACAATTCTGGAAATAATTCTATACACATACGCGACACTCGAACTAATAGTAGACATCTTTGTACCCTCGTAATTGAGATCAACATGATGAGGGCACAAAAAATCGTGGGTCCATTGCGGCCCAGACATTGCCTTCCAAAGCGCAAAGACACATTTGTAGCAAATCGCCCGAGCCGGTTACGAGAAGAATAAATCACACAAAAGCATATCTAAACGTCCGTCAAATGATTACCGACCATTGGGATGCAGCATTAAACATAATAATTCACACACACACACACATATACACACATATACACACAAACACACCATGCATCTGCTGTTATCCATTTTTCTTTCTTTCTTTTTTCTTTTTGTTCTTGTTGTTGTTGCTGTTGTATATACGGCCGGGCAGGTTCCCAAACATTTTCTTTTCTTTTTTGTTCTCTTCTTTGGTAGCTGTAATTTTGTAATACTCCCAGGATAGGGGCTTTGCTTTTTTTTTACTGAAAAATAAAATAGAAGGAAACAGACTGCATGTACAAGAACCCAGAACAGGAAAAAAATATTCTTCTTCTTCTTCTTTTTTGCTTCCTTTCTTAGAAGCCGGGAGGAGTGAGACCCTTTTGTGACTGTGCTTGGGGCTGGCCAGGTTGGTACATGCCAGAGTTCAACATCTGATCCGGAGTGTGAATGGCCTGAAGACGAGTAATGAACCTATCTTACCTGTTGAGTACCCTGCTGCTGCATGGCCTCCTTTTCGTAGGCTACAAGGGCCTGCTCCTTCTCGATTTCGAGTGCCAATGGCAAGACAAGGAGGAGCATAGAGGTGGTGAGAACCCAGGCACTCTTTCCAACAAAGGTGGCGCCAGTCTTTCCCCATGAGGTAACTGTGGAAACGCTCGAGGACATACGCTGACGGTGCTTGAGGGGAATGATTTCCTTCAAGGCGGCAATGCGATCCAACAAAGATTCATCCTCGTCGACGTCAAAGTCGTCTTCATCGTCAGAGTAATCAGAGTACTGATCGTTGTCACTGAGGGACTCATCGATATGATCGTTTGATACTTCTTCGAGCTTCACCATTGTATGTACAGAACAGGCGTTTTATTAAGAAATAAAATACAAAGAGTGGAGGGGGGGGGGGAGGGAGGACAATAAAAAGTTTCCATTTTTCAAAAACAAAAGAGATGACGTAGAGGCCTGTCACTCCGCTCCACCTCAACTATGGTGGGGGTGGGAGAGAGAGAAAAAAAAAAAGATAGAAAGAGCTCTTCATTGCAAGCTGCGTCTTGTCTTCTTCTTGGCCGGCTCACCTTCGCTTTCGAGGGTCCGGCCGTGATTAGAAAGTCGAGCGAGCGACCGAACTTTGTCGGACGGCAATAGCTGGCCCTGCAAGCCAAGGTTTTCTTGGCCAATCAGAGATTGGTGGACATGCTCAATAGACTTAAAATACTTGACTGTCTATACAATATAGTTAGCAGTGAATGTAATAGTTATATGGGGTGGAATAAAGGCATAATTGGAGAAAAAATTCAAGGTGAATACCTTGACGTGTAGTTCAAGCGTCGCATCTTCATCACAAACTACTAGGCCTTTGGGATGCATTTGAATCGCCGACACGGACCACATATGATTCACACCTTCCTCAATGCATTTAGCCAAGGCAATGCTACAAAGCAAATAAGTAAATAGACAATAGACAGTCAAAATATACCTTTTGTGTGCTCCTGTAATCATTATACAGACTTCACGAGCATCCATAAATGTTCTACAATTTATTCATTAAATTTCATTCATTTATTTATTAAAAAAGAAAAGTGTTAGTATTTATGAAATACGCATAATTATCTTTGTATTCTTACGCTACACCAACCGTCAAGGCTAATTTGGGCACTCGGTCTATATCTCCATCAAAAAATCGCGTATTGGCGATAATTGTTTCATATGCGAGAGTTTTTACACGGGTACGAGAGGTCAGCGACGATCCAGGCTCATTAAATGCAATGTGTCCGTCTGGTCCAATACCGCCCAGAAACAATTCAATTCCGCCGTGAGCTGCCATTGCTGCTTCATAACGATGACACTCAGCATCAAGATCTTCTGCATTTCCGTTCAACATATTGATATTCTCGGGTTTTATATCAATATGCTTAAATAAATGAGTTTGCATAAAAGAATAATAGGACTCTTTATGATTTCTGCTTGATACATATATATATAAATATCTATAAAGTAAGCATCGATTGCTACACAAAAAAAAGAGTAATAAACCCAACAAAAAGCATAAACAACTTGCCTGGGAATTCCAACACATTCATCCATATTAAAAGTAACTACATTGCGAAAACTAAGTTGGCCACTTTTACAAAACTCTGCTAGACGATGGTAACAGCCAATAGGTGATGAGCCTGTCGGAAGACCGAGTACAAAAGGACGTTTTTCTGTAGGCTGAAATTGATTGATGCGTTCCTTGATGTAATGAGCTGAAGATGTAATATTTTTATTTATTTATTTATTTATTTAATTAATTAATTAATTAATAGATATAACTAGTCCATAGGGTGTACTTTATAGATGTTAAGCTTACCTGTCCAGGCAGATACTTCATCATAGTCTTGTCTTATAACGAGTCGCATTTAATACAAATATGTTTATATGCAGAAAATATAGTAGAGCGGTATTAATTTACTCTTCTTTTTAACAAATATATAAAATAAATAAAAAATATAGGTATATAAATGGTATTTCAGGCAACGTCGGGTGCTTTTTTTGTGGGGGAGTACGAGGAAGGGGAGGGGGGGGGGGGACTGGGTCGGATATGTACGCTCAAGCACCCACTCCCACACACTTCTTCCAAGGGCTCACCAGGGGAGCGAGCGGAGACCGAACGCAGGAGCCAAATGAGACTAAGCCACCAAAAAGGCACGGCTCTCGCGTAATGTTTTTTTCTCGTGATTTGAATTCCCTTTCTTTCCTATTATTTTCATACAGACGCCAACAAAACGATGGCCGGCCTCGATTTGAAAAACATTCCCGATCGCGAGGAAGACATTGACTTTTCCGACATTTACGAGAAGCACACCATTAATGTCGACGATGATCTCGATACAATTGTCGTTGTTGATGGCGCCCCTGTTGTTGATGAAGCCAAGGAGGAAAAGTTGATGAGCGTTCTGAAGAAGCTTTTCACCAAGTCCGCTGGTGAAATCAAGGAAAGCGGCATGTGGATGCCCATGTCTCCTAATGACAAAGGCAAGATTGAGAGCAAGGGTTACCTCTTTATCGATTTCGAGACACCTGAGGCTGCCCACGCTGCAGTCAAAAACTTGGACGGCCACAAGATGAGCAAGACCCATCAGCTCTCTGTTAACAAGTTCACCGATGTCGAAAAATACACCAGCATGAATGACACCTTTGTCGAGCCTGAAGCAGAGGAATACATTCCTAAGGAACATATTCGTAGCTGGCTTACTGACGAGCAGGCCCGCGACCAGTTTGTTATGTACCGTGGTGACGATGTGAGCATCTTCTGGAACCAGAAGGCCGACACCCCAGACCATGTCTACACCCGCCAGGTAAATATACATATAATAGATACAATAGATACAAAAAAATGCTTAAAATAGAAAAGGAAAAGGAAAAAGAGGATCAAAATGGAAATAGAGAAAGGGAATATAAATATCAAGTGATGTTATATTCTTTCATTTCTTTTTTCTATCGTTTTCCTGTGGCAACTGCGTGGTTAATATCGCATTTGCTTTGGGTTATATATATATATTTACTGGGTTTTAGTTTTATTGACTAACAGACAAAACAATTGATTCAAATAATTACTTAGAACTGGACTGAGACTTACGTCCAATGGTCTCCTCTCGGTAGCTACCTCTCTACATTCCATCAGATGGGTATTGCCCTCTGGGGTGGTCCTTCATGGAGCAAGATTGTGCGTTTTGTCCACCCAGGTGTTAAGCTCATAGATTTCTCACCTAACGAACGTTACCTCGTCACCTGGTCCAACGATCCTATCAGCCCCTCCAAGATCCCCGAGGGATCCCCCAACCCATTCTCAGAGTACGATGAAGGCAACCAGGTTGTCATCTGGGATGTCAAGACCGGTGCCCTCCTCCGTTCTTTCCCCGTACCTCAGAGTGCAGATGCTCAAAAGACCGTCCGCTGGCCCATGTTCAAGTGGTCTGCCTCCGAAAAGTACTTTGCCCGTATTGTACCCGGTCAGCAGCTCTCTATCTACGAAGCCCCATCCATGGGTCTGGTAGATAAGAAGAGTATCAAGATTGACGGCATTGTTGATTTCGAATGGTCCCCTGCAAAGGCTGACCAGAGTGATTCCAAGATCATCCAGAAAGAAGATGTTCTCGCCTACTGGACACCCGAGATTGGCAACCAGCCCGCACGTGTTACCCTCATGGCTGTTCCTAGCAAGGAGATTATCCGTACAAAGAACTTGTTTAACGTCACTGACTGCAAGCTTCACTGGCAGTCAAAGGGTCACTTCCTTGCCGTCAAGGTTGACCGTCACACCAAAACTAAGAAGTCTACTTTCACCAATATTGAGATTTTCCGTGTGTGCGAAAAGGGTATTCCTGTTGAGACTTTGGAGATTAAGGAACAGGTATTGGCATTCGCCTGGGAGCCCAATGGTGAGCGTTTCGCTGCCATCACTACCTCCGATCCAGCTCCAGGTACTACTGCTGGTCAAGGTGCTGCCCCTGTTACTGCAAAGACCGCCATCACCTTCTATTACCTTGACACCAGCAAGGCCATTGCCGGATTCAAGCCCCTCAAGGTTATTGATAAGAAGACCGCCAACTTCATGTACTGGTCTCCCAAGGGTCGCCACATTGTGTTTGCCACTCTTCGTAGCTCCAGTGTTTTCGATCTTGAGTTCTGGGATCTTGACTTTGAACCCCTCTCCACCGAAGGTGGTAAGAAGGACGATATTGGTGCATCTGTTCAGTTGCTTTCTACCCAGGAACATTATGGCGTGACCGACATCGAATGGGACCCTACTGGTCGCTACGTCGTTACTGGCTCCAGCATGTGGCGCCACACCGCTGACCATGGTTTCTGTCTTTGGGACTTCAAGGGCCAGTTGTTGTTGAAGCAAAACATCGAGAAGTTCAAGCAGCTTCTCTGGCGCCCTCGCCCCAAGAGCCTGTTGTCTGCTGAACAAAAGAAGAAGATCAGAAAGAACCTCAGACAGTACAGCAAGGTGTTTGATGAACAGGATCTTGCAGCAGGTGATGCCAACACAGCTCAGTTTATTGCTGGTCGCAGAAAGGCTATTGAGGAATGGTACGGCTGGAGAAAGCAGTGCGAGAAGAAGTTGGCTGAGGAGCGCAAGGCACTTGGTAAAGAATTACGGTCTGTTGACGACGGCAAGTCTGAAACCATTGAAGAATGGGTTGAAGAGGTCATCGAAGAAACCGAAGAAATCGTATAAAAATTCCACAACGCAGTACATAATAAAGATCCTTTTGCTGTTGCCATATTCAAACAGCAGCAACTACTACTACCACAACAATTTAGAGAGTTAGGAGTGTAAATAGATGCGAAGTTATATACAAGTATAAGTATATATATATATATTTCAAAGATCATTATATGAATTCTTTTGGATCCAATAGATTTCACACACCAAATCCTCTTCTTCAACTTGAATTATCTGGTAATCTCGCTGCTTGAGTTTTTCAAAAAAGACACGCTCGTCTGGATTACGCTCCTTGTAAGCCAGCAAAATCTTGGTTTGTTTCTGTACCAGCCAGTCTAGGGTGTCTAGTAGGACATCGTGTGATCCTTGATTATATAGTACATCTGTCAATAGCACAATATCTACAGGCATCTCTAACCAGGAAGTTTTTTCTGGTATAGGACCCCATTCCAGTGATTTTACAACCATTTCTACATTGTTTTGCGGTGGCATCAAGGCTACATTTTGTTCCATTATTTCTATTGCCTCTGGTAAATCAGTGAGATAGACACAAGAAGGTGTTGAACATTGAGCGGCATATATTCCAACCAAAGCAGTTCCACTGCCTTAAAATGCGAGACATTGTTAACATATTTTAAATACTTTTTAACAATCTATTTTCTTTAAAGAAAAAACTTGCCTAGTTCAATCAGATTCTTGTTATTGAAATCCAGAATACCCTTTTGTGTCTGTTGAAAAATATAACTGCACATACCCAATCCACAATCCCTTTTTTTATATATACATACATACATACATACATACATACAAGTAAGGTTTTCGTTTCTTTATTAAAAGCAAAGTAACAAATGAACTTTGATACCAATATCCACATAATGCAACTTACCATACGTGACGCGCAATACTCTGAAATGCATCTTCACAAATTCTTACAGTACCTCCAGGTACAGTCAGGATACGCTCTGCTTGTTGACTACTGACAGGTTCAGGAAGACTTATTTGTACACGCTGAGATTTCTTAGTAGGGTTCATCAGTTTTATAGGACAAGTCCAAGCTGGTAGTATCCACAAGCAGTCATTATTTTCGAACAAACCACAGTAGGTCCACACTGGGTGGCGTCTAGTTTTTCCACCAAGCTTAAAAACGATCTGGAGTGAAGAGTTGGCAGAGGTTGATTCGATCATCAAACGAGTGCAGACCACACCACCTCGCATAGGATTGTAGTCAAGTTTAATCTCTTTCGTCCATGGCTGAAGTACTTCTTTTTTGGTCTTGGTCTTGTCAGAAAATACACGCAATCGTACAGAAGGATCTTGGCAACTAGCAATGTTGCATGTTACAGGAATCGATTGCCAGTAGCTTTCATCTCCAAGATCGGTTTCTATTGTCCACACTACTGAAAAAGGCTGATTGCATTCCACGACATCAGGCGGTGGCTTGAAGAATCGAATGTAATACAAAGGAATGACCATTAAGAAAAATAAGGGGTTTTAAGATCTATAAATGCACTATGGTGTATTTAGAGATGAATTTTAAACATCTCGGATTTGTTTCAATAATTTATTGGTGTTTTTACCTACAGTAGAATTATATTTAATTAACGACAAATAGAAAAAGAGAAAAAAGAAAAGAAAAAAACACCAGTCGTAGACTTAAAGTCTAGGTCTGTAAATGTCTTCAAATATTTTGGTATCACTGTTTTATATTTGCTGTACTGAGTGCTATGAAGGAAAAACTGGGAAGGTTGTGTGCCTAACTTGTTTACATTCTTACTAGTAAAATCTTGTCAAAATTTGTTAACTAAGTTTTCATAAAAGTCATATTTTCAATAGAAAAAAAAACGACGCCTAAAGATATCGGCAGCAATTTCCAAATTGTAATATATTATACTGTAACTAATAGGTAGAAGTATTGTATACTAATTTGTGTGGCTATGTTGGCGTCTGACGCCTTATGGCATTATAAGGCTACCCGAACGATCTAAAGAATTTTATAATTAATCAAGTAAAAGAGGCATAAAGAAATATACATTAGAAATTGTAAAGTGAGAGTTAGACAAGAGTTTTTCAGAGTGGTAGAAAACTTAAAGATCTTGAAATTTGTTTTGCTGCTATAAGAACAGACTGTTATTTTTTTATATATAACTCAACATCGTCTTTAATAGCCATTAAGGTATTGGTTTAGGCTTTAACATGAGTATGTTGATTAGTATTAGCACTTTGAGTGTTGTTAATAAGTTGGAAAGATTTTTGTGCTGTATAATTCCTTAATTCTTTTCACTTTCATCTTTATCTTCAAAAGATCGAAACCATAGTGTGAATAGCCAATATTTCTTATTTTGGCTTTTCGACCGCAAGACCCAGACTCTATAAAAAATAAATTAGAGTCATCAAATATTCAACTATACTTTAAAAGCTTTCAGAGTTTTACTTTTACTGTTTCCATGCAGTTTATTAATTATTTTACCTATCTTGTTTTCTTTAATTGTTTTGGTATGTAGAAAAAATTCATGGTGTCAACCGTTTCCAAGAAGTATAGGTTCTCTGGCTGTTTTGGAGCAGATAGGTGTAAATCAAGTCTTACTATTTGAACTAGTTAGATTATTTCTGCTGATCTGGGGAATCCATAAAGAAGAAGATCATTCAAACGATGGTTTAAAATTTGGACTTGCTTTAAGTTGTCGTTGTAGAGCTTATTCTATATGTACTGGTTTTGCAAACTAACCGACGCTGATGTCTTTTTTCTTATTAGTCTTCAAGTCATGTAGAGTCCAAATAGCCATTTTTCATGTTTTTTTTGGGGGTGCTTGTGGCCTTGTGGCTCATTACTTATCTTTCTCTTTCTCTCTCTCTCTTCTTGGTCTTTTGTGATCACTCAGGACTTCTTTTTATCTTTTATCTGTTATGTATTCTTTTCTTTTTTAAAAGAATACATGGTCTATATGCTGTCAGAGAAGATCTCTTAATAAAAATAAGATCATTAACCTGGACCTTGCTTGGTGTAGCCAAATAAAAATAATCAAAAAAAGAAGATTTTATAAAGTGATTCTTTCCTTGCTTTAGTATATATGGCGAAAAAGCATAAAAGGTTGACGCAATTCGAGCAAGGGAACACACCGATTGCCATTTTTTCATTAAATCTGGTGTATTGCGCCATAGAACGTATATATTTGAAACCAAAATATTCTTTAGGATTAACTATTTATTCGAGAAATATAAATATACAGACAACCTCAATTCGATTCATTTACCATCATCTTAATACTACTAATAAAAAACAACCTATATACATATAAATATATACATTAATTTAAAACATAATGACAAACGCTACAGTCAAAGAAACTACAGCTATTCTCGACTTGAAGAAGCTGGCTCTTCAGGAAAAGTCTTACTTGTCTTACCCCCCGACTGTTGTACGTTTTCTTCATAATCTAACAATACAATAAAATTAGCAATAAGAAATGATTGTATATATTTATTGATCGTTTGATTTGCATTCAATAGTATTCTGAACTTGAACCCTTTGAGCACAACGATCCTGGCCATCGTGCTGATCCAACCAAGGCATCAATATATAACAATGCTGAAAAGATATTTGATCTTACTCCAAATATTGGTACCGAAATCCATGGATTACAGCTCTCCCAGTTGACAAACCAGCAAAAGGATGACCTTGCTCTTCTTGTTGCAGAACGCGGTGTTGTGTTTTTCAGAGACCAGGATCTCAACTATCAACAAGGAAAAGAGCTTGGAAGATATTATGGTGGGTTTTATAAAAAAAATACTCTTGGTGTTTAATTAATCAAATGTATATATACATCTTTGTTATTGTTATTATAGGTCCTCTGTAAGTAATTTGTTTGAATTGCTATCCATTTTCTTTGTTAATTCATTTGTTTCTTTGTTTTTTCCCTCCAGCCACATTCACTTGACAGAAGGACATGTTCCTAATGAGCCAGAAGTCTTTCCCATTTTCTATGATAAGAGGTAACAGGGTGTTCATAATGAGAAAATATTTGACAATTTATTTTGTCCTTTATTCTAACACACACATATATAATATATTTTTAGTGATGAAGCAAACAAGATCTCATCATACTTCCGTACTGCCTCTGATGGTAATGTGAAAAAAGAATGATTGTATTTATGTATCTTCTCATAGTCACTTATTTCCACATACCAAATAATAAAAAACAATAATTCTAGGCTGGCATAGTGATGTAAGCTATGAGCTCCAGCCTCCTGGATTCACATTTTTGAAGCTCGACACTTTGCCAACTATCGGTGGAGACACTTTATGGTCATCCAGCTATGCTGCCTACGACAGACTGTCTCCTGCTCTGCAAAAATTTCTCGAGGGTCTTGAGGTTGTGCATTCTGCTAAAGATCAAGGATTAGGTGCAAAGGCTCGTGGAATTACTCTACGCAGACAAAATGTGGAGCACACCCATCCACTCATTCGCACCCACCCAGTTACGGGTTGGAAGGGTCTCTTTGTACAGCCCATATTTGTCCACCACATTGTCGGATTGAGCAAGCGTGAGTCTGACACTATCCTCAACTTCTTGTATGAACACATATATGGCGGACATGATTTTCAGGTGCGATTCAAATGGACTGAAGACACAATCGCAGTCTGGGACAACCGAGTTACTACTCACTGCGCAATATTTGACTATTTGAATATCGACAGACGTCATGGCTGGAGAATTACAGCACAGGTAACTTCCTCACATTATATTTTTATTTAGTTAAGATATACTTATACTATTGCTATTGTTATTTAAACGAATCTTGTAGGCCGAAAGACCTTACTATGACCCCAAGAGCAAGTCCAGAAGTGAGGAGCTTAGAAAGAAGCAGAGCTCAGGCCAATAAGTTAATCTTATCTAGATTTAATGGCATTTGTAAAAGTTCAATATATATATATATATATATATATATATACGTGTATAAGTACATATTCCCTATAAAGTTTTGCCCACACGTATACGTATACATATATGGTGCAATTAGCTTTATGGTATCTATGTTTCTGGATTTATTTATCTTTTGACTTTCTTCTGGAAAACATCCATCAGAAATAAAAATGTGCTTGATGTCCAGCAGGCTTTGAAAACGGCAGCGTTAATCATACATATTCTTCTGCAAGTTATGAATATTGGGAGTAAATTGACTTTTTCGTTTTTTAATTATGGTTTTTACTTTACACACCCTTAAGAACTACCTCTTATATAAGGTTACCTAGAGGTAAAGAGTGATTTTCGGATCGATTTACTAGATAGAAAGTGTACGTTTTTAAGCTTGGTTTTCGAAAAATAGCATATTCTATTCTTTATTTTTCTTGAAAGTTGTTCGTTTGATTGGCCGAGTTTATGTAACTTGCAGAAAAGTATTTAAGATTAACGTTTTTTTTTTATAATTTAATTCGTGAACATCGTGTCCTAAAGAGAGGACATAAGAGACATCGGGCCCAAATAATTGCTGGTAGCATTGACTTCAAAGCATATCAATCAAAAACAATATTCCTTCTTGAGGGTTTAATTATATGGTGTTGCAGTGTCAGGATTCAACCTTAATATATTCAAAGAAAGTTTTAATGGAAATCAAGAATTGCGTCATCGGACTTGGTGTGCAGCCTTCATTTCATCTTTTTCTTTATTTCTTTTTTGTTCGAAATTCATTTTTAACTTTCTCCTGCTCTTTAGACCTTTTCTATTTAATAAAAATTATACACCCAGCTATATACATACATACACACACATATATATATACCTATGGCTTATCAAGTATGTATTTATCTGCTTCTCACGTTTTGTCTCTCGGTGTTGTCTCTTATTTATTCAACATGTTTAGTTGTCCCTCTGTACTTAGATAACAGTACTCTATTTCGCAGCAGCACGCGATATAACCCAGCGTCCATCCGAAACACTCACTGTTGACTCAGACTGGACACTAGCTCGATTAACAGAAAAGCTTGTGGATATGTACGGAAGTCCACTGGAAAAGATTCTTGGGACATCAATGTATGCGGTGAACATGGATTACGTAAGCAGCTCGGATGTATCGACAACAAATCTCAAACCGCACGATGAAATCGCTATTATTCCACCTGTAAGCGGTGGATAAAGAAATAAGGCAAAAGGTTTTGATGATGTTACTCATATTTGTATAAAAAAATGAGAATTTACTTATTATTATTATTAAGGAAGAGTTGGATTTGTGTGTTACAAGTGTTGCGTGCATTTAATGTATGAAAGGAATTTGTTTGCGATTTCTCTCTCTCTCTATAGACTTGTGATTTGGAAACTATAATTTTTTGCTTTCTTTCTAAAGACGATCAGGAAGATCAAGAATGTGCCCCATCTTTTTGACCTTTACTGCTAAATATCTATCTAATTCTTTCTTCGGTGAACTTGGGATGGCAGGTGAAGAGGATGGAGTGCGTTGCAACTGATTGAGGGCAGCAACAAGTCGGGGATGGTCTGCCATTTCAGAGTTGTTGGTGTCGATGTTGTTGGATTGTGTATTGTATCCGGGTGTAGAAGACCAGGATTGAGGTACCATACCCCGACGTTCTACAACATTCACTGATCCAAATGATTCCAATTGTTGGATCTTATCCGGATTATTCGTCAAAAGCCGGACTTTTTTGAGTTGGAGGTCTTCTAGGATTGCATTTGCAATACCGTATGTGCGTCCATCTGCAGGATGATTCAAAAGAACATTCGCAGCTACAGTATCGTGACCCAGATCTTGCAAGTTATAAGCTCTAAAAATTCAAAAGCTCAGGTTAAATATATGCTATTATATGGATATGTACACATACACACAGACACAATTCAAATAGATATATATATAAAAGCATAAAATACTCACTTTAACTTTTCCAATAAACCAATACCACGACCTTCCTGTCTCAAATACACGATTACTCCACGTCCTGCAACCTGCATCAGTCGCATAGCCTCATCCAATTGTTCTCCACAATCACACCTAGCAGAATGAACAGTCTCGCCTGTAAAACACTCTGAATGAATTCGAACAAGGGGGGGTTCTGTCGATGCTGACCAGATTTTCTTGGCTTCTGCTTGCTGTTTTTCCAAGTATGCAACTTGCTGCTCAGTCAGATTGATATTGCGACACTCGTCTGTAACGACTTCCTCAAGGCGCCCATAGAATGCACCGCGTACGATTCGGTTCATTATTGTTTCGTTCTCCCACGCCTGGTCTAAGGATTTCGAGCGAATGTCATCACCGTACACAATAGCCAGATGTTCCTTAGTATCGAGATTATTTTTGTAAAGGTACAAGAACATCTCCCCGCCTTCATTTGTTGGGATTCTGGCTCGAACCTGGCACTGAATCCGAACTTTTGCTTGGGTTGAAGGAAGTGATGGTGTAATTGCACTCGGAGAATGTACTTGGTTTTTGAGGAATTTAACATAGTCGCTAAAGGTATTAGGATGTTCAGAGGTCTTTGGAACATTTGCACCATCGTGCACTACGTTCATGCCAAAAAGAGTAAATACAGTGGCCATTGTTATGAAGAAGATGGATAGATGTATACGTTTAAATGTATACGTATATATGTATGTATATGTATGTGCGTATAGCTGAAATATAAAGGTTTCCAAAACCGTCTTTTTTTTCTTCATCTTCATCTTGAAGGGTATGTTCGAGTGTGACTGCATAAAATATGCCATTAAACAATGAAACACATTTGTAAAACGCATAATTCGAAAATGTAAAGGCGCATTTTTTTTTTGATAAAAAGGTGTTCAAGAGTATTTTATACATAGGCAGTAAGTATAGTAAACATTATAGAGAGAGAGCATCGAATTATGTTAAATTTAGCAAATATGGTACCGGATACTTCCTTATATATATAATAATGACAAAATATTTAATACGTTACTTAATAACTTAGGCATACTTTTCTGTACTGTTTATTGCTTTATAAACCGCAAATTTATGTATATATGTATATTTTAATTAGCAAAAGTAAATTGTATTGTACTTTCTTCAATTTAATATGTATTCTATAAACTATCGAGAAATAATATTCTGGCAGGAAAACATATGAAGAGGAGTAAGAGGAGGGGGAGAATTGAAAGCAAGTTCTTTCTGATTTGGCTCACCCAGATACTCGGGAACTTGCATTGGTTTCCGCAATTAAAGGATACTTCTTTACTTCTTCCTTGTTATTTTGGATTTTTTTTTAAAAAAAATGTACAAAACCATTAAATTCAAATGGGAAAATTTCTTTGAACTTTTAAGCATATTTTAAAATTCAATGAATTTAAATACTTCTTTTACCTTTATGCTTAAAAGCATTTTTTTTCTAAAAATAATAACAATAATGTAGAGAAATAGATTATTATAAGATCATTTTTTATATCAAAGTAGTAAGAGGTCTTTGAATTAAAAATAATGCACATATAAATGTCGAATTGAACATTTTACATTGTTATATTGGTTATCCGTTAAAATTACCTGCCTTCTATACATACGAACTGAAAATCTGTAGAATCACCTTTAATACCAAGACACAGATACGCCTTTCTTTTTTCTTTATCTATATTTTGTTTCTTTTTCTTTTGGCAGACAAGAGACTATTTAAATAAAAAGGAGCGACTTGACAGTAACATAGCAACACGCACACATTTATCACATGGCCCAATTTAAATTAGGAGGAGTAAGACAAGGAACGATTTTTCTTTAATGTCCTAATCTAAGAAAACAAACCCCTTTACCGAAGATGCTAGCTTCTGTATTTAAAGTGTATTTGGGAAAAAATCACAAAGAGTTTCTTAAAGTAATGGTAAGCTCACCCTTTCCATTTCCCAAAAGCCAAATCTTTTAATGTTATCTGAGAGCCTTTACAAAGAGACCCTTATTAGACATTAACAAAGTTCCTACGATCACTAGATCAATTAACGAGCATTAATGATGAGATGCAAGCTAAAATACAGTCATATAGTGTATCACTATTGTCTGAACGCGCGGACATAGACAGTGATACACAGACATCGCATTTGAACTCGATTAAGTAAATTGTACTACTCTCATCTCAAAATAATTATTAATTTCCCGCAAGACTTTCTTTTACTGTTTCTAATTTCAGAGATTGTCCGAAGACTAAGTAGCTTAAACAAAAGGGAGCAAATATATTTATATATAGCTTTACTTTAGATAGTTAATATAATATAAAGTTTATCTGCTTATCCAGGTATCGGAATAAGCGCCTGAACTTACTGCCTTGAGAAAAAAAGCTATAAATTTACATCATTCTAGATGATCAAGATCTTTGTTGTTCTTTACATTGGTTTCTTTCTTTTACATACACATACAAGTATACATCATGACAAATTCCGTCTCTAAATCGCAAACAAGATCCTGCTACTTTGGGTCCAGACTCACCCTTACACGTGAAAAGACTCTTATCGCAATCCTCAGTACAATCCTGGCTCCACTCACGCCCGAAGAGAAAGACGCTTTGAAAAAAGACATTGAAAAGATTCCAAGCTCTACCTGCACTCCAGATGACATTGAAATAATTTCGAATCTGAGTGTCCACACACCCGGAGTGTACGAAGCCTTTCTTGAATTCATGTCAGTAAAAATCCTGCCCGAAGATCTGGATGGCATCCTTGGACTTCTTGACACTCTATCTACTCCAGCTGGGATGCAACAGCTTACTAAAATCTCTACACCGTTTGAAGATCTTTGCAAGGAAAAACAAACAGAAATTTTTCTTTCATGGAAGTTCTCAAATGATCCTCAGCTTGTCGCCATCTACAAGACATTCTCTACAGCCATTTTGAGCGCTGCATACAATATGTCCAACAGTCCACACCAAGCCGCAATCGGCTACCCTGGAACGGACCCTGTCAGAAGTGCGCCTGATTATATACCATGTATTGTTCGTGAAAGATACAGTATTATGAATGAGAAGGAACTACTTGATCCTACTTTAAAATTCGACGTTATTATTGTTGGAAGTGGTGCCGGAGGAGGTTAGTCCAAACACCACGAGCTTTTGATTAAATAGACACACTTTTATCTATCTATTTTTTAATTTACTTATTTACTTGTACTCGCATATACGTATATGTGTATATATATCCAATATGAAATTAGGCGTATGTGCTGCCGAGCTCTCACAGGCTGGGCTGTCTGTGCTTGTGATTGAAAAAGGAAAATACTATCATGAAAGTGAATTCACCTCAGATGTACCGGTTGCGTACAAGAATATGTATCTACAAGGAGGAAGCTTTGCTGCTCGTAAAGGAGAGATCAGTGTCTTGGCGGGAAGCACTTTTGGTGGTGCAACAACTGTAAACTTTCTAGCCAGCTTAAAAGTAAATAATATTAGTCAAGCTAGCTGAGGCTATGTGTAATATTAATTAATTACCATTCAATGTTCTAGCCTCAGCACTTTGTACGAGAAGAGTGGGCAAAGATGGGTTTAACCCATTTTACTTCATCAAAGGTTGGATTATTGCACTCGAATTTTTATTTTCTTCTTATTGATCTATTAAGAGAGATAGAAAGCTAAAGGCAAGAGGAACTCGTAATATTCACTCTATTTATTCTATACACAAATAGTTCTCTGATGACCTAGACAAAGTTTACAAACGAATTGGTGCTACCACAGAAGGAATTAAGCACAGTATACCAAATCAAATTCTTATTGATGGATGCAAGTAAGTCTAATTACGATTTATGATTTATGAAATTAATCTCTTGGTGACAGGAAACTCGGCTGTCACATTGAAAATATTCCCCAGAATACAAGCGGTAAATCGCACGAGTGTGGCTGGTGCCTTACTGGTTGCAAAGATGGTATTAAAAATGGCACTTCAAATTCATGGCTTCGTACTGCCGCTCAACACGGCGCACGTTTTGTTGACCAAGCCAAAGTCAACCGGGTTATCATCGTTGATGGAAAGGCTACAGGAGTCGAGTTCCAAATCAATAATTCAGATCAGACCATTCGTCTCAATTCATCTCGGGTTGTCATCTCTGCAGGATCCTTGAGCACCCCAGGAGTCCTTTTCAAGAGTGGACTCAAGAACAAGAACATTGGACAAAATCTCCGTCTTCACCCAGTGACAGTAGTTTATGGCTTTTTTGATAACCGTCAGACCGACCCTTTTGAAGGATCCATAATGACCTCCGTAAGTTTCATGCAAAAATATTTATTTTATTTTTTAAAAAAAACGACGAGTGTGAGACTAACTTGTATATTTTTGACAAATACAAAAACTTAATATATTTATTCTTTGGATTTACTTAATAGATAAGCAGCAGTCTTGAGAATTTAGATGGCGAGTACTATGGATCAAAGCTCGTTGTTCCGCATCACACTACAGATATGTTTATCTTTGGTGTGCCATGGCAAGGAAAAAAGGAACACAAGGAAGCGATGCTGAAATTCAGACAGTCCTCATCAGTCGCAGTTCTTGTTCGGGATAAGGATTCTAAAGGAAGTGTTGGGTACACAAAAGATGACAAGATATCGATTACCTACGAAATCTCTAAGATAGGTAAAATGTCTATCGTAAAAGGAAACATCCGGGCGGCTATGATACTTTGCGCCGCAGGAGCTAGAGAGATCCATACGGGATCCTTTGGTATGAAGCCATTTGTCTTTTCTCCAGATGAGTCTATTGAGGTCAACAATCCCCGATTTGTCAAGTGGCTAGACGAAATAGAGAAATACGGAATGCCCGTAAATGGCATGAACTATTTCTCTGCACATCAACTGGGATCTTGGTAAGAGAGAACATAAACTAGAAGTAACAATACAAGACAGCCAATAGTTATAAAACAGTTTTGCTTTACTTTAATTTTCTTCTTTTATATCAATAATACTAATAAATAATTTATATAGTCGAATGGGTGTTTCCCCAGATACTTCTGCTACTAAGCCAACTGGTGAGACATGGGAGACCAGAAATCTATATGTGTGCGATGCCTCACTTTTCCCGACTGCAAGTGGTGTCAACCCTATGGTTACGACAGAAGCCATTGCTCTTCATGTTGCAGACTCAATTATTAAAGCAGCAAAATTAGATTAAATCATATTTAACAGTATATCCGTCTTTATATTTTTATATAAAAGCCTTTCATTTTTTAGTTATTCAATAAACAGTAAAAAGTATATATATATATAAGCTTATGCCAGAATAGTCATAGTAAAGTCTTTATTTTTCAAAAATTCAAGAGTATAGTCTCTTTAATCTTACTATATTTTGTTTTGTTTTTTACTTAACATTCTATGGATGAAAGCATATAGATACAAATATATTGCTTTTAAAAACAAGATAAAATAAAAATTATTGAAAGAACAATAGTGCCTTGATCTTTCCATGTGTGTTCTCTTCATCTCATATATGCAACTATATATTCTTATACAACGACTTTTGTAAAAACCTCAATCGGAATATTCATTCTATTCTACGTGAATAGCAGTGTCAAGCTCCTCAAAATTTTAATATCTAGGGATATATATGTTATTGTCTCTAGAAATAGTTTAATATAGATGTACATTAATTGGCAATGTTACAACATATATTTCTCTAAAACATTGTTGCAGAGAAAGTACCCGATTTTATCTGTTGGTAAAAAGTGGATCTTATACTATATATTAAAGCCAAATACAACCCTGCCATTTGTAAGTTCTTGAGTTTCTTTATGATGATAGTAAGATTAGCTGTTCCAATTTACTGAGAGCAAGAGCAAGATTTTCTATGTTTTTGGATTTGTCAAGCTGCATCATATTTATCCAGACAGAAATAACAGCACTATAAATGATCATCGTTGACAATCTTATTTATGTCACCAATACTAATCGGCTTTACTTTTTCTAATAGTTTTCCTGTAATATAGTCGAGGAGACAGCCTGATTTTTTTTTGGACAGCAAAGAAATGAAAAAGATCTTTAGCCAAAATTGCAATAAATACCTGGACAAAATAATGGTATCTTTGAAAACTTCAAACAAATTATATTTAACTATTGCTTTGTTCTTCCTTTATCATATATAGCTGAAAGAATATAATTACTGGCATAACTTTTCATATATACATTTACTAGTTTTTATATATATAGAGCTTCTTACAATAGTATTGCTCTTACAGCTTTTTCTGAAGCTTGCTGTTCTCACCTTAAAATAGTAAGCAACTTGTGAAGACCGTATACAAATAGCGTAATTAATCATCCCGTATTATACTTTTCTTTTCCCTATATTAATCCTTATTGGAAATTGAAAGAGCTTTATTTTGTAAATAAGCTGAAGTAAAGTAGATTAGAAAAAAGCTTATTTTACTTTTACAAAATTTACAGATGAATATTTTATAATATATATGCTGCTAGCTTTGACAATATAACGTTTACTTGAAATATATATATTATCCTATTCACCGGAGTACGTTCCTGTGCTAGAACTATTGTGATTGAAATTGGCATACATTGCTCTGAAAATACTCTGGAATAAAAACAAAAATAGCAAGAAGTTGGGTAATATAGACTTAAAAACGTCTTTAGAATTCATGTTATTAAAGGTGCTCCATTTGACCCCCTTTCTATTATACAGCTCACCCACCCCAAAAACCAAAAATCAGAAAAACCCAAAAGGTTTATTTGTCATAAAAAGCAAATTATATTTATCGAGATTTTATATACAATAATAATAATAAAAGAAACATCTCATTCCTCACTCTCGTGACATACCAGTAATCCCATTATTATATTTACGAGAACCAAATGCATTATAACCGGCTATTTTACCTTAATTAGGTCTGTTTATTTATATACCTTAAAACATATAATACAAAAGAAGACCTTCTCTCTTCAGAGGTTATAAGAATTTCGAAAGTTGGCTAGTTCTATTATAAAATAACCCTTCAATATCACAACCCTGGTACAGACTCCGAAAACTGTCAAGTAACCCAAGCCAAGCCATTCCATCCCAATTGAACTGTTTTTGAAATACTAATGGGGATATAGAAGATGCCAACTTGACTTTAATGTGACAAAATTGAAGACAATAAACACTTTTTCCTAATCCTGCCCGGGAAACCAGAATATATGGCACCAAATAACCATACAATTTCTAGAAGCTCCCGAGGTATTAACATTTTCTCAATTCAAAAAACCACGTCCACCTCAAAGTCTTTGCCTCCAGTATCCCAGAGCTTATATATAAGTCCTCCTATGGTGCATACCAAGTGTAATTTGAGAAGCATATTTTCGATTTACTTTCGACAACAATCCATTTTTCCAAATAAAATAGTACCACTGTCCAGGTTAAACATTATACGCCTCATAACTGAAGATATCTTAGAGACCTTGCAATTATAGATAAATTCATAGGATTTATTTGATCCAAATAAACAATATAAAGAAAACAGATTGTATAAAATACTATATGAACTAGGAGTAAAACATAAAAAAAAACATATATAATTAGGTTCTTAACAACTTTCTGGTTATAAACTCATATACGTATAGATCCCACAAATTGGTATAAATTAGTATATGTATCATCGCCATACACTCAAGCTTACTACGAATTAGAATTAAATTTTACTGTGAATATAATATATATGATATTTTCTTTACCTTTATTAGATCGCAGTAATGGGAAAATAATACTTTGTTTAAAAGTCGGTTTGTGCCTTAGAAAATGCGGGTGGTAAAAAGTAATGTTCCAAAAGAAGATGTCTACCGTAATTTTTTTATATCTACAACTTTGTGGATCATTGAGTTGGAAAGGGGGTTTCTCAAATGTTAATCAAGAGATTGAGTGATATGTTTGAATAGCAAGAAAAGAGGTAGCAAGTTAGTATGTACAGCGCATTCTCTTTACTAGTAAGTGTATAAAAGAATCATATAATGAGCGTAGTAAATGATACATTATTCGTTGAAAATTATTAGTATTAATTTTATGAACAGAAAATGACAGCATCTACTCCTCCTGTCCCCATAAACCTAACACACGCCTCAATGTTGCTCGAAATAGTGCATTGACAGGTGTTTCTATCACAGCTACTGAAGTTCAGGTTACTGTGAGCCCAATTGAGCACATCCTTACCTTGTTGATCGCCAATAATGCGACAATACAATCGTTAGAATCCAAACTAAAAACCACGTCGGAGGAAATAGCCCATTTGAAGGGTAGTATAGACCTATCCAACAAAAAAATGCTTTCTTGAAGGAGTCGGTTTTTGAGATCAGGGCTGGAATTCCCGAAATAAAAAATAGAATGGTCAGCGAGAAATCCATAGTATATTCTTCTGCACTGATAGTTTTCGCTTTTGATGGATGATAATTTCACCCCTGGATAGATATATCCCCTGATCTCCGTATGTAGACAGATTATAACAATATAACAGGTCAATATATCTAATAACATTTTTATAGCATCCTGTCAACAGTTAAATCAAGAAACAAAACTTCAAAAGAAGAGATCCATCAGAATTTACTGAAAATAAAGCCAGACCAGAGTGGTCGATTACTGGTACCTTTGGCGATGAGTATATTAAGTCACTTGCGCTAGCTATCGTCAAATACTTCAGAATTTACAAATGTTGTAAGCCCGTGCCTAAAAGTCCCAGTATGAAAATAGTAAAAAATCACTAGCAAACCCAAATTCAAGACTTCCAGGCCTCATCAAAGAATATTATGGCTCGGAATACAGCAGGAAGAAAGCTGTAAGCTTAAAAATAAAATTAATTTACTACTTATTTAATGTTTTAATATAATATTTGTTGGTGTCTTCTTAACCGCCGTATCACCATCTAAAAAAAGTACATAGACGCTATCCACGTAATTATGAAACGACCTGAGTGCAGAAACATTCTTTCTGTTGATGTGATGTCTGATGATGAGTCGAACATAGATAATAAAGTGTGAGCATATAGTCCCAGCTAGAGAGCCGATGAGATAATGATAAACACTGGTCTACTTGTTTAAAGAAAATAATAATAGTTTATCAATACTTCTTATTTTCGAAAATAGGTCCAGGAGTTTATCACTGCTGTTGATAGCTTTACTGTCAAGCGTTTGAAGAAAAATGCAAAGAGCTTGTTAAAGCGCATCCCTGATGAGAAGGAAACGAGTATGCCCCAGAATTTGGCAGTCACATTGTCAGAATGGTGTTTTTCTAAATAAATACATCTTTTTTCGTGCTCCCTATTTTAGAGTCATTTTCTACTTGTTTATGTTTATGAATTAGCATGATGTATAGCATACCAAATACCAAAAAAATAAAAAAAACTTGTATTTATATATAAATTAGCCTATATTAATTAATATATCTTTTGCATATGTTTTATTTTTGTATTTAAATCTAAAGATATATTTTTCGCGGCAAAGGAACAACACGCATCTAAACTTCGCCTCCTAAACCAAGGTACTCGCCTACTGCAACTGGATAGCAGATTCTGTGCACTGGAAGAATGCTGTTCATGCTGTCATCTTCGAATCCCACCTCATTAACCTCAACTCCTTCTCCTGCTCTGGGGTGAAGTAAAATCTCCTTGCACCATCATACATGTGCAAATACATGCTGGCTCGCATGACCAGCAAACGAGTTTACGGCAGTATTGACAAAGAGGTACTGAATCTGGTCTGCGTATGGCTTGGTACTTCTACCATCACTTGTCTCAAACAAGGCTTGCATGAACGATCCACGCTGATTCTTCGTTTTGCTCTTGTAGATTTGCCCAAGAAGATTGATTGATTCAAACTTCTGTATCCGATTGCTAACAAAATTATCGGAATGACCAGCCTGACGATAATGAACAAGAGTTTGATCATCGTATGTCTCGCGATAGTATTCCAACAAATGCTCATACTCGGATTCATCCATGGAAATCTCCCCCTTTAGAGCTAAAGGAAGTGCGGAAGGGGGCAAAGGCTCGTTTCCCTTGACGATATCAAAGTTGATCTCAGGAGAATCAAGAAAAGCATTGATATCGAATTGGATTGAGGTGGCAGTGGAAGTGGAAGTGGCTATGGAATTGGCAGTAGATGCAGTGAGCTCAAGGATGATTGCCGAATGCTCAGGTCAAATTATTGGCAAAGTTTGGCGAATAAGATCTCCCTGGTATGCTTCTTCAAGATACTTCTTCATATAGGTTCCCTCAAACCCGTCTTTTCTATTTGTCGCATAGTTTTTCAAGATACCATTGCATCTTTCGAAACTAAAAAGCCAATAGCCATAAACCGGGCCAAAGTTCAGTACAGTCTCTCGCAGATGAAGATGGAGATGCATGTTTGGTGAAAGGAATGGGGCTTTATACAACTTCTCGCACTCTCTGCAGAAAGCCTCCAAAGATTGATGGGCTTCATCAAGGTGAGCCACGGATATGCTTGGCATTGAGAGGTACTGGCATGCATTGACGAACGTTGTCCAGTTACCGATATGAGCTTCAGGCAGACGACCACGCAGGAGAACAGGAGAGTACACCAAGCACCAAGACTTCCACTCATCGGCCTTCATGAATGGGAAGCCACGCCCGATCTTTGTCCCTAATGGTGTGTAGTCCTCTGGTAGTACAAGATTGTCAGCATCCAACTGCATTTCGGCCAAGTGTGTATCTGTGATGAGACCTGAAGATTTCCATTTCTCCCTTATCCTCTTTGCTGTTCCGAGGTACAGGTTGTGCATCGGATCGATGACAGTGCACTCGACGAGGTTAAAGTAAACCAGGTCATGCAATTCTGACCATTGGAACCGTTCTACCTCTCCAATCTCTTTCCCTGTGCGTCACTACTGGCTATTCTCCACAACTCTGCATCACGGCGGTTTTCAGCATCAGTGCGAGGAACCCACTCAGAAAACACGAACCCAGAGTAGCCTACAGCATTGGAGTCTGGAAGGCGAGGGAACTGTCGGTTGCACTTATTTCATGCACATGTGCTTGAGTGCGAGGTAAACCCACAAGTCTTACGGGCAGCAGGAATGTCGCAGACAACAAGAAGAAGGGCAGCACGGACAAGAGCACCAGATGGGCACTGTGCTGTAGGAATCACCACACTGTCATACAACTGGGTGAGTTCCGCGACGAGGGGACGGAGGTAGTGATTGATCTCACTCGTCTTTGCTTCCTTGGGCCCTGGAATGAGACCAACGAAAACAACATTGTCCTTCTTGTACCGTTCTGATCTCGACAAGTTGTTGATGCAAAGGTATATCGCACCACAGGAGTAAGTAACCCCATCGAAAGGTTGAAACCAATTGATGTTCATGGTAAGCATGATGGAGCGCTCATGATTCACAAATGGTAAACCATTACCGTCCTTCGGACCATTCCACTTTTCACCGTCGTAGATGTCAAACATCACACCTGGAACGTGTGGTCTGTTTCGCCAATTGTTGCTTATGTTTTCGAACCCAGGCGACAACAAAAGGATAGACAATGTTTTGATTATGGAGTTGTACGTGCACATCTTTTTGTGGATAGTCAAGGCTATTGATGTTGCAAAGAAAAGAGCATTTACACATCCTCTACCAGAGAGTCTCTCGAAATTACAGCACTCTGGAACAACCTCAGACTATTTGTATACTTTTTTACAATCGACACATGCCACAAATCGCTTGACACCTCGAGTCACGTCGCTGAGACCGGTCATAGAGTCCACACCGTTTATATTGAGGGGAATACAGAAAGACTCTCCAAAGTGCGCCAATACTTCGTTGGAAACATTCAGCAGGACAGTACCAGTGGAATTGACAACATATTTGGATATAAACAAGACAGCAAACAAAGCATTGAAAGCATGAGTGGGATCGGCTGAAACATCAGACGAAGAAAAATTTTCTATTTGAAAAAAAATTAATACATGTTGCATTTGCTGGTTTTTATGTACTTACTATACTAACCCATAACATCTTCAGATTCGTCGTCAGAAATATCAAAAACGACTGCTTCGATAACATCCTCATCCCCGCTTTCAGAATCAACAGCAAAAAGAGGTAAGTCCCCGGCTGTTTTATTGAGTAAAAAAGAATAAAATTATTAGATATCATAAACCAGCGTAAACTTTAATAAAAATACTATGCATACCTTCAACTGGATCCTCGACATCAACATCGTCTTTAAAGTTAATCTCCATGTTATTGCCATCCGACATCACTTCTGAAACTGAAGCTGTATTATATGAAAAGAAATATTTAATTCAAATTCTCCTTATACATATATTTTTTTTAATTTTAACTTACAAGAAGATCCCGACTGATATTGTCTCACAACATCTTCTGGATGTGCCCCGAGTGGTTGTTGTTTTTGCTTGACACATTGGGCGTGTGTGTTATTTTTGAAGTCTAGAATTGATAATAATGGAGAATGGTTCAGAAACACAATTTTAGAGCAACTTTAGTAACTTCTACAAAACTGTTGTTTTTCTAAAAATGGAGATTTAAAATCGAAAGTTCAGTCACAATATAAAAAGAGAAAATCAAGGTGCTCACGGAGTGGGACTACGTAGTGAAAATCGCCATCGATAGCAGATTATTCTTCCGTTTTTAGAAGTAAATCTTTTTCAAAAAAGAAACAATAGAGACGTTTGTGGACTCAGATTTGTAGAGTTATACAAGAATTAGCTAAAAAAAGGTTTTCTGAAATATTCAAAATGGTTCTATAGAAGGACTGCTCATTACCTAAATAATATTTTTGACAAGGCGACTACTAAAATCACAACTAATAATGTATGCTATTGATTCAACTAAACTTTTCGTTGCTTTGACTATAAAACAGCTGTAAATTCTATATGTAACTGGAGATTGTATTGCATATATTTTCTCCAAGCCATATGTGATATAGAATTAGAGTAAATTGCGTATAAAAATGTATAATCATACTTTTTCTATGCCATTGTAAGCTTATATTCGAAAGTTACATTTCTCTATATATTTCTGCTGTTTAAATAGCGTCAGTTTAGAAAAGCAAATAAATGAATATTAGAGGCTACCAATTTGAATAAGGTTTGTTAGAGTAGTGTCTCTATATAGATGTGTATGTAACATTGGGTTTCCTTTCTAAGGCAATGAGCTCGTGCAAAAAGTTGAAAATCTGAGTCCACAAACGTCTCTAATATCTTAAAAGTTTGCCAAATCGCTACCTGCTAGAGAGCAGATAATACGGTGGGCGTGCGTGGTGGTTGGTGGCCTCCACAATGTGGAGAAAGTACAAAGTGGCGAGAAAAGACTGAAGGGGGTGTAGAGTAGTAAGAGAGAAGTTGGCAGAGGAGGCTATTATCAGAGAAAATTTAGCGAAGAATAATAAAGTAACCCTTTTACCTCGTTAAAAACATTTTTCTATTTTTATTATCTGGACAACTGATTCCATCCATATACGCCTAGCCATAAATATTATTTGACGCACCCTAACTAATTTATTGAGTGCAGATCTATTGTATTGAGAACACTTCCTCTTAACAGCAGTTTATTGACCCTCATTACCATGCCTCCAACTGGGATTATAACCCTTGCTAGCTAGTAACCCGGCTATAAACGCTATTAAACTTGAGCGTCTTTCGTCATAATAGACCTGTAACTAGTTACACCTGCTCCCCTCAAGTACCCTACGTGGCACAGATGTAAAATATTCCTGGTGCCCAAATATAGAATTACACTTGAGTGCTATCATTACTGTCTGTGAGAATCGTATTTATTTTATGGCCATGCACAATTTTCGCTCTTTTTTTTTTTATCTATAAAATAGTACCTCTTTTATTCAAAGCGGAAGAAAATATAGTAGGGTTGATAAATACCATTTTTTAAACGTAGTATATTTGTACCTTATTAACATTACATGCACAACAAATTATTTTCTATTTACTATGCTTTCACACAGGGTTCTACCTTCCAAATATAATATTTGTTATAAGACTGATTTATAATTATGGATATAAATATTTATTTTATATACATAAAATTGCTTCCTTCAAAAAAATATAGCCGCAACCACCCAAAATTATTTATATGTATATCTATCCCACATTTATTACCACATTTCTACTTACATCTATGCTATACCAGTATACTATATCCTTCCCAGCATAACTATTATAAAAAATCAGACGTTATTCCTTAAAATATTATATTAGATCATTGTACCACAAAACCAAAAACAAATAAATTATAACCGCAGCTTGAATTGACCCCAATTTATATCCTTGTACTTTATATAATTCAATCAAATGTTTGATTATCTTGCGTTCTAGTAATTCGTTTTTGCTGAAAACAAGTGCGTTAAAGAGCTAGAGATGATAAAAAACGAATGGGATAAGAGGCGCGGCGGGCTTTTAATTAAATCGAATGTTCGGAGTGTGAATTAGCTCAAAAATGGAAATCCGCCCATTACTCCTGCAGTGGGAAAGTGATGTTTTCAGTCTCCATTTGAGTAGTATTGAAAGACAGAACATACACCATTTTATCAGGGACGGATTTGATATGAAATGTCAATTGGGGCAATATGCTCCCTGATCAGGAATAATAAGGATAGACCGAGAACAGAATATATCTTTATTATTACAGCTGTATCTTGTCAGGTTTAATAAAATATATATATTTCCTTGATTTATATGAGATTTTGATATAAATTTAACTGAAATATAACAAACAGTAAAAATCTTATCAACTATGAATTTAATATTTTTAGTTGATGTTGGAATATCAAGATTTATTGAAAAACAAAACAATAAAATATTAATATATAAAAAAACACATAACTTATTGAAAACTAGAAAACATTCTATTTAAACTATTATAAATATGTCATATTTTATAAATTATAAAAACATATGCCGATAATAAAGATCAATAAAATAATGAATAGTAATAACGAAAATAAAAGCTAAAAGGATGATATAATTCTTATTTTTATTTTATTAAATTCAATCATTTTTATATACTTGTTTTATAAGTAAGTACATAGACTTTATTTATTTAATTATCTTTGATATTTATTTTATTTCCATCAAAATTATAGACAATATTAATGCAATTTAAATAAATTGGTTATTATAATACATGAATGTTGTAAAAGCGAATTGACTACTACTGTAGTTACAATTAAGTTTGAAGAAATAAAACATATATTTTTATTTATTTCAGCCAAAGGTGTCTATACGTTACTATATTATCTGACACAGATATTTTTCATGTACATGAGTGATTAAATTTTATATGATGATATCACCGTAATAAGAGATACATTAACAAAATATAAACAGTATAATTATAACTCACACGCACATTGTATTTCTATGTTAATACTTCATCGCAAATACACATATTTATATAATTAATCACATATTAAATATTGTTATATATAAGTACCTGTGATATTCTTTAAAAAATAAACAATACTCTTACAAAAACAATTTATTCATTTTATATTATTTATTAATCTCACTTAGCATTTAACTATATTTCAAATAAAATATATTGCTTTTATTGAACTCGATGTTATATATTCTATATTCATAAACACTAAAAAGTCAAAATTAAATACTTAAATGCAAAAACTATCAAATTTTATTTTATATTTTATTGTCAAATATTAGAATAAACTCTTTTACTTCAATCACTTATATCTACTTATGTATCAAGTGTAGTAGCTATATGTCAAATATTAAAATTAGTATGTAATTCTGATACTTATCCTTTTATTTCAATTATAGTTCTTTCCGAGTAATCAATATATTTAAAAAATGTAAACATTTGCTTCTTAAAACATATATGTACCATTAAATATTCAAAGAGAATAATTAGAAAATGAAGTACATCTAATAAACTTATATTATAGTAACTTACTTGATTATATTTTGCTTAATTCAATTGCTCATATCAGATGTCAAATGAAAAAAATAAAATTCTGTCAAACATATAAAAGCCAAAGTAATATATTAATAAGAATAGCTCGGGTTTAAAGTTGTTAACATTTTATAAATATACTTCTTATATGCTTTTATTGTCTCTAAATAACATTGGCTCTTCTGCGTATATTAACTCTAATTAATAGCCTTCAGAGGCTTTGGGGATACATGCCTACAGCATGTATCAAAGCCTCTATTATATATATAGACTATTATAAATATAAAGTTTGTACTCATACTATAAAAATTAGCCTATTTAAATAAATCAAAAAAAATTAATAATGAATTACATAGTCATACAAATATTTAGCTTTTATATAATACTTTTGTAATATCAAAATAAACACAAAATAAATTGTCCGCCAACCCAAATTGAAAATTATAATAGAATATACGATTATACTCAGACCTTGTACTCAGACATGTATCACAAAATATTACTCTTATGCTATTTAAGATCTTGAAATATGACGACAGATGCCACTTATCTAAAAGAAACGGGAACTATATATATATAAATAAATACATTAAAATAATTAATGTATGTGGGTAGAAAAGAGACCGAGTTTATTTGACTAAAGTGAAAGGCACAAGAATAAGAAGAGTTTGGTGTGATAGTAATTTTATTATAAAAAAGAATAAGAATGTTTTAGTGGTAGAATATTTGTATTATGTTAAAAGTCGGGGGGCAGTGGAGTAGAGGGGGGTAGTGTATGAGAAATAGTTTAATTTTTTATATTGTATGATGTGTAACAGATAATTTATATGTATATTGTAGTGCTGAGAATTTTGGTGCGAAAGAAATAATTTATATGTATATTGTAGTGCTGAGAATTATGGTGTGTACTGATTAAGAGAGATTGAAACGATGGGACTTGTGTTAGGTAATGAAACGTTGGTCCAGAACAAGATATTTCAAAATATATAGAATTACGAAGTGTACTTATGAAAATGGTGGTATATGACAGTACAAGTATAGTAAAATATAATGAGTGATTTTTGGGTGCTGAATTTTTATTATTTTGATTTCGATTTTACAGAGGTAATAAAATAAAAGAATGCTATTAGTATTTGTGCCGATTTTGAAAGCGTTGTGACGTTGGGTTTGGCACAGGTAAAAAAAGAAAAACAATATTGTGGTTGCCACCGCCGATTTTGAAAGCATTGTGACGTTGGTTTTGGCCCAGGTCAAAAGATAATAGACAACTATGGTTGCTACCGCCAATTTCGAAAGCGTTGTGACGTTGGTTTTGGCCCAGGTCAAAAGATAATAGACAACTATGGTTGCTACCGCCAATTTTGAAAGCGTTGTGACGTTGGTTTTGGTCCAGGTCAAAAGTAAATAGAAAACTATGGTTGCCCCCGCCGATTTCGAAAGCGTTGTGACGTTGGTTTTGGCCCAGGTCAAAAGATAATAGACAACTATGGTTGCCCCCGCCAATTTCGAAAGCGTTGTGACAATGGTGTTGGTACAGGTCAAAAGTAAATCGAAAACTATGGTTGCTTCCGCCGATTTCGAAAGCGTTGTAATAATGGAGTTGACCCAGATTAAAAAAGAAAACGATAGTGTGGTTGCTCCCGCCGATTTTGAAAGCGTTGTGGCGTTGGTGTTGGTGCAGGTAAAAAGATAATAGACAACTGTGGTTGCTCCCACTGATTTTGAAAGCGTCGTGATATAGGTTTTAGCCCAGGTCAAAAGATAATAGACAACTATGGTTTCTCCCGCCGATTTCGAAATCGTTGTGACAATGGTGTTGGCCCAGGTAAAAAAAGAAAACGATGCTGTGGTTGCTCCCGTCGATTTCGAAAGCGTTGTGACAATGGTGTTGGCTCAGGTTAAAAAAGAAAACGATGCTGTGGTTGCTCCCGTCGATTTCGAAAGCGTTGTGACAATGGTGTTGGCTCAGGTTAAAAAAGAAAACGATGCTGTGGTTGTTCCCGTCGATTTCGAAAGCGTTGTGACAATGGTGTTGGCTCAGGTTAAAAAAGAAAACGATGCTGTGGTTGTTCCCGTCGATTTCGAAAGCGTTGTGACAATGGTGTTGGCTCAGGTTAAAAAAGAAAACGATGCTGTGGTTGCTCCCGTCGATTTCGAAAGCGTTGTGACAATGGTGTTGGCTCAGGTTAAAAAAGAAAACGATGCTGTGGTTGTTCCCGTCGATTTCGAAAGCGTTGTGACAATGGTGTTGGCCCAGGTAAAAAAAGAAAACGATGCTGTGGTTGCTCCCGTCGATTTCGAAAGCGTTGTGGCGTTGATAGGGATACGAAGGTTTGAATGAGGGCTTGTTTTATTTTCAGAGTCGAATATACAGTGAACGCGTGCAGAAAAGAAAAAATAAAGAGTGTTTGGGTGGTGTTTTTTTACAAAATAATATGCTCTTTTTTCGTATTGTTCCGAGTTCGGCCTATTGTGAGTTGCAATATTCTATGAATGCCGATTCGTGAAAAGGATGACGAGATGTATAGAGGAATCGCAATTAGCCAAATGAATGACGGGATGTATAGAGGAATGCCGATCCCCAAACCGAATGAGGGGACGTAACCAGTTTATTCGAGGCGTTGTTGAAAAGATTTTTTTTTGTTTTGGGCGCGTCACAGTAAAGACTGGTTTTGTATACAGTTCTGCCTGGACACTATTGGGTGCGGACCAGACGGTTTTGGGACTATTGGATGCGGACCAGACGGTTTTGGAGACTATTGGGTGCGGACCAGACGGTTTTGGAGACTATTGGGTGCGGACCAGACGGTTTTGGAGACTATTGGGTGCGGACCAGACGGTTTTGGAGACTATTGGGTGCGGACCAGACGGTTTTGGGACTATTGGGTGCGGACCAGACGGTTTTGGAGACTATTGGGTGCGGACCAGACGGTTTTGAAACCACTGTATGCTTGACAGTCTCATTTTCAATCGGTCATGCTTAGTTCTATAGTAAGTTTTGATGTGTATGAGTGTATGTGTGTTTGTGTGTATGTTGAATAGGAGTATATATATATATATGACAGCATGCCTATTATAAATTAACAATAATATATATAAAAAACTATAGTAACTTATAATATGTGGGTGGATCCGTGGGTGTTGAATAAGAGTATATATATAGTATTGCACCCAAAATACAATGGCAATATATATAGTTCTAGAGCAGCTTTTGGTTTGTGTTCACAGTCTATTTTCAAGTAGCTTGCTAATATTGTTCTATAGGATTCTTAGTTTTTGAGTACAGAGTGTTTGGTATTTTGTAATAAGAAATTGTTGTATGCGATTATAGAATAGTGATTATGGATCTAAACAGTTTTATATCTTTTCAAGATCCAAATAAAATAAATCTAGTGATTATTACAATATAGATCCATATATTTATAAACACATATGAAGTTATATATTGTTTGGTAGTCCATAGTTTGGATTTGTGGGATTTTATATATGATACCAATTTGGTTTTATTATTGCACCCAGAATGATTTTATTTTTGATTCTATTTGCTTTTGCTCTTGCACACGATATGATTTTATATATAATCCCAATTTGGTTTTATTATTGCACCCAGAATTACTGTATTTCTGATTCTATTTGATTTTATTCTTGCATTCGATATGATTTTATATATAATCCCAATTTGGCTTTACTATTGCACCAGAAATAACTTTACATCGTGTCCCAATTAGATTATTTTATTGCCAGCAATATAATTTTATATATAATCCCGATTTGGGGGGTTTTTTTTATTTTAATCCAGATTTGGTTTTACTTTTACACATGAAATAACCGCATACCTGATCCTAATTTGATTTCATTCTTGTAC